GTAATTAATTTGTCATAATTTATGTAATATTGACTTTTGACAATGGTATATTTGAAAAATTATAAAAAAAAATTACTTATACAATGATTAAAATCCTTTTAAGGATTATTATTTTTCTATAGTTAAACTGGACTTATTTTGCGAATTAAATGAGTATTTAATTTAAAGGGTAAATATAATTTTTAGTTTCTCAAGTTTGCTCTTATTTTAGTTTTAGTCTCTCAAATTTCAAATTATAAATTTTGATCCCTCAAGCTTCTTTTCATTTATATTAATTAATCCTATAATTCAATAAAAATATAGATCATTCTGTCTCTTGAAAGACCAAACCTATAGTTTAAAACTTGATGAACCAAAATTAAATGAGGTCAAACTTGAGGCACAAAAAGTTATCTTAACCCTAATTTAAACAAGAGATGAATATATGAAATTGGTAAATAGCCTTCCAGATATCATACAGTCGTATGCCTTATATTATAATCATATTTGTTCAAGCTCTTACTTTATTCATTGATCATTTTCCTTAACTATATATCAGGGAACACGATTGTTATAAATCACACTCATTCCCAAAATTAAACTTTGTACTATTTATTTTCAATAAAGAAATAAAGTCGTTTCTATATTTTTGACAGCTTAAACAATTACATTATTCTTCATTGTTAATAAGTACTAATTTCTGTTTCGCTAGGATGAAGAAGATGATAGCCAGAAAATTAGAAGGGAAAAAAAACTCTGTTTATTATTAACTAAATGAAAAAAAAAAAGTAAACTAAGATTTGTATAACTTATATTTATGTGTATAATAATAATATGATTGCTTGGGAGAAAGATGATGTGTGGTTGAAGTGTATTTGAAAAGTTGGGTTACAGAAGCACATGGAAAAAGGTAAGCATCACGAGGCACCTTCTACTTTTCATTGAGCATCGTCCAACGAATCAAACCCATCTCCATCATCCTCTTGTCACCCATTCAGGTTATGTTTGGTTGGATTTATAATAGTATCTGATAAGGAATAAAATTAACAAAAATATGAGGTTCAAATAATTTATACAATATTCATTATTTATTTATATTTCTTATTAAATAATTATTAGTCATTTGTCATCGTACTTTTATCTCCTTTTTACAAGTATATAATATTTGATATTATTGTGTTTGTATCTATCTATAGTCTAAACATTGCCAAACCCTGCAAGATGTAGTTTTTACCGGTGTAAATTTTTTTGTGGCTTACTTGAAAGAATTGTATCTCTCACTTTAGCCAGGTTTTATTTATTTTTCCTCTCTTTCTCTCTCTCTCTCTATTCTTCAATATTCTATCTATCCAAATATACCTTAAGTTCCAAGATTCAAGAAGCTAGCTTTATCCCAGATTAATTACCACGTGCATGAGCTTTGGGCGTTTGAGCCGAACGAATAATAATATAACCAATTGGTATTTCGATCTTATCCCATATTCTATCAATCTCTCTTTCTCGTTATATTTTTTTTTACGGCTATCAAAAATGATAGATATAATTATACTACCTCTAGTCCCAGTTATAAAACATCATCTGTAGTCTACAAACAAAGTCCTATAATTAGAACTGGAGATAGTAGTATGAAATTTGAATATTGCTAGATCTAACTGAAAGCATATAATCCACTTAACATAAATATCTTCTTCCACTTATACAGCTCAAACTTTAAATTCTTGGTTATACTTGAGAAGAATTGAGTAGTTTCACCATCCAACTCCTGTTACCTATTGGTTTTTATTGTTTTATTCCTCCCTTCAAGATTATTATTCTATATATAAAGAAAAACACACACACACACACACATCAAACATACCTTAAGTTCCAAGGTTCAAGAAACTTTATCCCATATTAATTAGCCATGTGCAGGAGTTTTAAGTTAGGAGAGCCATGGGAGATGAACAATAGTACCCAAATGGAATATCTAATCAAATAATAAACAATTATAGATAAGCATAAATTCACAAGCAAGCCAGAATTAGAACCTACTCACATTCCTAAGGCATGTTGCCTGAAAGGTTCTGTGATGGAGTCGCCTTTAAACAAGGGACAATCCATGTTATTGAGACCCTTTGTGAGGTCTATATAAATATAAATATATATATATATATATATATCACTCTCCCTCATATCATTGATATAAAAATTATTTAATTAACTACTTTAGGTAGAATACCTCTATTATAAGATTATTTATAAGCTGATAAATTATTCTGTAGAAAAATAATAATTATAAGAAACAAGTGGACGGAGATGTTACATTTTAAACCAAATCTAACTCCGAGTTAACTTATATTCTTCTGGTTTTAAATATAAAACTTACTTTATAGTGCAATTTGCACTATAAAATAAGTCTTAAATTTGTATTACAAAATGAATCTTATATTTAGAACTGAAAGAGCATAATAAAGATTAGGAGGGCACCATTCAACTTTATCCTAATATATAATGTCACGTGAAAAGTAAATGCCATCCTTTTGAAATTTTATTACGTACACATGCTGCCTCATGCTCAATAATTAGCACCATCCATGTGTGTTAATTTTTCTTATTTGGTGGGGTACACCTTGAATTTCAAGTCATATGCTATCTGCTTGGTTACCTTTCACTTTCATCCAAATATCATTTAGATTTTAGACTGGTTCTTCAATAATTGAACTGGTTTTGTTTTAAAATTGTTTTATTTTAGTCTATTTCTTGGTATTTCCAGGAAATGATGACGGAGAAAATGAAGGAGGAGAGAAACTTGACAAGTGGTCGCAAAAATTATTATTAAAATTAATAATCAGAAGTGGAAGGAAGATTGTTGACCTGGCAAACTAATCAGAATCGTACGCATAACTTTTGAATTCTCTGACAAATATTTTTTAAAAAAATCTTTGAATAATAGAACGGAATAAAGTATTTGTGCAATAATAGGAGTCACGTGTACTAAGAATTATTTAATATTCTTTCACCCAAAAAAAAAGAATTATTTAATATTTTAGATATATCATCGCCTTCTTTGATTGGGATGAATTGAGAAGGAAAATAAAATAGAAGTGGAAGCAGATATTTTTCTATGATAAAATTATTGATAAGAAAAAGTCAAAAATTATATCATATTGTTGAATAAATCGACAGGTCATCAGGATCTAAGGCTCCCAGTAGTACAGAATCACAAGCCCATCACATAATAAGAAGCTCCAATAATATATATTTGTTTTATGGCTTAGAAATTTGGAAAAGAAAAAGAAAAATCCGTAACATCTTTTCTTGTTGGCTTCCCTTTATCTGTTTACTATTTGTCCTCAAGTTAGACAACTTCCAATCCAATTTCTTTGTAGACCCAGTGATGATCCTGTTCCTCAGCACGTTTATTTGTTAGTGGGAACTGTTGCCCAGATTGCTTCATAAACGTGCTGAGGAACAGGATCATCACTACTATTGTTAAAATAGATCAATCTAATTAAATCCCTACTATTGAATCAACTGTGACATCAAAAACACCAGTATGTCATATATACACATATTATAAATCATTTTATAAATAAATATATAATCTTCTATAGTTTTTGGAGTTGAATATTATATAAATGTGAACGAAGTGTGTTTGCTGTAATTGCATTGATAAGATGGTTGGTGCCAGCCAGGAAGAACATGATAGAGCAGAGTAGGAAACAGAGGAATGTGATAAGTGATAGCAAGTGATAATGATTTGGCATGTACGATCATATGGCTGTGTTCCTTTTTCAAAAAAAGAATAAAACTGCTCAATATACACACATATATATTGTTTAAATCTATAAATATAAATTTTCCGGGGTCATGGTATGGGCAAGGAGGAGCAAGAAGAACAGAGAGGGGGGGGGGTGACAGTATAAGGATGCGTCAGAGAGAAGAATGATGAGCAAGTACGAGGAAGCATGCTCGAACTCATCATTTCACTTCTGTGAAAAAAGGCCCATCTCAAATAATACCTTTCACTGTTTTCTTCCTGACTTGTGCAGCAAGTGTTAGTACTTAGTGGCTTATAAAGACTTCAATTTTTCTGGGCTGCTTTTCCGTTGGTGAACTCACTGGGTTTAAAACAGTGGTGATACGTGGGTACGTAATAATAACACAGACAAAAGGGTGACAATTTTTTGGAACAGAGAGCCAAGTGAGGAGGGTGGATGAATGATAGATCATACACCACAAGGTACGAAGTGGGAAACCTACAAAGTGTTGTGTTGTCAACATCTTTGGGAGTTTGTGTGATCCCATAAAATGGACTATTCCCTCATTATACTGTGGTGACCCACTGTCTTGGGGTGACCGAGTCTTAGGTTGGCAGCACACCCCTTCATTGTATGAGGGCTTTTTCAGATTTTTTTTTTTTTTTGGCGAGTAACAAAGACAAGCAAAGCTTGAGTTACATTAAAGTAGTAAACGAGGACTAAGTCCTGAACAACATAAAACCTTCAAGGTAGCCATTTGGTGCATTCGGTGCAAGAAGCGTCTCAAATGAATCATTGTGACCTTCCCTTGGCAAGTAGTGAGCACATCTGATAGCAGGGCATTTTCAGGATTTTCACTTTAAAATATCAAGCTCTTTGTCTAATTATGACTGGTATTTTGAGTGAGTTGTAATGCAAAAAGATAAGAATCTTCTTAATTTATCCATTGCCCTATCTTTCCTCTGTCGCTTTCATCAGAGCTCGTTCTTTTTGTCTTGCCCTCTATTTCTTCTCCTTGCACGACAAGAAAGGAAGCCCAGCTTCACAACCCTTTTCCCTCACTTGCTGACCCAAAAAGATAAAGATAAAGATCCCAATACTGATGGGCCTCATCAGAAAACAAAATACATATAAACTCAATTCTTCTTGCCCAAACCCCCCCCCCAAAAAAAACAGCCATGCTTCAAATTAATTGAGAAGTTGCGAAATATTTTTCCTTTAGGAGAAAGAAAATTCAGGCAGAGATTGATGAATTAAACAAATCAACCAGATCAGGGGGCATGACAAAACATGAATATACTACAAATATCAAGATAGCAAGTAACACAATAAATCATGATACCGTGATACTTTTCGTACAACTTAATTCAAGTTCAATGACAGATTTTAACAGCCAAAATGCTTGATACAGCTTTGCTCGCAAGTAACATATACTTGACATCTTGAAGAAAATTCGAATGACGAAAAGGTTAACATGTGTGAAACGGTTGATGGATCAAAACAAAAAGCTCTATATCTTTCAATATCTCTTCTGAATGACACTGCTCTGGCTAACTCAGCTATCAGTTGATAGGCTCATCTTCTCAAGTTCACTGGTAGAAACACTACCCATAACCTGAAAGTAGAAGCTCCAAGAAGGACTTCTTTCAGTGATACGTTCTTGACCATAAGGGTTTTGCTCAATGTACCCTGCCATATTTTCAGCCTTCACTAGTCCTTCCAAATATACTCGCAGATCACCTCCAACACCTGTAATGAATCATATTTGCACCAGCCAAATAACGTAAATCACAAAAACAAATTAATATGGCACTTTAAGATTGTTTATCCATACAGGCTCAACAGATTCCGTTTTCTCTTTATTGGTATAACAACGCAAGCAGGAAATGCACCAAGTTAGCATACCTAATGAATTGTCACCCTTCTTCTGATACGTGTATGGGTAAGGGAAGATGGATGTGTGTGGCTGAAATGATTGTACAGAACAACCATAAGCATGTGAAATTGTAAAGTTATGTAATTATAAATAGCAGATAGCTACTAGAAAGCAAGTTTTACAGGATTCAGCAATGCTTTGTAAGGAGAATCATCCAAGAGCAATGTATTCGATTCATTGTAGTATCCCTTCTCCCACGGAAGATCAGGATCATGCTTCTCCCAAATTTTCCTCAGATCCTTAAAAACCAGAGGCTTGTGCTTGTTTTCAAGAGTTGCAAAACTTGTAGGAGTACAATGAGAATGATCCTGCCAAATTCAACATCATTAAGAATCAATTATAGGCTGCAAAAGAACAATAAAGTACGAGAACCATGCAAAAGAACAACATCAACAGAAGAAACGGATAATACCTTCCTAAAATGAATGCTTTATTATTAGATATACTAAACCTAGTTATCCAGAGTACAAATCATATCAAAATTTGAACAAGAGAAATGCAGAATTGGAAGTCAATAGAAATAGCTCAAGTGCTTACCCAACAGAAAAGTAGCTTATGTCTCATGTCACTGATCAAACAGTTGATGACTTTATCAACATTTTTCCTATGAAATTAAAAACTTGAAACTCAGATTATTGATTATGTAAAACAGGAGATCAGTAACATACAAACTGAACATTAGTAACAGAGAGAGTGAAACAGAGTAAAGATAGTCAAAATTACTTCATTCTTGAAGACCATACGGCAACTTCAAAATTCTCAAAGCAAAAGTTCAGAAACTCCAGATAGAATGGTCTCTTAAATACTGAAAACGAAAAACAACCTCATCAGTGAAGTATTAAGGAATTATCAGAAGTGCAGAAAAAGCACATAAAACAGTTGATTCTCACTTGCACGCCCAGCAATAATTTCATCTGGTTTGTGGCCAATTGGTCGGGGTAAAACCACGTCAGCAAGCAGCCCATTTATGTCAAGAACAAGAAGCTGCTTCTTCAGGCATCTAATTGATGGTTCAACCAAAGGGATTCTCAAGAGCTCTGGTCTAGCCTCTTCATTTGAGACAGAAACAGAAATTTTCATCCCTTCATCAGCATTAGAAATAACTAGTTGTGCATCACTTCTTGCTTCATCTGTCTTAACTGGATTGCTAGTAGCCTCCTCTGGTATAGTACAAATTAGATTATTGTCACTTCCTGCTTGATCTGTTTTAATTGTATTGCCAATACCTTGCCCTGGTATATTCCAAAGTGGCTCATTTCCTTCTACTGCATGGTGCTCCATCCTGTTTTTCTTTATAAATGTTGAATCGGCTCTCACCGTTCACACCAATGTCCTTTTCCGAACAAAGCAAACATTGGCGACATTAACTACAAAGCAGGTAATACAAACACCTTTCTGTAAAGCAAGCTGTCAAGCTCACATAAATGATTTAATGCAGAACAGAACTGCAAAAAGTATATATTATGTCTAGTAAATGAAATCTTATTTAGTTTCATTGGGTTAAAGACAAGAAAATAATCTTAAAAGTCTTCCATGTCTCATAGAGAACTCTAATCTGGAAAAACCCCTCTGTACTGTGTACCAAGTTTCTTTATCCTGTTCTAGAACTGATAATGCAATTATTTCCACTTCAGCTCTGCACTGTTTCACTCGAATAAAGGTGACCTTTAACAAACTAAGTCTTCGTGATCCATAAGGTTCCACGATTTTACACTTCTTTAGTTGTCCTTCTAACTCCAGGAATGGCCAGCAATTCAAAACATGAGTTGATAACGGCTTCAGTTTGAAACTAATGATCATCTAGAATTTAAGATTACAGTTCGGTAGAAAAGTAATGACTAGAAGGCTTTGCACAAGATACACCACACACGCTACTACCTCCGGTCCCAAATTTTGTGTTATGATAGGCCAGTGACCCCCCCAAAAAAAAAAAACGACATCATCAACATGAATTATCAGCTGATTATACATGATTAGACCATTATGATATATGGAAAGCAGAGAATTAGCTCTGAAGTTTTATGGGAATGGTTGAGAGCCGGCAAAAGACGTCACTTTTGCTAATTAGATACATCGAAGGGATCGAAAGCGCAGATGGAGATGAAATGAGTCAAAGTCAGTAAACTAAACAGGGAACAGTCGAAACATAACCAGAATATGCGGATCCATTTGAAAGGTGATATCGAAAAGAAATAGATACAGATTATTGCGCCGGGGGGTGGGGGTGGGGAATAACAACTGCAAAACTAGCATGCTAAAAAAGGAAGGCACCTCTGATTTTCATTCAGATTGATCGAAACAGGCCCCTCCGAATATTGATCAGCATCAAAATTGAATGTAAAAACAAAATTGACGTGTAGAAAAGAACTTACAGGAGGACGGGGGGAGAAAAGAAAATAAGACTTACATGAGAGTTTGAACAAAGATGTTGGGATTAAGCAAGTAAGAATAAGTAAAATAAAAGAGGAAAAGAAAAGAACTATACTCTGTAAAAGCGGGACGAATAGTAGAATGCCGAGGTTTCCGAGGGAACAAGTTAGATAGATGACGCTTGCGCTTCCGGGTATACGCAGCGAAGAGAAATGACTTTTCTCTCTGCGTGGGGCTTGAAGACTAGAAGTACACAGCTATTTATATATTGGCATCGGTCGTCGAATTAAATTAAAATACTCCTCCGTTCCTATATTTAAAACATTTTGTATAATTTATATTATAAAATAAATCTTATATTTAAAACTTATATTATCAAAAAGTCTTGTATTTAGAACTAGAAAAGCAGTGTAAAAAAAACCGGACCGGCCAGTTCAACCGGTAAACCGGTGGACCGGCCAGTGGTCCGGTCTAGTTCATAAGCTAAACCGGGGACTGGTTCAAACCAGATTGAACCGGTCAAACCGGTGTGAACCGGTAAAACCCGGTATGAACCGATTTAAATAAATATATTAATATTTATCCTATTTTTCTCATTTAACTCCTAATATCTCAATTATTATAGATTTAAATGAATTTTGATGATGAGTTTGGTATCAATAACTATTAATTTTAGTTATTGAAAAATTATAAAGATAAAAATTCTTAATATTGTTGTACTTTATTATTATTACAATCAAATTCTTATTGTATTTCTTTATATGTTGTTATTAGTAATTATTAGTATTGTTATATTTTGTCATTTTAATTAAATTATATTATTTTAATATGACCGGTTTGATCTCAAGTTGATCCCGATCTGACCCATTAACTCTTGAACCACTACCTCAACCGGTTTAGTATCCGGTCCGGTTTTCTGTTCCTCGCAAAAAAGTATCACTAAAGGTTACTTAATTGCTAAGTATTAACTATTAATCGTGTCATTATCAACTTCAATAAATCAATAAAAGATTAGGAAAAGAACGGCTTGAGTCATGAACCATGGTGGAAGCTGGCAGGGCGGTAAGGCATAAAGCGGAAAACAGCACGCGCGCACCGCCGCCACAAGCTGAATTGCAATAACTGCAATGGGCAGTTGTAATTTGCGAATTGCGACTTTCCAGATCCTTTCCCCTCACTTGCAGTAGATGCAAAAGTTGTATAAGATATATAGAATATTATGAGGCTATCCCATCTCACTATTGACACATAAACAATATACATTATGGTATTATAATTTATAGGTACTTGCAAAAGTACAATAACTTAAATATTTTCTTGAAAAAATATGCAGTAGTATGACTCAAGAAATAATACTATCCCTTTAATAAATCAATCAATTTCAGTTGTTTGATTCGCCAAAAAAAAAAGCTACATTTTTTGGGAGGCGCTTCGCCAAATGAGAAAAATAGTACTCTTTCAATTCTTAATATAAAACCTAATTCTTGAGTTAGTTTTGGTCATAAATATAAGATTTATTTCTCATATTTATCAATTTTCTCTAAATTACCTATATAGATACTCCCTCAACCATAATCAAATAGAAGAGGAAGATGAGATATTAGGAAAGATGATTATGGTATTTTAAAAAAAATATGTTCCTTTTCTTATAATTAACTAAATTATGTAACTTTCTTAATATGATCAAATTAGTTAAATGAGTCTTATATTAAGGACTAAGGGAGTATTATTTTAGGAAGAAAGTCATTTGACTGAGGGGCATTTCAGACATTTCGTTAAGATTTCATATTTACAATATGAGACTGGGTCCTTCATGATAATTTTGCTTATTCAGGTGACCTTTGCATAATTTTGATAATTTGAGGGTCTTTATTTGTCATTTTGCCAATGATTTTCATATTGATGATTACTATATTGATGATATGTTACACATAGTTGTACTCACAAATCATAATTACAATCATTCAAATTGATTTTTTTTAACCAATTAAGTTTTCAAACACGACTTTTAACCAAATTTTTTTTTTTTTAGAAACTTGGAGACAATTTTCTCTCCTTTGTTGCGTTAAGAGGAAATAAAGAAGCATTTATAAACTTTTTAAAAGACTTTTTAGAGTGAAACAAACAATTCTAGTGATATATACCACTAACAAATGTATTAAATTAACGAAATTTTTTTGATTTTATTATTATTAAACTTTTCTCTCCCTCTTTTTATGAATAATTTTCATGTTTTTTTCTCTTTTTCTCAATTTTTAATAAAATAAAGGTGAAATCAAAAAATGATTGTTAAATATACTACGAGTAATCTATCTACTTTATATATAAAATCTTGTAATACCCGGTGACGTCAAAACGGGTTGGGTTAAACGGGTTGGGTTAAGCAGTTGAATGACCACTTAATTGACAGTTAATATTATGACATTGATAGAAGAGGGGCACTATAAACACTATTAGAAAAAAGGGAAATAGAGTTTCACAAACAAATTATTTACAGGATTAATTAACATCTGATTTATGCAGTTTGAAATACAGAAATAAGAAAAATATATTTATATGACTCACACTTGAGGGGGAGATTGTTGAAATACAAGTGTAAATCATGTTAGGTGGAATTTGTTATTATTAATATTAATTTCATTCCTTATATCTCATGTTCCTTTTGAAAAAAGCTCCAGAAGAGCCAGTAGCGCTCAACCTTCCATGAGTGCACAGGTTTCTACCATTTGGGTAAAAGATAAAAACTAATGCTCTAGAAGAGCTATATCATTATTTATTATATCCTGAAGATAAAATCTATAATTGATAACATATTCCTTATAGAATATTAAGGAGAAAAATAAATAATATGACATGGTAACAAGAAGTTTACCAATAATTGAGAATGATTTTACAATAAACCAGAAGTTTATGCATTCATAGTTTGGCATGACCGGTCAGATCATCCCGAATCATAATGATGCAAAATATCATAAAAAAATGTGCATTGTCATTTATTAAAGAACCAGAACATTCTTTAAAATGATATGTGATTCCAGAATTTTTATGTGTTGTTTGTTCTCAAAGAGAACATCACTAGCTATGCTCAAAATCGGATCCGTACAGATTTATAATGTATCAAATTTATATATGGGCCCATTTAGACACCATTTAGACCAAAGTAATACTCTATAAGTGAAAGATGCATCTATAAAAAGGTCACAGGTGTTTATGATCAACTTGCAACCTGAAGTTTGCAAATATGTTCAGATAATTACATTAAGTACATAAGTTCTTGATTATGAAATCAATATGATTCTTGTTGAGATTGCTAGTAATTGTTCCTCACGTTGCTGATAATTATATGCTTAGTAAAAGCCTTCATAAGTAGCTATATCAGAGTTTACGAGAATAGAATTCCTACTTGCGTGTTGGGATGATTGATTTTATATATTTTTGCACATAAATGCATCAAGCCAACAACATATTGTGAATTCTCCTATTATATTTGGCTTTTGGTCAGGAGTCAGACATTTTTCATCTTAGAATATGCAATATTTATTATTCCACCGTAATAATAGACATAGGTGGATATTAAAAGTAAGTTGGGATCAATATTGGATAAGAACCTCATTATTCTTGTTTGTCTCTAAATGAAACAAAATAATGTTTCTAAAGGAGATTTATGGATTTGGGAGATCTACATTGCATATTCCCAATATGAGGGGGAGAAAATGTATAGCTGGAAAAGAGAACACATAGAATGTACTTTCACTATCAAATTAGTATCCTCGAATATAGTAGTATGAACTAGAAGTTCATGAAGTATTGCATTTGTAAAACATTACTAATGTCTGCCAGATGCAATTACTGACCCAAATGAGAATTTTTAATTCTTATATTCCGGCTAAAAATGCTCCTATTCTTGAAGACATGCTAAAAGCATGATATTATGATCGGTTCCAAAAGAAAAGAAAAGAAAAGAAAAGAAAAAGGAGCAAATGATAATGATGATCATACTAAGAAGGCATGAATTGCAAAAAAGATTAAGACATAACTCTTTGACCCCTGAAGAGGTTTAAGTGTCTGAAAGCAATAAAGAGATCTCGATATATTATGTCATAAAAGAAAACGGGACCGACAAAGGAATAAAATTGTCAACAATAATTTGATTGATGATATCACATGATCAAGTGAGGATCTTATATATAAATCTGTTATGAGATACAGACAGAAAAATGACTGGCCAACAGAAAAAAAAAGACGCAACATTATAACAGGAGATTTGTGTATTTCTAACCCAAACACTTGAAGTGTAAGGGGTATTTGTACAAGAAAAGAGAAAGAGAATCTTGTGGTGAATTAAAATTTTTATGTATATTATCAATCTGGCAGTTTGATAAAATCTCATATGCGTCTAGAAATACATGACCCACTATGTGAAATTATATGTGAATTCCAGAAGGATTCAAATTCTAGTATAATATCAAATAAAATTAGAGATTTGATCATAATGTAGAAAATTCTCTGAAAGAGATTATAATTTAAGTGAAAAATACAACATTTAATGATATAAATATCGATCCAATACATGAATAATATGATCATAAGTATGAAGTCTAGGATTAAGTTTCTAAAGCATACAATTATCTCAGAACATCATTGAAGTAAGTCTCTATATGAGACATATGTGGTTACTATCAACTGAAGGAATGTTGTAAACTTATTCCAACTTGTCTGTTTATGAAAAGATTCAAAATGAGTCTGTTATCGATACTATTTATAATGATAGTATCACAACTCGTGATGAGTTTTCAAAAACTGCAAATTACTTAAAGAAAAAGTTTGAAATAAAAGCTTTGAGAAGAATACATATGGATAAATCACATCCATTATGCGGATAAGTAACATTCATTATGTGTTTCGGTAGTTGCAAGATCTTTAGATATGGATTAAAGATCGATTTAGACCTTTAGAAGGTAATGAACAAATACTTGGTCCAGAAGTACCATGCTTTAGTGTCACTAGAGCACATATGTATCTATCTAGCCACACATAACTCAATATATCATTTGCTAGTTAGCATGATATAGTTTGTCGCTAATATAAAGATGATGGAGTGAAATTAAGAATATTTTTCATTTAAAGGATACCGTGGATATCCGAAAGTACCCACAACTAATTTTACTGGCTATGTAGATAAAGTATTTCTGTTTGATTCTCATGTTAAGAGATTACAGCATGATCCACATGTGGGTAAACTATAAAAGGACTATTCGCCTCATAATTTTTGGAAGATTATGAAATTCATATTTGACGTTTTTATCTAATTACAATATTTAGAAGGATTGTTCGTTATATTAGACTTTGCAGGCTCCAAGATGTCAATTGATGTTGTCAAGAGGGGGAGTTGATACACGTTGTACTCTTTTTTCCTTGTCTATGGTTTTGTCCCACTGGGTTTTCCTAGCAAGGTTTTTAATGAGGCAACATTGCATAGTGTATCAATGAATGATGTACTCTTTTTCTTTCGCTAGGTTTTTATCCCATAGGGTTTTTCCTAGTTGAAGTTTTTAACGAGGCACATTCATATATATTGGACATTCAAGGGGGAGTGTTATGAATATAATAATATCTCTGTGGATTTCCATATATCTCCCTTTATCTCCTATATCTCCTATAATCTCTAAGATCTCCCATTATCTCTATATCCCACAATTATCTCATATTATCATGTGATCTGTAGATTCTATCAAAGATGTAAAGCTGTGCCTATAAATAGAGGCCATGTATAATATATTGTATACTCTTGAATGGAATGGGAAAGACTCTCTCTTATCAATCCTCTCTTCCTTTGTATGATTCTTCTCTATTCTTCTTTATTCATAACAATATGCAAATTTTTACATGGCATGTTATTAATTACTAATGCTTAATCAATTTCTTACACTATGTTTGGTACGGGGTTTTCAGGAGGGGAGGGAGGGAAGTTGCCCCCCTCTTCTTATTTGGCTGGTGCAATTTTTTAGGAAGGGAGGGGAGTTGCTCCTCTCCCCTTGTTTGGTTAAAATATTTTTCAAAGAGGGGAGGGGTTCTTCTCCCTTCCTTTTTCCTTGTAGCCTTCCCTCTAAAAGTGTGGCTTTTTGGATGGGAAATGAAAGATAATATTTTAATTCTTTATATACCCTTTCGATTTGTAAACCCCTAATCAGTCGTAAATATTTCTACATAAAAGAGTTCTTTTGAATATCTAGCAAGAGGTTGTTGAGATAATTGTCTCCAAAATTAGTGAGCATTTGTGAACTTTTTTTTGTGTGCTCTTTTTCTGATTCTAAGAGGCCGTCGATATTTTTTTTTCACTTTCAAGGTATTTTATTTGATTGAAATCTATCATTCATGACTTTTTATTTTGATATCTTATAAGTGTGTGACTGTGTTTTGTAAGTCAGAATTGGTGAATTGCATTTATATGTATAGTTATATCTTGATAAAATAAAAAAGTGAGAAAATTCATTTAAATTTTATGAGTTTAAAATAGTTAATTTTTTATTAGAACAAAATAAGGTACCACTAAAATTGCTCTCTTCCCTCTCCTCCAATCAATCCAAACAGAATATCATTAAAATCTCCTCCCACCCATTTCCCTTTGTAACTACCCTCCTCTTTCCTCTCCATCTCTTCTCTCCGTCCAGCCAAACACAACATTAATGACCAAGAAAATATCTAAGAAATTCCTTCAAATCTTGCCGAACATGGTGTTTGATGGTTGATAATTTCATACGTGACCTGGCCTACGACTGCAATACTAATGTCTGATTTATTTATTTTTCTATGCACTAAAAAGTTACACACATTGAAATCTCTCCTCACACGCTCTACCCAGCTCTTGCTATCTAAGGCGATGTAAATGACAGAAAGCTGCGTAGTTATAATGATTAAAAATTGGCAATTTTCAAAAAACATCCATCGTCTTTTTATTCTAAATTTGACTATGAAACGTGGCCAACAAAATTGACTATGAAGACATAATTCTCAACGTCAAAAAGTTTTGTCTGGAATAGATTTTTTTTTTTTCACCTTGTTTCGAATGGATGGTTACAATGACAATTGTTTTTCTCCAGCCGTCTTTTCGAATAAAGTCAACAAGATCCTTATTTTTCCCCGCTTCAAGAGATTCCAACCATTATGAGAGAAATAAAAGAAGGATTTTAAAATTTTAATAAAGAAGAGAAGTAATATAAAAAAGTAATAAAAATTAATTAAAAACTTTTAATCCCATTTTTTCAATTTTTTATATTGAGTTTATTAAAATTTTTCCTCCCCGTCTTTCATACCCTAAATGCACAGTTTGACTGTGAGGCAATATTTAATGCTTAGTTCTTCCACAAATCACAATTGATAATTATCGATAATTATTTATCAAGTTACACCCCTGATAAATAGAACATGGAGAGAGAGTATTTTTTTAAAAACACAAGTCACCTTATTAAATGAATTAATATACATTTTTTGTTGTCAATTTATTGTTTTGTAAGTTGCTATTTTTTTAAGAAGTACGTATGTTAGATAAAAGTAAAATTAAACAAATATTAGAATTAAAAGTAAAATTAATAAAATGATTTTTTTAGTACTAGTTAAATATGTTAGAAAAATTTTATAAATATAAGATCAGAAGACTATCATTTTTCTTAATAACACTTGAATGAAATTATAAATATATTTTCCAATATTGTACTTTGCACCTCCTACCTATAACTATCTCAATATGCACAGCTAATATGGTGAGTAAAAAATCACATCCAGAGTAGAAAATGAATATCTCACCTATTTTGAAAAGATCGCAAACCAAAGATAAAGTGACAACGTTTCACAGCTCATCAGTGGAAAAATCAATATATAAAAATTAGATTCTGCACTATCGAGCTTGAAGCAGCTAATTTTAATAACAAGTCGCAATTTCTGAATAATACAGTTTTTAAATAAAATTTACATTATATTGATATATTAAATGTCAAATTGAGCATTGACACTTGACACTCATTCTATTTAGAAATCATGCGTGCGGAACTTCATTCTATTTAAAATTAAAAATCATACTTATTAATAAATGTTTTTTTTGGTGGAAATAAAGGTTTGTTTTTATTTGGTGATTAAGTATTTAATTTGACTCGTGATCTACAAGATCTCACGTTGTCAACGTAAAAATCTTATTGACCAGTGAATGCTCTTTGACCCCAAAAATATATTTTATTACCTCCTGCTCTTAATATTATTTTCGTATTAGATAGCTAATTTAAAAATATTAAAAAATTAGTTAGATTGGTTATTTGTCGCAAATATATGTTAATCTCATCTCCCTAAACAATCTTCAATCATGTACATTGAATAATTAATATTATTCATCAGTAGAGCCCTTTGCAATCAATAAACTATTTTGAGGAAGAAAATGAAAGACAAAGTATATTAAAATCTTATATTTCGGATCAAATCCAAATTTTAACTAACTCTTATATTAATGACTGGAAGTAAAATTGGCAACTCTTAAAAATCAATTGAAAAAGTACTTTCATACAAATTGAGATAAAATTCTTTTCATATATGTATATTGTTCACTATAAAATCAATTTTTACAAATAATTCAAACATATCATGGTATAAGATAAACTAAACTAAATTTTTATACTCTTCTGGTCCTTAATATAAGGCCTATTTATCTAATTTGATTAGATTAAGGAAATTAGATAAGTTAGTTAATTATAAGAAATGTGACATATTTTTCCTAAAATACCATAATCATCTTTCTTAATATCCCTATTCCTCTTTTACTTGATTATGGTTGAGAAAGTATCCATAACGGTAATTTAGAGAAAACTGATAAATATAAAAAATAGGTCTTATATTTAAAATCAAAATCAACTCAATAATTAAATTTTATATTAAGAACGGGGAAGTATTAAAAACATTGGTAGCTTGGATATGCCGTGGGAACGGAGATTTAATTGGCGCTGACATTAGTTACATTTTCCGGTGTGACAGGCGAACATAAAAAAAGAAACAAAATACAAGTCTATGCACAAGCACGAGCACGAGCATTTCGCAGCATATATGGAAGCGGTTTTCGTTCCTCTCGTTTCGCGCACCGCTCTGCGTCAAGTATATAAAGCAGCCTCAATCTTGGCGAGCCGTCTCTTCAGTCACTTGCAGCGGTCACACCGTTCTCTTCAGTTTTATATTTTGCGTGCATGCATTTCACCGATGGGCAATCTCTGTGCCATCCCCGCACCTCAGACGCCCAAGAAAAAGCAAACCAAGCGCTTACCAAATGCGCCGCCAATCTCCAATTCCAGTAATCGTTGGTCCCGTTCGCGTTCTTCTCGTCAGGAGAAAATCGACGATGCCACGATTCAAGAGCAAGCGCTAGTGGCTGCGATGCTTTTGAAGCATCATCAGCAGCAGAATGGTACTCTACCGTTTGATCGATCCAGCTCTCTCCGACAAACCAATGCGTCTAATAAGAAGAATTCGTTGCCGCGGAGTTCGAGTTCCAGGCCTCGATCACTTACTGATTCTTTGATACAGCCTCATCAACTAGTTAATCAGGTGCTTTCATGGATGGTTGCCCATGTTTGTTGTATTTCTTTGTGGAATTCAACTGTTTAGGACGAAATTTGATCAGTTCGAACATGGTCATCATTTCAGGAAGAACAACACCGCTTATCCTCTATTTTTTTCGTTGTTTGATTTGGTTTCTTTGCCCCTTTGCATTCGTGGTTTTGTTTACAGTTGTAAAAATTTGTCCTGGCGATTGAGCTTTGAAGTGGAATACAACTTGTATTCGGTACACGGGTTTCTGTTATTTACGATAAAAATTATACCAATTTATGAAGTTTAGCTCCCTCCAAAGCCGTGTCTTTATAAAATGAGAATCGTGAGATGATTGTTCTCTGATGATCAGTATTTTACACATTTATCAAAATATTTTTGAAGACCCTGCAATTTTGTGAGGGGGAGGGTTTAAGATCTTTATTTGCCCGGTTGAATATTTCAAGAAACACCTTTTGAATCATTTCTCACTAAAAATCAGGTGTGGCTTTGAAGGCAACTTTGTTTCGCTTCTCTCTTTTCGCAAGAGAGATGTTCATTTCTAAAATGCTATTGAAGTCGGATCCGACGGCGTTTGTTTGTGGGTGCGTGGAGGCATCGCTAATTGACAATTTGGGTCTGGGTATAGACAAAAGTAGTTCTTTGAAAGTTAAAAAGTTATTATTGCTGTTATAAACTCCTAACTTCATTTCTGTTGGCAGTAGTATCAATTGATTAATGTTTACATAATTTAATTGTGCTTTCCTTTTTATCAGCAAGATTGTCTGCTCAAAGATTAGCTAATTAGGAAATGTCAAAGCATCATATTTAAAATGCTGAGATTCCCTTATTGAAATGCCAAGATTTCCCCCACTTTGACAGGATATAAGGCTTGATGATCTGGAGACCAATCATTTTGTCCTTGTCCATGGAGGCGGCTTTGGCGCTTGGTGCTGGTATAAAACTATTGCACTTCTAGAAGAAGGTGGTTTTAAGGTTGATGCCATAGACTTAGCTGGTTCTGGGGTTGATTCCTTTGATACCAACAACATTACGTCTATATCACAATATGTGAAGCCGCTCACTGATTTTCTTGACAAGCTTCCTGAAGGCGAGAAGGTGTTTATCTTATTGTTTTCTCATTTTAATAACTAACAGTTTGATTATAATTATAATGTTTCTTATATTTCTTCATTAGCCGCTTTTGTTTGAGAGTCTTGGGGATAGGAAGTATGTTGACATTTAGTTTATCTATTGTCAACATTGCCAGCATCTTGCCAAGGTTATGACCTTTTTTTTTTTTTTAATTGCTTTCTTTCTCACTCTCGGTGCCTGTGTTTCTTTCTCACAATTATCTGGTAGGATGCAAAATGGGTTAGATATGAGAATAAGATATTTTCAGAATGTACTTCATGTGTATTGCTTAATTTCTTCCTGATTTTGTTTGCAGGTGATATTGGTTGGGCATGATATTGGTGGGGCATGTATATCTTATGCTGCTGAGTTGTTTCCTCTTAAAATATCCAAGGCTGTCTTTATTTCTGCAGCAATGTTGATCAGTGGGCAAAGCACTCTTGATATCTTTTCTCAACAGGTGAATTTATCCTGTCAGCGTTACAACTGCTGCATCTATGATTTATAAAATTTATAGAAACAAGCAGCTGCCATTTATAGTTTTATATTTCTTTTTTGATAAGATTTATAGTTTTATATTTCACTATAATGTCTATGACCTTAAAGCTACAGCTGTGATCTACTCTGTCCAAAAAGTTTCAGTTTATTGTTTCGCCTCTCTGCCATCCATTAGGAAGCATGCAAAATGATGTGCACATTAATCTTCCCTCGATACTAATCAGTAGATTTTGTTTGGGATTTTTCCATAGTTAGGGGTCTTTTTCAAGGTTACTAAAATTCATTTTGAACTTGTATACTTCAGAATTTGCCCATCTTAGGGCTGAAATGCTTATTGCCCGGGTTACGCCTACTGTATGGCTGCATAGTGAACTTAATGTTCATTAGCATTTTCTTCAATTGGTGAACTTCTAGCTCAATCTTTCTCATTAAATTTATATAAATTTATACAAATAATCCCTGTCAAATGAAAATCTTAACACTCTAAAATGTCGTATGTCGTTCTCAATATTTCTTCTTCTTCTTTTTTTTAATGCCTCAACGGAGTTAGAGATTAAGAGAAAGAGCATTTGTAGTTAATTTATGGTTTCCTGCTCTCAACTAAACAATTAAGTTTTATAAATCATAATGTGGAGTTCCTCTATCCTATCAGTGTGTTTCATTGTGTCTATCAATGCAGGTGGGTTCAAATGATCTTCTTCAAAGATCTCAGATCTTTTTGTACTCAAATGGGAAAGATCAGCCTCCGTCTTCTATCGATCTAGACAAGTCACTGTTGAGGGATTTGTTATTCAACCATAGTCCAGCCAAAGTAAGTTTGAGTATTAACATAGAAATTGTCTGCTTAGTTTAACAATAATATTGTGATATGCGTGAAATTGATCTATTGAACCAGAAGGGTAGTTTCATTTTTATTTTATTTTTTTAGGGGGGATAGCGAATTATGTTAAAACTGTACACAGAAATTTTCAAGGTCTTGTCCCTTGTGGAAGAGAAGACACATGTAGGCCATTGAAGTGATATTCCATTTTGGTATTAGAATAACAGATTTGGTTTCTGATGGGAAAATTTAATAGTTCATACATGCCAGATTCCCTCAGCCCCTCGTTATTGTAAAGGAAGACAAGAAGCTTTCCCTCACGCTGCTGAACCGGCAATCCCCATGACGATTGTGATAGCTCCCAATGCATAAAATTCTTAGCTAATATTGGAGCCATGGAGCATAAGAATCAATACTTTGGCTGCTAAATACCATGGAAGTTTGTTCATGAGATTTGATAATGTTCCTGTGGTTGTGGTCTGTGTCTGTCTTTCATGTGTGTCAATATGAGGATAGTACCAAGTCTTCTAGTCTTGAGTGATTCTCCTCTTTTCTTGATTACTTTTGACATCTTGTTACAGGATGTGGCATTAGCATCTGTTTCAATGAGGCCGATACCTTTTGCACCAGTATTAGAGAAGCTTTCTCTTTCTGACCTGAGATATGGATCTGTGAGGAGGTTCTACATTGTAACACCTGAAGACAATGCCATCTCCGTCACACTACAGGAGAACATGATAAATGCAAATCCCCCAGAAAAAGTCTTCCGGTTGAAAGGGGCTGACCATTCTCCTTTTTTCTCAAAGCCTCAAGCCCTGCACAAGTTACTGGTAGAGATTTCACAGATCCGTTGAAAACGTTATTCTACTCATTGTTTTCATGGCATAGTCATGAGAAACCTCGAATAACATGGCACAGGAATGCAAATGGTATCAGTAACTTAATGTGCTCTCTTTAGCATAAGGATTAGACTTAGATCAAGTTCTTTAGTTGTTTGTTACTATGCTCTCTAATAAAAAAGTAAAATGTAGAGGATTGGGGGGGGGGGTGCTACATGGAGGTCCACATCCATTTGTTTATTTGTGTTTCCATATGTATATATCAGTTGTTATTATATTTTTATTGGAGATCCCTATTGCAAACACTTAAATCATGGGTTGTATCCTTAGCAAAAAGTGTACTGTACGGGGTAGCATGGCTTGATTACACTAGCATTTGTTCTCTTTTTTTTTTTTTTTACGCACCAAAACATCAGCATTTGTTTGTTGTCTTTTTTAAAAAAACAAAAAACAGAGAGAAAGTAGGATTACCTGTCAATTTATGGTAACCTTTGATGGACAATTCTCTAATGGCGGTGATATGAAGCCATATTATGTTATAAAGCACAAAAACTAAGTTAAAATGAATTCACATTATCTCCTAACAACACAATTGCTTTTTAACGAAGGCACCTGTTGGAGAAACTTTTTTTTTATAAAATCATTCTTTGATATGGATACAGTTATTGTCGTTATCAATATTTTTTTTTTTGGGCCAGAATCATTGTTAATATAATTAAGAAGAGACTTCCTTAATAAACAAATCATAAATGAAAGACTTGGGAGGACGGGCAGCAAAGGAGAAAGTGAATAAAATTGATTATCAATTGTCAAAACGACGGATGATGGAATAAACATTTTTAAATTGTTAAAATTCGCAGATACATGCCATCTAGTTATATGGTGAAATTGAATTCAGGCAATGTTGGCAAGTTCTGTGTCCTCACAAATGGGTCTCCCTTTACAGCCTTTGTTAAACAGAATTGGATGCATAGACATGTGGATTCAATAAATATGTACAGAGAAGCAACTTTAATAGGGTTTGGTAATGGGTAAGACTATAGAAGAACTTTAATTGGGGTTGGTAATAGGTAAGCAAAAGAAGCTTTATATTGAAGATACTGAGGAAAAAAGAAGTTGTGTGATCAGAAAGACATGGAAGATCCGTCTGCAACAGTAAGCTGTCACATGCGTGATACTAGAGCAATGGATTTATCAGTTCACCATCTTTTTTCAGCTAAAGTTGAGTTCTTTGATCCATTTATCACTTTGCCTCACCACCAAGCAAGTCACAGCAATGTGCACTGTAAAGTATATATTGCTTCATTACACTTCAGCGGATTAAGTTTGAACTTTACTTGTCTTCGCCTTAAACGTAGCAATTTTGAACTTCCGGTGTTACTTCAGTTTGTTTTGACATGGAAAAGTGAAATGTTGCCTGGTAGAATGTTATTAAGGTTGTTAAGAATTCACTGAGCTCTGGTTCTGACTTTAGTTGGTAATTGGCTCCCTGTTGGATATCAGCTATTGTAAAATTGCCATCATGCTGTGAATATATTATAACCACAATGATATTATAATTATAACTTTTAAGTTTATAGTCATTGAAAATTAATTCTTATTTTATTCTCAAATAACAATGAAATAGATTAATCAGTTTTATATCTATAAATATTATAAATAATACTCCCTCTAGTCCTAGATATAAGACCCATTTTGTAGTCTAAATTACACTACAAAATGAGTTTTATATTTAGAACTGGAAGAGTATAATAAAATTAATAAATAGCTGCATTGTTCATAATTCATAAACAATACACCTTAACTTGTATACAAGTCTCCCACATAGTTCAATCCTACAAATGCAGTCAGGTAAAAAAATAATTAAAAAAAAAGAATTTTATAATTTTATAACAATAAATACTACCCTTGGTCCTTTTTATAAGATCCAATTAACCAAATTGTGTGTTTTAAGAAAATATGTCAATATTAATTAAAAGGAATAAATATATAAAGAATGTTTTTTCTCTCCCAAATATTCACTGGGAGGGAGTATAGTATACGGAGAACTCATTTTCTTATATTGCTTTTGCACAATGTGCCGCACCACTCGCCACTATTTATGATTTTGTTATTTGTTATGTATAGATTTAAATAATAATGTTACTTGCTAGATTCTACTAACTCACTCATTATAGATCCATCAAATATATCAAGTGATGATTGATTGAGTTATCCTGTTATGATATGCTAATATATTGATTAGTATAATTAAGTAATATTGGAAAAAAAGCATAATTAAAATAATCTTTTTTTTTTACAATCATTAAAATAGTCTAATTTAAAACTTTGAACTTCTTCATAAATATTTGTTTATTATCCGGACGTGAGTTTGCCTTCCCTCTTGTCTACTCGCTCCGGGGAACAGAAGGTATGGAAAGTCTCAGATCTGAAATTCTGTCTCTTCATGATTTGATTTCCATTTCGAGCCGTACTCTTCACCTAGGGCACTTCGATTTTGCTTTCTGCTCTATGATGAAAATTTCTTTAATTAACCTATGATATTCTGGTTCACATTGTACCTACTTTCCTAGTATTATTACGTACATGTTTGCTACTTTCATTCCGCGGAATTTTGTTGGGGGATTTTAGCTTTTATTCGGTTGTTGGATTTATGGATTCAACTGTGGGATGCCCGGGCGGACAATTCAACAGGAATTGCAAGATAACTGATTCAACATACTGCATTTTCTTTTAAGGCTTCGATCGCACAATGCTGAAATTATTTGGGTCGCATTTCCTTAGGTTAGCATCTCATTTTAATGATCTTCCTATTCCCTCACATTAGCTATTTAGTTTTGAAGAGAAAACTCATGTCAAATCATGCCTTGTTCATTGAAGCTCATTCTCTTTGAACGCAACAAAGCAACACCAGGGCTCCAAAGTGGATTCTGATTTATAGGTTCAGATGGACTGATAGATTATTGTTCTGTTTAGCTGTATTCCTAATCACTTGGTTTTTTATTCTGCCTTTCCTTATAGGTTATCTTTCTTGCCAGCCCAGAATTCTGGGGGTTATATTTCTCATCAAATAAAATGTGCAATGCAGGTCCATCCACAAACTCTAAATTGGCAGAATATGGGTCGCGGGACTAGCAGTGGTGGTGGCCAGAGTTCCCTGGGCTATCTTTTTGGAAGTGGGGAGGCTTCCAGTTCGAGCAAAACCCGAAATGCTCCTGTTCAAAGTCAACCTGAAAATGAAGGGCACTCTCAAAATGCAAATGTTGCACCACGACCAATTAATAAAGAAATTCCAGCTGGAATTCATGGGAATCTGACAAACAATTACCATCGTGCTGATGGGCAAAACTGTGGCAATTTTATCACTGTAAAGCCCTTGCCGACCTCTCTCTTAAGTTCATTTAAACTGTACTGCATGAATATCTTCCCTCGTGTATGCATGTCCTAAATATTTTCGTCGCAGCCTTGACGTAGGAAATTTTGAAAACTTTAATTTCTAAGCCTTAATATTATGAAAAATGATGAGGATCGGAATTCACTTGTTGATAATGTTCGTTAAAAAAAAAAAATAATAAAGGTACGTTCTTTGAGTCTACAGCTTATGCCAGGAGCAAGACAAATTCGGACAGTAAACAACATTGTCCATAACAAAAGTGCTGCTGATATGGGAATTTCTAGGATTGCATTCTAGATAAGCTATTAACTGCAATTGCACAAGTACTTGATGGCAAATTGTTGTCCTCATTCAATCACCCCGCTCCCTCCCCCCCCCCCCCCCAACCAAAGAAAAACTGGATCCTTTCCTGCATAGGAAAGTATCCAAACTGTGAGACTTGTGAGTTACGAGAATTCTGTTGTTTTATATGGTTCTTGAAAGGTTGTTAATGATTTATTTATGAAAATTAACCTTATCTGTCTCGGAGTGCATTTTCTAGGATTGTGGACTCTTGTGTGTTTTATAATTGGCATTGGCAAACTCACGTGCCCAGCAAAATTAGTGCTACTGCTGTATCCTTTCACTTGGTAATTAGTCTTCGGTGTGCTTTTTTCTTTTTTATTCCTTTTTGCACAACAACCTTTCAAGTTGCTCGATTTGCTGTGGAGCTCCACACGCAGCAATTTCATACCTTGCCTCATTTAGTATCTACTCAAGTCTTATGGGAATATTCCCTTTCCATATATATGATGCCTAATTTTGACACCAACATTTGCTGCTGTTCAATGATAGGCATAGAACAGCGTCTCTAGTGAATTCTGATGCTTAATGCATAGTAATTCCCCGTAAAATAAAGAGTAACTTGCAATTCCGTCCGGCCTCCTTTCAATTCGAGAGTTTTGGGATGGTAGTAAAGCGATTGAGAATGAACGAAATTTCTGTTCTGATGGTATCTGGGCAATATTGTCCTCATTTGTAATGTAATTTTCTTTTGGATGCAGGATCGACCATCTACCAAGGTTCATGCTGCCCCTGGAGGTGGATCTTCTTTGGGCTACCTCTTTGGCGGTCCTCCTGGGAACTAATCTTCTGTGTTAAAGACAAATATGCTTCTCAACAACACATGTTGTGTGTAATATATTAACTGCTACATATATTATGTTTATCACCACGCACTTGTTCCCGGAGAAATTGAACTCAATGCCATGATGTTGGTGTGACTGATGACCCATCATTTATTTGCTGGTAAAGCTGTTGGCTTTCAATTATGAAATTGGCTGTGCGCACCAGCACACAGAGTCGCCTGTTATTACCCCGATTATTTTTTTATGATGTTATTTTCCTGTTTTTTGGCCATATAATCAAATTTTTCTTAGAGTTTGGGGTTTGGCTATGTTATTCTTATCATTTTTCTTAGTTAAAATAAATAATCCTCCTCAAATATATGATATGAATATATTTTTTTAACTAATGAAGCTTAATATTCACATCATATGAAATGTGATTTTATTCTTTCTTCAGGTAGATTGATATTAAGTTCTGACAAAATTGGGATTTTATAAAGATAGTTCAGCATCGATTTTGAATAAATTTTTCCTTCCTATGTTCTAATATTAATAAAAGTACATGCCTAATTCACCATGGTGATGAATTACTAGTTGATATTGATTAACTTATTTAAATTTTAAGTTTTAACTTAGTTTCTATAATTTCCTACCTAGAATTTAAAATGTGAATTAAACATGCATTAAGTTTATCGATAGCAGCTCAACTACGATGGAATCACGGTTAAATCGGTGATTTTTTTTTGGCTTCATAAATTAGTGAATTTTCATTTTTGGACTAATGTTTCGCTGGTTTCAATTTCAATGACCGGCCTGCACCTTAACTTCATCCGGATGGAGCAGGGGCTCCTTAAATTTTACGGCCCTTTTGGGTTCCATTCACATGCCAGGGACTAAAAACTGGATGGACAATTGAACCGGTTAAAATAATGGGTCAAGAATCAGTAGGTCAGATCAAAGTCAAACCGATGACAAATAAAAAACAATAAAAAAGTAATTTAAATTTTCACTAAGAGTTAGATATCAATTTAATATCTTGAATCACTAATAAAATAATCATATACTTACAATTTCTTATAATATCATACTACTAAAATTACTAGATATTCATCCCAACAAAATATCAAAATAGATATATGATACAAAATATTCCTCTTTATAGTTATTCAATCACTAAGTCCTAATTATTAACAACTTTTAAAAAAAATCATCAAAATAATTTTTTTTTAAAAAGGCAATCGAGTTAACCTACCAAACCGGATGAGTTAGCCAGGTCATTATTGGTCCCTGAGTTGATCCGGGTCTGTTCGTTTCTTGTTTTAATGCTCAACTGGACTAATTATCAGGCTGGTTTGCTGTTTCCGATATGAACCGGCTGGTCCAGTCCGGATTTCAATACATGGTTCATATGTGATTTTTTTTTCCTTTCCGTAGGGGGTTTGTTATTTTTACTTAAAACCTCTAAAATTTTAAATTTTAAAATAAAAAATAATTAATATTGTCAATTATTATTAAATTATAATAAACAAGATTCATTTGAAATTTTGAAATTTAAAAGTAATTGTTTTTTAGATTCTCTCTTTTGTTTATTCAGGTCACACGTTTGCACAAGCAGGATGGGAGGGGTTTAAGAATGGGTACAAAAGAAATTTTTTTTTTGGTCAACATAGAAGGAGATTTTTCTAAGTAATCATTATTATTTGCCAGCTATTATTATCATCATCATCATTTTCGCCCACAAGAGAATGAAGATGAAAGAAAACCAAAAGGCCAAATAACTGCCGAATCGTCCACACGGAAAAAAAATTATAAAATGATAAACAAAAATAAAGTATTTTTTCCAGCACGCCGCTTTCTCGCACTCCGCGATAGCTAGGGCAAGAAATATCTCTTCACAAGAGCCTCTTACGCAGAGAACTGGGGACGCAGTAGTGGACGGCGACATTGTCTGAGATCGGCAACTTTCTCAGAGTCGGTGAGTTGCTCTGTTTAATTTCCTGACTAGACGATTTGGGCATTATGGATTCTTCTTCTAACTGTAGTTAGGAAAAGAATTTTACGCTTTTTTCCTCGATGTGTTGTGACTACTGCTTCATGCTTTTGGGTTAATCTTATCTCCTTTATGCTGGCGAGAATTTTGGATTTCCAGAACCTTGTAAATGAAAACCATGACTTTGGAGCATTCTTCTATGACGTTGGAATTTTTGATGCCCTCTGTCTATCATACTCATCCTCATATCATATAAGCACTTGGTTTTCGTAGGATTAACAAGAGTGTGTTTTACAATTTTTGATTCTCTTCTATTTTGCCTTTCTTCCCCTCTCTGCTTTGTTTCTAGGGTTTTAAACTTCGTAGAGCACGCAGCTCTTGCAGCAACAATGACGACTGTAGTGCCAACCTCCGAGGAAGATCCCTCATTGTCTGTCGTTCGATTCGCATCAGAGCTTGCCTGGGCCGATGCCGGTCCTGAGGTACTAAACACTTCCCTTCTTACCTTTGAGCCACATACTTTTTTCATTTATCTCACTAATTTATGTTATTGGTATGTCAGGTTGCTGAGCCCCAAGTCAGTAGACTGTGTAGGGAGGCGGAGGAATTCATTGCCATGGGAAAGTGGTTAGAGCTAGCATCACTGATGGTTACTTCTGCTGAATTGATATTCTCAAAGGTGTCTGAAAAAGGTAGAACACACTCCTTTGCTTGGTCCGTGGCCTACACTCCTAAATTTCAGCTTTACAAGCCAACTTGGTATTGTGTTCAGCTGCCCATCTTGTTCTCTTCCCTGTTCCGTTGATAAAAACATAATCATTTATGCGTGTGTATATATTTTACATTTATCTGACATTTTCTCCAATTCCTGCTACCCTGGTTGATTATGGCTGTTCTGGCGCTTGATCTTCGTTAAACCTTTTTGTAGATGATATTGCAATGTTTACTTCTTGAGACTCAAAAATTTATTTCACAGAATGCATTTTCACCTTATTGTTTTGTGATGTAATTTAAAAAAAAAAAATTGGTCAAGGAAATATGATGTGCAATGAATCTTCCAAACTAATCCAAATGTTGGCACGTGTGAACATTGTTCATTGAGTTGTCCGACAAAAAACTTAATTTTCATCTTAATGTCAACCATAACTAATGCTACAGGCCTGTGGTTATTATTTCTGGTGCAGATGTTGAATCCATCTTCACCATTATATGCAATCTTGTTACAAAGACTGAGAATCCAGATGAAGAGTTGGAGATAACAAAAGTCATAGCAGCAAAAGTAATTCAACAACCAAATGAAAAGCCTGCAGTGCGATTGAAGATGTAATTTTCTTGTATTCGTGCTTTTTAAAAAGGTTTTGGTAATGCATGCTTATATCACTTCTTTTTTTTAAAAATCTCTTTATTCTCTGCAGTTTGTTCAATCTGTACAACCTTTTGGAGACACCATACAGCCGTTTTTATGTATATTTGAAGGCACTGAATTTATCAGTTCATGGAAAGGTCGCAGAACACATCATACCTTCATTTGCAAAGATGGATAGCTTCTTGAAAGACTGGGGCAGTATTGGGATAGTGGAGCAACGTGAGCTCTTCCTCACTATCTCAGACATTTTGAAAGATAATAAAAGGTACGGCAGAAGTCAGAATTGTTTTCCTTAACTGAAATTATTATTATTTTGCTTCACCATAATTGGTTTTGGGAGTAAATTCTCTTTCATTCTATCACGACCTTCCCCACAAAAAAGGACAACCATTTTGTGATTCATCTTGCAATATTCTATCTTGTCATATTAACTTATTTTTCCTCTCTTGTCCCAGCATGGCAAAGGATTCATTAAAGTTTCTGACCAAGTATTTGGCAACTTTTTCGGGAGACGATGCACCTGCTTTAAGCGAAGCAAAAGAGGAGGCTGTGCGTGCTATTGTGGAATTTGTGAAGGCGCCTGACATATTCCAGGTAACTTATTTGGTTATATGCAAGGAGCTATCTCCCCCCCCCCCCGGGGAGATAAATGCCTATCTTGGTGCTTCTGTTCTAAAAGTGTATGGCTGTCTTTGAAAGTCATGTCACTATTCTTAAAATCTATTTTTCTTGTGTCTTTTTCACTGAGGGTCCTTTACTTTCTCTGTTCCTTGGTGGGTGATAACTTTTTGCCTAATTTTAGGTTCCTAGAGGTGACCTGGATGCCTTGCTGCCAATTTATTGGGATACAACGTTGCCTGTGTGAATCTCTATCTAGTAGAGTTGTATAGACAAATTTGAAGTGATGAATATGGCCCGTGACTTGGCTTTTTGTTACTTATTTATGTGATAGTTTGGTAATTTAGCTCAGAAAATGTCAAACTAGAGTCAAATGTATGTGTGAATCTCTAATACAGACTCAAGTTTTAGACTCTAGAGTTCGATGGTTCCCATCATTTTCCTGTCTTCTACGTGTTTCTTGTGTCTTGAATGGAAATTTAGCTCCATCATTTATTGTTACGCCCTGCTGTTTTGTGTTATGGATGGGCAAATTTGTTTTCTAATTAATTTGTGCTGGATGTATTATGGTCTGTTCGTTTTCTTTTCCCTCTTTCCATGGGAGTCATCTGCTTCATCATGTCTTTCAATGTAAGTTCTGGATAAACTTTGACAATCTTTTACTGTCGTGCCAGTGTGATTTACTAGACATGCCAGCTGTTGGGCAACTAGAGAAGGATGCAAAATATGCTTTGGTTTATCAGCTACTCAAAATTTTCCTTACTCAGACGCTGGATGCGTACTTGGAGTTTCATGCTGCAAATTCTACTTTGTTGAAAAGCTATGGTAATTTTATGTCGTTGTCTATATTTGCATTTGGAAAGCCATATTTCTTCCTGCTTTATAATTAAAACATACTACAATGGATCATTTCTTCAGATCTTGTCCATGAAGAATGTATTACCAAGATGAGGCTGATGTCTTTGGTGGATCTTGCCTCTGCTGGATCAGGCCAAATTCCATATGCACTTATTAGGGACACACTTCGGGTATTTGCTCTAGCCTTTCTTTTAGTTGTAGTTGGCTGTTTTTTTCCTCGCCTCTAGCTTATTGGAAACATCGTAAATTCCCTGTCAGATCAATGACGATGAGGTGGAACTATGGGTCGTTAAAGCAATCACTGCCAAGTTGATTGACTGTAAGATGGACCAAATGAATCAAGTTGTAATTGTTAGGTTTGTTCTCCGTCACGATCCCTCCGCCTGTCAGCTGTAGCTATATCTGATCCAGTATCTTGTGTCTTACATGTTCAACTATTATTTATTTAACGAATAATTAATGGGCACTATTTGACCTAAATTTAATAATGCAGTCATCATACTGATCGTGTGTTTGATCAGCACCAGTGGCAAACACTCAGAACAAAACTAGCCACATGGAGGGTAAATTCCTAAACTACAAGTTTTATTTTTTCACTGTATAGTGGATGATGTCTAGCTGGATTAATGTCGGTTCTGTGGTATGTTGGCTTGATGGCGGTAGTGTTCACGACAGATATGGGACGTAAATCTTAAAACCTCATATTTCCTTCTTGATACTGTTTTAATTCGAGCCTTTTGGTTTACCAGGGGAATATTGCTAATGTGATCAGCACCATTCAAGCTAACAAAATAACCGAAGATGGCTCTCAGGCGGCACAAGGCTTGGTGGTTCGCTAAGGACGTTTTCTGGGGAGAGTTACTTGTCTGGAGAATTAGGCTTAATCTGAGTGGGAATATTTCAATAGGAAAGGGAGAAAGTTGTAATCCGTTCCTAGTTACAGCTTTTCTATTTATTTTAGTTGGAAGGTGAAACGATTGTATTACAAATTTTGACCCCAGGCGTGTTGGTTATAATATTAAAACGTGCAGAGTACTGTGCTAACCACTGCCTTTAATTTATCAGTAAGTATTGTCTTTTATGTTTTTATTGCGGTTATTCTGTTATCATTAGTGGTAATTACATTTAATTCCTCCTCGTCTTTAATCCGTAACTGTTCAAAATAACCTTTTTTCCCTGAACATCCATTGCTTTTTTTCCCCCTAACTTAAAGCTATTTTGGGCCAAAAAACCTATAAAGCTTTTAATTGGCTAAAAGGTCTTGCATTGATTAGTTTTTATTGAGCACATTTTTTAAAATTTTAGATGTATTAACTAATTATGGTCTGTGTAATATGATATGGACTACGGGATTTTTTTTGCAGTACGGAATGACTCCTTTTTAACAGTCTCCATTTCCGCTCCATTGAGCCCGAAAGCACTGTTTTCTTAATAAAACACAATCTGGGCCATTCGTTTTTTATCATTCAAGCTGGGCCGTTGAAACTATTTTTCAGTTTTTCCATGTCTCTTAGTCTCTTATCATTTAGGTGGGAGTATATTCTGAACCAAAAAAAAAAAAGGGCATTCCTGCACAAAAAACATTGCCTCAACCCCATCCCCATCCGATGCTTTGCTGTAGCTGCCACCGGCAGTATGGTTTGTCCCCTCTATATTTGTGATCCACCCCGAAACAAAAAACGGTGCGTTTGGGCTCAATAGAAAGGAAATGGAAAGACTATTAAGAGGATGTGTGGGTAAAATCAAAACCAAAATTTCAGAAATGCTTTTACAGTATACGAGGTAATTATGTGAAAGAGTTTGTCCCGATTTGTGAAAAAGTACTTCTGAAAAGTGTTTATTGGATTTCCCAAACACCCCCTAAATGGAGACATTCTATTTCCTTTGCCAACAAGGAAGTATGGGAATGTAGTTTTGTTGATAAGCTGCTCTTTTTTTAATTGAATAAATTAAGTACTCTTTCTTATCCTATTTGTAAGATCTCAAAATTTGAATTGGTTTGGTCCTTTTTATAAGATTATACTAGGGACTGTCTAAACATTAAATGTGTTTTTATCAATTTTTTTCTTAATTAATTTTCTATTCTTTTTCATCCTTTATCTTATAACTGTTATTTCTCTTTCTTATTTGCTTTCTTATTAAATAAGGACATACTTAGAAAAAAGAGATTTAATTTTTATATATTTATTATTTTTAATAAATTTTAAATGTTTTCTTCAACCGCTTAATTTAGTTAATAAGAACTTATAAAAAGAATTGGAGAGAGTATTGATTGATTTATGGGTTTAAGGTTTGAGATTTCAAGTGTTGATTTCAAGCTTGTGGCTTTGGGTTTATGTTTCAATTGCCTTGCGTAATCAAGGCCTTATACATGTTGATGTTAAGATTGCAAACGAGGGCATTCGATGCTGGTAAAACGGGTTGACAGTGTAAATATGAGTTAACCTGTAGTGGTGTTGGCTGAAGTAGCTCGCATCTCGGCCCTTCTATAATATTTTTTATAAAAAACTATTATTATTAGTAAGAGTTAGGCTTAGTTTGAAATGTTGAAATTGGACTTGGAGTTTTAAACTTAAATAATAGGTTGTAATAAAATAATATGAGAAGTAATTTATAATTTAAGAACATATTTTAATATAAAGCTTCTTATTTTTAATTTCTCTAAAGTAAGTTGTATTTTTTCAGTCCTAAATTTAAGACTAATTTTAGTATAATTTATACCACAAAATAGGCTTAATATTTAGGATAGAAGGGATTTTTTTTATTAATAAGAATTAAAAATAAAACCATGAGTGAAAATTATTAAAAATATATATTTTATTTTTAGAAAAAACTTAAGGTTTATTTGTTTGTATTTATTATTCATGATGGTCTAATAGAATTTATAATTCTATTCATGTGAATTTTTATTGTTGGAAAAAATATTATTCTAAAATTTCATTTAAAAATTAGACTCAAGAGATATAAGCAAATGAACCCAAGTTTTGTTCTTTATTATTTTCTAGTCATTCTCTTTTATATGTAATTTATTATTTATTCAACTTAAGAAATTCAAATTCAAAATTTATTTTGAAAAATCTGACTTGGTTTTCCAGAATTGTGCGCTGCTTATGGTACGTTAAAATGTGACATCACATAACAATGGGAGAGTATTCACTTTGGGCCTTGCAGATTCAACCAAATACATATTGCCATGCTGGCCTTGATGGTTTATCCATTTACCTTTTCTTGGTGGAAAGAACATTCATAATAAAAAATAAATGATCATTAAATATGCTCTATATGCATTATATGGTGCTAAAAAATACGTTGCATTATTGATATACCTTGTTGATCAATCCACCCATGTAATCTTCTAATGAGATTTTCTTTTTCTTTCCTTTTTTTAAAAAAAAAAACAATGGATGAAATCATCACGAGTCTACATCTTTTGCATTAAAAGTTTAGGTTTTAATAACTGTACTTCATATTTTACATAAATACTATTACCTTTGTTCTTAATATAAGAATTAGATAATTAATTTATAAAGTTTAAAAAAATAAGTTAAGTTAATTAATTGTAACAAATATGTGTTGATTTTTTTAAACTAAGTTAATTGTAATAAATATGTGCTGATTTTTCTAAGCTACTATATTTAGTCATATGTATTGAAAATATAACTTGGTGGAACCTATACAATCAATAAGGATATTTTAGATAAAACATTATAGGTTTGAGAGAAAAAGTTGATTGATGCCTTATATTTAAGACCAAATTTGATCCTTAACTAACTCTTAGATTAATGAGTATTATATTAATTATTAATTATATATTTAAATTTTGGACACATAAACGTAAAGTCTATAGTCTTGAGATTTTTTTTTGAAATTAGGGCAAATTTTTGCTTTTAAAATTTCATTACAAAGTAATATGTTTTATATTTAGAGTCGGATGTAGTATTATATGATGTCTATTAATTACTTTGACCATATTACCCTTTTCTGGGCAACCACAACATTAATTCTACTGCTACCTTTGGTTTTTAATGTAAAAATTCGTTTGACTTTTGTTTTGATTCTAAATACTCTTCCGGTCTTTAGTATAAGACCCATTTAACTAATTTGATTAGATTAAGAAAGTTAGGTAAGTTAGTTAATTATAAGAAATGTGACATTTTTTTCTAAAATACCATAATCATATTTCTTAATACTCCCTCTTCCTCTTCTACTTGATTATGGTTGAAGGAGTATCTATAGGGGTAATTTAGAGAAAACTGATAAATATGAGAAATAGGTCCTATATTTAGGACCAAAATTAACTCAATAATTAGGTCATATATTAAGGACTGGAGGAGTATAAGATCTTAATCTACTTTGTCTTTCATATTTATCTATTTTTTAAGGTAATCTTTATGACAATAGTAGTTCTTACCAATACACTTGATTAGTAAGGATATTTTAAGAAAGATAGTATTTATTTATTATAAATAATTAACTTAACTAGTTTTTTTTAATTTAATTAAATTAGTAAATTAACTCTTATATTAAATACGGAAGTAGTATCTCACAACACGAACATTGTTGTTCTCACAGCCTAAAATTTGAGTCGGCCTGTCAGGCAGACACACTGTCTGCCACTCGGTCGTGTGGCTGAAAGGATTATTTAAGAATAATGTTGAGGCAAGACCGTTAAAGCAACTATCGAAGTTGATTCTCGTCCCATTCAAAACACATTAGACCACGTTCAACAGCTAACTTCCCAAGGAAATCAAATCAATCAACCATATGAAGTACAAAGATTATTAATATAAATTATTGCTAATCACTGTTGATATCATACAGCGCGGGACAACACAAACACACAGACACAACTGTGTGTGTTTGTCTCTCTCTCTATATATATTTCTATTAATCTTGATGCATTTGCCTGTAATATCCCCGCGACAACGAACTGCAACTGAAACCACCACAACCCCAACTTCTCTGAGCTACATCAATTCATTGAAGATGGCAGTCCAGTAGAGTACTGTGTGCTCTGATCATCACAGCGATATATTAATTGAACAATTCATGAAGACCTGCTTTCTTGCAGTATTGTAGATTAACCCAAACTGAACTCAAAATTTTTAATCAGCAACAATAATCAAGTAGAAAGCAGCAATTTACCAAACATGGTATACCATACTATACGAATGCAAATAATTAGCTGATCCAGTATCTTATCTTGTGACGAAATAATTGATCTCACTCACCTTATTGTTTTGCACTTTGTCCGTGTAATCACTTGGTGGGAAAATTCTGAAGGTGGTTATGTGACTGGCTCTCTGAAGTGCTGTTGGGAGTCATCATGCTCAACCCAAAGGGTTTCAAGGATTGTGCCATGGAGATAGGGTACAGATTATTTGAACTAGAACTGAGCATAGGATAGTGATGGTTATAGTTGAGTTGTTTAGGAATATTACTATCCATATCCATATTCGCTCCAAAATGCGAAGGAAAATGATGATGAGAAGAATCCCCAGTGGACAAAGACAAAGTTGATGAGGAAGGTAAAACGCTAAGGCTTTGCAAATCTGTCTGATGAGAAACATGTACACCTCCACCACTACCAGCACCATCTGATACAGAACCTTCCCACTGGTACCCAACAAAGGAGGGATGATGATGATGGTGATGCGGAAGATGAGATAACTCAGTATCATTATTATTGCTTCCTCGTTTAACATCATCATCACCAACTTTGTCCTCGTGATCATGCGACAGGGAAGCTTCTTTGGGCTCCATCAGTTTCCAGAAAGTGTTATTGTTAGCTTCCCACCCATGTTCTTCGTTAGGCTGAGAATTAGAGGTGAGAATAGCATGATGATGAACGAGGGCCAGATTTAATGGTGGAAGAGGAGGCAGTTCATCAATGTCATTCTTGGCAGCATTAAGAAGCCAATCAATAACCTTACTGGGTTGATTGAACCCTAACCTCTCTTGAAGGTCATATAATTGAATGGCTGTGGGTACCGACAGCCTCACTCTTCTGTCTCTCAAACCGCGTATGGTGCAAACCTTGCTGTGCCTGTCTTTGCCTCCGAAGGCTCTTGCTACTCTCACTATCCTCGGATCCTTCAACCTCACCCATTGCTGCTCCATGCTGCTCCATGATGATGTCGATGCCTTTGCTTTCTCATAATTACTTGACGAATCACCTTCATGTTTTCTTGCAAGATCTGCCTCTTTTGGAATCTTAATCATCTTATAATAACAACGCCTCTCTTTGTTGATTTCCCGTGTATTTTTATCCAAGGCAGTTGGGTGAATTTGATTAGCTCTTGTTTCTTCTCGCTAGCAAGCGTTTGCTTCAAAAAAGAATAGAACATTAAATCGGTTAAAAAAATGATGAGAATAATATTTGTGAGTGGGAGGAAAAAGAACACCACGTGAATTGTTAAGCCTCGTATCAAAATAATGCTCCTTCCCAAGATCAAGCTATGGCTCCCAAAACTGATTAGATTAACATATATAATGAATCATATTGTGAATACTTCTATAGGGGACCAACGAATAATCAACTGCAAGTATCGAATTCATTGCTGAGGATGAATCAGTTTTTTGAATGATCAGAAAACATGTTCAGAAAATCCAAAAGCGTGAGATAATTATAGTACTGATCAAGACATACAACATAACCAAAAGGAAGGGCAATTCTAAAGAACAAAACATGAGCCCAAAGTTTCATAACACAGTTAAAAAGAAGCACACTAGCTAGTAGCATGTAAAGTTGAAGACTTTGCATCAAGAAAACTCACAAAATGTATACAAATACCTCTATGTGATATCCCCATATGCACCAATTAGATAGAGCTTAGAACAGAATGTGAAGGTTGAAGCGAACATGGGGCTTTTTGTGAAATGCAAAGATTAAAAACAAGGAGAAAGAAGTTTGAGGCCGCAGGTTTGGAAAAGCTAGATGCCGGAATTGAACCGACCACGCTGCTGTGAAAGATAAAGCAGAGGCTCATAGATGACCACGTGGCTCTCTCTCGTCATTGATTCATTATTGGTCAAATAATTATGGTATTCTAACTAGCTAGCCCCTCAATTGGTCAAAGTTAACATTAATTAATTATTGACAAGCAGTTTATATCTATTTATATTCAATAAAGGATATTGAGCGCTTCTCTGTATTATTTAAAGAGACTCTTTCAAAAAAGTGTTTTGCAAGTTCAAGAAAATATTATTTTCAAATTAGACCTGACTTGAGAAATTTCTTAATTTTACACAGAAAAACAACCAATAATCCTCCTTTAAATAATTCGTTACGTGTTTGTAACTATCATGTTAATCTCTAACAACTAGTTCATGATCACACCAAATAACCTAATAAGAGAGAGACAATTTTCATTCTTCGAAAGTGGCAAGTCATTCTTCATCGACAGCTACGAAAAGCTTGGGACTCAAGTGCACAGTATACTTAGAGGGTCCACGCATACATATGAAAGCAAGCCTAAATATGCAGCAAAAGCAAAAGTGTTGGTTTTCATAACATCCCCCCCCCCCTTTTTTTTTTTTTTTTGCTATTGGTTTTCATAACATCTCAGTCTATATATTGATGACCTTAAAGGAACTCCCAAGAATTTTGATGAACAACTTATGGATCGGAGTTACACATATACAACTATATATCATTAGCAAATACGTCGGCTTTTTTGGTTTACCATTATCTCTTCAGAATAAATATTTGAATCATTCCAAACGGAAAAGGAAAGAATAAGGAATGAAAGGAGAATCAAAAAAAGGGGAGGAAAAAGCAAAGTATAAGGTATCCGAAGACAAGAAGATAAAACCACTTTAGATAAACTTATATGATTAGAGAGATTCAGAAGTTGTGGTGTGTGAGAATTGTGATTTTGGAAGTGTATGACGTGATGGCTACATGGGACAAAGAAAAAGAGAAAAGCAAGTAGGTGAGGGACCATATAGACGTTGCGTACGAACAGGACCACACACAGAGAGACAATGTTGCAGAGAGATAACCCTAATATGTGCATGGGAGCAACTTGAGAATTATTTTCCACATGTAAGTGGGTTTTTCATATAGCATGCTTTAATTTGTTCTACATAAATTCTGAGTGATACAGAAACGTACACAATTTCTCCTCTTCTTCAATACTCTATCTACTTCCACCTTTGGCTTATCTTTCACCATTCACAGTACTTTGGAGGATATGATATGTTGCCTTAAAAACCCTAAAATCGTCTCATGTATTAAAAAAAAAAAAAGAATTTGAACAAGGAATGCTGTTTTACGACCATGCTATACAGTACAGTTCTCTTCTCTCCATACAGGTTTGCAGAAAATTTGGGTCTGAGAAAGGAGCTAGCTTACGGCCTACATATTCTTTTTCTCATTTCCTCTCCTGCAGATTTTCGCTCACTCATATCGATCTGTTGACTATGTAATCGAAATCGAACATACAGATACATATATGTAAGACATGATGAAAAACTCTAATACATCCGAGTTTGTCTTGTGTGTGCGTTTTACTCTGCAAGACATGGATTGGCCTAGCAAATCTCAGACGTTAAGGAAACTGCTTCAGTAACTGAAGCTGCATTGGTCAAGAGAACCTAAAATTTCGAAACCTATACTTCAACCAAAAAAAAAAAAAGCATCTGACTATATATTAACCAATACTTGCTTCGCTTCAGTTTTTTTTATAAAAAAAAAAGTTGTTGAATACCAGATGTAATTGCAGAAAACTACATGGGAAATTCAAAGTTGGTTATAATGTCATCCTCTAAAGAGAAACTCTGCTTGCGCGAACGTAGGAAAATAATTATGAAATAAGGATTTAGTTGTAGAAGATATATACCAGATGCAGTAATGCGGACCAGACAGCAGCATTTCATCGTACTATATTTATTATATTTGGAAGGCCAAGTAAAACAATGAAAATATATAGTAATTAAGAAGAGGGATGAGGGTGAAGAAGACAAGTCCAAAAAGCCAAGATACTCCTTTGATCTTAAAGGAGCAAGAAGAGAGGGTAAATTAAATGTAATCCTTGAACTGTGTCTGGAACCTATCAATTTATCTTCTGTTTTGCCAGTGAAGGCAAAGAAAGATTTTGAAGAATAATGAAGGGTGAATAGAGAAGAGAGAGAGCCATGTGAGGAGACAAGAGAGTGTAAATAAGCTGTAGTACAGTTGGTGTACATCTCAAGATTGAGTGAGCAAGTGGTTACTGGAGAAGGGTTCCGTTATGGCACAACAAAATGGTCCCAGATTTTGCAGATACAAAAAGGCCTTGGTCTTGGTTAGGGTTCATGACTAATCGCTCTCAACTTTCTGATTAACAGGAAATGCATCAGAAGCAGCTTGTCTGCAGTTTTGTCTTTTTGTTAAATTTTCCTGCAGTTTCATTTGGTAAAAACTTCTGTTCATACATTGATATTTTGAGTTTACATTAATTATTAGCATATTCAGATTTAAATTGGCTAGCTTAGTCGAAGAGCCAAGAGCAAACAGCAAACAGCTTATGGTGTTTCAGTAGCCAAAGATTAATAATGACTACCCTTTTGATGTAAATTTGTTCGCCTTTTTTTAAGGGAGAACAAATATTCTTATAGAGAACCAAAAATTATTAGACTTAACTATAAATCAAAGAATGTTTGAATTAAAATTGTTCTTATCTTTTCTTTCAGTCCAAGATTCTCTTCAATCCAAACACGTATACTCTACAATTAAACTCCGAGAAAGACTAGGCTGATTAAAGAGAACGTCTCCAATTTCTTGCACGATGTGTGCTTTAATTTGATGTGTGTGCGCGTGCGCTATTAATTAGCTAATAACTAACTTTAAGTCGTAAAGTTAATCGGAATATACAGAAGTTGAGGAATATGAGCTGCAATTTCAACCACGAGAAACTGAAAGACAGATTCTGCAGCAACCCAAACCAAAGAAAGATATATACATTGAAGGAAGTTGAAATTCTTGAATACTTCCTGATTCCTAATATAAGAACTCGTTTAATTTTTATTTTGGTCCTAAATATAAAACTCTAATTCACTTTGTCTCTCATATTTATCTAATTTTTTCCCATAGTAATTCTAATCAATACACTTGATTAGCAAGAGTATTTTAGAAAAGAGAACACATATTTATTACAAATAGCTAACTTAACTAATAATCTTAATATATTCAAATTAGTAAACTAACTCTCGTGTTAATGACCAGTATTGGTTCTATTGGGAATAAGCAACCTTATACACACCCTTCATACATTAATTAATCTCGAGAAAGAAATTAAGGAAACAGCCTGGATTCCCTAGTGTTGTAGAAGCAAACAATTCTAAATCTTGCAGGTTGAGAGAGCGTCCCATCGGAATGGGAAAGAGTGTATTAGAGGTCCAAAATGGTAAGAAAATATTGATCAGTACAACATATAGAGGCAAACGTAGGAATAATTGAAAATTGCAGAGACAAGACAGGAAATAACAGCTAGGCTGCTAAATGTCAAAGAAATTAAGCAGAGGGAGCATCGCAAGACAAAAGCTCTTTTCTACTGTGTGGTGCATGCATAATAGAGAGAGAGTATTTATTAACATTATTCATTAGCAAAAAAGAAAAGAGATAACTTGTTTGTGTGATCAAGGTGCCCAGTGTACTGTTTTACCACTGTCATGTTTTGTCCATTTTTTCTTGTTAACCAAACCCAACACTGTCTGTATGTCTCCGTCGATCTGTACTATCACTCCTACTGCTCTCTATCATGACCTGACACCACCTTATCCAATTTATGCTGCTCCCTCTTTTCGTTTCTAACTTTTTTTCCTATCAAATCCTTGCAATTATTGGTCACAATTAATCTCTGGCCAAGAAGAGGGACGGGGGAGGACTCAGAAATCAGAATCATGCTTAAATCAGCCTCATTAAGATGATAAAATTGTGTTCATCTTCTTTATTTTTTGCTATAATAGATTTCACCTTTATTTACTAATACAGTCATATGTGAATGTGTGTCTATATAACAGTATGTAAATAAAATCTAGTTAGCCCGAGAAAAGTAACAGATTAGGCAAGATCTTTTTTTGCCTGCAGATAAAATATGTCTAATCGAGCACTTATCAAAACTTGCGTGTATATATATAGTCTAAGCATCATATCTTATTAGGTTTTGCCAAGAGATAATATTGGCCACCAAACAACTCCTCCATCTTTTACCACATGTTTTCTGCAGAGTGTCTTTTTACAAGAAAAGTAAAAATCCATGATTATGACTTGGATCCATACTTATTGTGAGTCAAGCACTGATCATAAAAATTATAATCAGACAGTATAGTCAAGATGAAACTCTTTTCATTTAATGATATCAATTCAAACATCATGTTTTCGATTTGACTCGGACCTCTTATCAAACCTTATCATCAAGAACAAGACATTTTGGCCATCCAACAAAATATAGACAGACACAGACGTTAGTGGGCATCTTGGAATAACGTCTGCTTGCAGCAAATTTGGACCAAAATTTCAAAGCATGAAAGTTGCGTAATCCCAACAACAACATAACTATTAAATTATTCTGCTCTCTGCTCTCTATATACCTTATCATCCATTTGAGTTTGGTAAAGGTTGCTCTCTCAGCACACTGACCCCTTTTTCATTACCGATAAGCCTGCCAGCTACCTGTTTTGTGCTTCACGTTTCAAATCTCTTATCTAAAGAAACTTGTAGTCACAAAATTTTCTGCAAATTAAAAACCATTATAAAAATAAAAAAAAAAACAAATGCTTCTAGTTGTTGAATGAAGAATTCCAACTTGCTTAACTAATACGGAATCTAAGTTTCAGAACACTATAGCTAATTAGCCTCATTAAGTTCCCCTAGTCTAACAAAGCCAATTTCTTTTTGTAGAGGAATTAATTAAAGATATTTGTACATTACCCAAATTTTGAATTATTAATATACATTTATTACCGTTAAAAAAAAAAAAGACATTTCCAGTTTAGATTATTTTCCTTTCCGACGTCCAGATTTTTTTATTTTTTTTTTAAACCAGCAGACGTCAAGATTATCAGCAACTTGCATGCGGTCATGCGGAGACAATAGGGTTTATATTAACTTTGGGCTTGGGCTTCGTTCCCCTAATCTCGACCTCTAAATTTGAAGCCTGGCCCATATTAGTTGAAAACAAATATCAAAGCCCAAAGAAAAGCCCAATGGTTTGCATGGGCCTTTTTCTTTATCGCGCGTTGCTTAATTCGAAAATGTTCCGAGAGTTGGGAGATGGCATGTCAAATAATGGAGTATAGCTGTTATAAGAAAATATCTCGAAATTTTCATTGGTTACTTAAATTATCTCAAATTGAACACATATCGAGGGTGACGCTCTAACAACTTGCGGTTGCAGCAAAATAACTATTTTGTGCACCCCACTATTTACGATCATCATCTCCTCTCTCTCTCCCTCCCTCTACACACACACATATATATACTCCTCCGATCCTTAATATAAGATTCAATTGTTGAGTTGGTTTTAATCCTAAATATAAGACCTATTTCTCATATTTATCAATTTTTTCTAAATTACCCCTATGGATACTCTCTCAGCCATAATCAAGCAGAAGAGGAAGAGGGATATTAAGAAAGATGATTATAGTATTTTAGGAAAAACGTGTCACATTTCTTATAATTAACTAACTTACCTAATTTTCTTGATCTAATCAAATTAATTAAATGGGTATTATTTTAAGAACGGAAAGAGTACTTTATTTTCACAATATATATTTATTCGTGGGTAATCTGAGATAGAAGTTGACAATGGGATTAAACTATTCTAATCATTTTGTATGGGATCCTCTGCCAGCTTTGAATTGGATATAAACACCATTCTTTTACTAGCTCCTTCCTCGTTACATCCTTTGCACTACTTTGTTGCAAGTTGTCATGATTTATTATGACAAACGTAAGCATGAATTAAAGTAGGTCCATATAAGGAAATATATACTAATCTATGAACACATGATCAACATTTAACACCTACGAGAATAAGTTTCTTTACTTATTGCCAAATAAAATTTCATATCAAAAAAGAAAAAGATTATATTGTTGTTGCAAGCAACTTTTTCCACCACTTTTTCTTTCTATTTTGTGCTGCCAACTTTTCCACCTCATTTTCACCCCGTATATTTAAGGAAAAAATTAATTAAAATTAAATTGAAGTAACATTCCTGAATAAATAAACTGTTCAACGCGAGGATGAGAGGAGTTATTTTACCTCTCAAAGTCCAGAGAATAAAAAAAAATTAAGGGGAAAAAAAACTCCTTCCCATGAAGTCTCCAGCTAGCATGCATGTTCGTTGCTGGTCCCCAAAAAAAAAAAAAAAAAAAGCATGCAAGTTCATTGTATCGTTCTTGGCCTATAAAATGGAGGCTCAAATGTATGTATATGAAGAATATGTAGGCTGATATAACACGGTGGACATATCTTCATGATGGCTGAAGAGGACATGAAAATCGCGGAGGTTTGCTCGGTGGAGCCGCCGTCGTCCGCCGCCGCGCCCATGTCTCTACCGCTCACTTTCTTCGACATAAGATGGCTGAGATTCCCACCTCTCGAGTGCCTTTTCTTCTACCAATATCCTCACCCTCCATCCTCCTTCTTCCACCACCTTCTTCCTAAACTCAAACACTCTTTCTCCCTCACCCTTCAACACTATCTTCCCCTCGCCGGCAACCTCACCTGGCCTCACCGTTCTCCCTACCCCACCGTCGACTACTTCCCCGGCGATTCTGTCTCCTTTACTGTTGCCCAGTCCCAATCCAGCTTCAGCCATCTCTCCAGTTCTAATCTCCGTGAAGCATCAAAACTTCATCTTTTAACACCCCGTTTAGATGTTTCCCAAGAACACGCTTCTGTTATGGCCCTTCAAGTTACCCTCTTCCCAAACTCTGGTTTTTCTCTTGGAATTTCCATCCACCACGCAGTGATGGACGGTAAATCTGCAATGTCCGTCATGAAACTATGGGCTTACTTTTGCTCTAAGTCTGACCTCGAAGAAGAAGCAGCTTCTTTGGTGGTCCCACAACAATTACTTCCATTCTATGACCGAACCATGATCCGAGACCCCATCGGAATATCCGAGAGGTTCGTCAACGAGGTATTAAACGACGGCGGAGTACAAAACAACAGAAGCCTAATGTTATGGAACTGGGATCACAAAGTTCCATCGGAAGCAGTAAGAGGGACGTTCGGATTGACGCGAGCACACATCGAAATCCTCAAGAAATACGCACAATCCAAACTGAAAAACAATGGACACGTGTCGACATTCTCGGTGACATACGCTTACATGGGTCGCTGTCTGGTGAAGACAGAGCAGACAAAGTCCGAGAAAGTGAACTTCGGATTCGCAGTGGATTGCAGGGGTCGTCTGGAGCCTCCAACTCCGAGCACATACTTCGGGAATTGCCTAGTGGGACAGAGCGCAATCACGGAGACGAAGACATTACTGGAGAATGAATTAGGGCTGGTGAATGCAGTGGAAGAACTAAGTGAAGCTGTGAAGAGATTGGAAATAGGGTTAGTAAGAGGAGCAGATAGCTGGGGTTCGAGGAAGACGATGGGAGCAAGGGGGAACAATACAAAAGTACTAAGCATTTCTGGTTCAACGAGATTTGAGGTTTATAGTGTCGATTTTGGTTGGGGAAGACCAGTGAAGGTGGATATCGTTTCTATAGATAAGACGAGAGCTTTTTCAATTTCTGAGAGCAGAAATGGTGATGGAGGAGTGGAGATCGGACTGGTTTTGAACAGATACGACATGGAAGCTTTCGGTAATGTTTTTGGTAAAGATCTTGAAGCCCTTACAAGCTCCGAAAGTCAGTGGTGATCGCGAGAGAGGTAGAATTAATGAATCAGCAGACAGACTGCGAGATCTACGTGCATGCATATTAGTTCTCTAAAAATTGTCTAGGTTTCATTGTATCTCAATTACTCCCTCTCATTCTTTTTAGGGAAAATTAATTTGCAGGTTCTTCTAGTTTATCTTGATTTTGAATCAGGTCCCTCAACTTTTGTTTTCCTTTTATTGGATCTTTTAATTTTTTATTGTTATATTTATTGGTCCTTATGGTTAAATACATCTTAACACCGTTAAAAATTTAGCTTAGACACTCAGGTTTGACCAAACTCTTCTCTTCCTCTTCCTTGTTGCTCAGCATCGTCTCCCTTCCAACATTCTCGCCACTGGAAAATGGCTTGTCATTCCTTCCTACCTCTCCATAACACCTTCCATTTCCTCAATCGCATAGTCATTGGGACCTTTTAGCTATCCCCGACGTCAAACGAAAACAAGGAGTCGATTGGGGCTCAAGTCCCCAGGCCCAACGTCTTTATTTGTGAATCGCAAGACTAGCTTCAACATGAGTATTGAACAATTTTGAATGAGATGTAGAGCTCTAGAAGCTATGTTTGAGCCAAACACACAAGGAGTGATCCTTCCAATTTTGAGAACATGGGTTGAAAGTAACTTAACAGACCCTTGGCTCTTGAATCCAATGGTCTCTTGTGATTTTGAAGAAGAGGTGGCGGTGACTTAATTCCAAGATTTGTTGGATTTAACTCACGTATGCATCACGGATACCCCAATCCACAAGTGATACATCTTCTTTAATTTGTTTTTGTTTGCTACGTGTATATTATATATAGTTAATATCCAAAAGTTAAAAATGATAGGTAAGATGAAAGGATGAATGCAGGGGAGGGAAAGAATACGAGGATAAAAGCATCAACATCAAATAAGGAGTATAAGAGGCGCGCGATGGCTTTGGAGCACACATATGCGACCGTAAACAAGAGTGGTGGCTTGCTAGTTAGAGCATATTAGATTGCTATTGAAGTTTCAAATGACAGCCACCATCAATGATGGCTCTATTTTTTGAATTAGAAACAAAGCCAAGCAGAGTCCTTTAATTAACAAGTGTTTTATCCTCCCCACTCAATTAGATCAATAGTAATGGCCAAGAAGGGCCGCAAATGAAGTTGGAGGATGATCAAACAAGCCTTAAAAAAACGTGATTTTTTTCATGGGTTGTGAATGCCACATGTAAGGTCGTTCTTCTGTCTCCTTTTCATTTCACACCTCACAAATTGAGATGTTGGGTTTAGGAAGTTGAGCCCAGACCAACAGCCAAGGAAAAAAATAAAGAGGGTCCTGGAGAATATGATTAGGGGAAGGGAAGGAATGGTAAGGCATTTTCAAGTGGGGAGAATGTTGGGGAAGGAGACGGTGTTGAACAAGGAAAATGAGAGGAGAGTTGGTCAAACCTGAGTGCGTATGCTAAATTTTAAATGGCGTCAATATGTATCTAACGGTAAGGACCAACAAATTTAACAATAAAAAGTTGAAGGATCTAATAAGAAGAGGAAGAAAAAGTCGAGGAACCTAATTCAAAATCAAGGTAAATTAGAAGGACTTGCAAATTAATTTTTCCTTCTTTTTATAAGATTCAAATTTTCAAATAACTGAGTTATGTGATTTAACAAATTGATTAATATATACACTTTTCCTTCCAAATATGCTTTTGTTTATAGGAAGATAAGTAAGAGAGATAAATATGACGGGGAAAAAAGATAAAAATATTCTAATATAATTAATTAAAAGTAAATTTGATAAAAATGTATTTAATGTTAAAACAGGTGAATTGTCTTGTCAAAAAGACAAAAACAATTTTAAAAATTGGATATTATAACAGAACTAAGAGTGCTTGGTTTTTTTAATCCAAAATTCAGGTTCGTTCATGCCTAGCTTGACAGCCAAATGCAGGTATGCGTTTACCCAGATAATCAACAAATTAATTAAGAAAGATCGGAATTGCAAAATGGCTCTCCATTTGTTGCAACCATAATACGCGTCTCGCGACCCTTCTTGTTTTTCTTCCACGGTCTTATTTTTAACACCAAAACATAATATAATAAAAATGATATAAAAAGAAGGCGAAAATTACAATATTCCAATCAAAACACTTAAAATGTCAAAATCTCATAGGAAGAAGTGGTGCCTAATCTATATCTTGTAAATGTAATCAAATGACTAAAATATCCTTATATCAATTTTTTTAAAAAAAAGTTACGAGTATCAAACTTGTCATTACCAGTATATTTTTTGTTATTAGTTATTCAATACTTGTCATTTTCAATTCACAACTTATTAATAAACAATAACAACTTGTTAATAAATAATTTGTCAAATTGTCATTGCTAATGTATTTCTTGTCATTTACTATTCAATATTTGTTATTGTCAGTTCATAACTTATTAATAAACCTTTTTGATATAAGGATATTTTTGCCATTTAACTACATTTACAGAATATAGATCATGCATCACTTTTTCTTCTAAACTTTGAGCTTTCAGGTACCTAAATTGAAATATTGTAATTTTAACTTCTTTTTATATCATAAGCAGTGGTAGTAATCATAATATTTATCATGCTGCCACAATTGAAATTAATCAATTTGCACTGATAATATATGAAAAACGACTGCAATATATATATATCTTCCTTTGGATATAATGGACACGAAGTTTGCGAGACGTTGCAAATAATTCGGAATGTTGCAGTCTATTAGATACATTACAGAATAAATCTTATATCTAGTACCAAAAGAATATTATGTAAGCACCTAACAAGAAGAAGTGAGTAATTTTTAATTTCAATTAGAAAACCTTAAAGTATGTATTATTCAACTGTATACAATAATTTAGGGTAAAAATGCATTCAATATTTAAAGGTAATTTTTTAGATACATTCAATATCCTAAAATATTTTATGATATATTTAACATCTCAAAATATTTTTTTTAGATGAGTCCAATATTCAAAAAATATTTTTTGATACAGACAACAAATGAACTTCAAAATGTTAAACATATCAAAAAGATATTTTAAGATACTAAGTATATCTGAAAAAATATTTTAAGAAATTAAATGTACTTTTTTTTACTCAAAAGAAATTAAATGTACTTCAACCCCATAATTTATTTGGTCAAAAAAAAAAACCCCATAATTTGTGATGGTAGATGTAGTTCAGCGGTAATGTCAAATGCTACATATCAATACGATAACAAAGGAGTATAAAATATCAGCTGGTCAAAAAAAAAAAAACAATGGAGCATATAATATTCGTATGTAACCGAAAATTGTCTTGTCATATGTGGGTTCGTCTGTGCTTTGATGTGACCTTCCCATGATGTAACAGCAACACAAATTTAATGATGTTGCATTTGACGAATTTGACCGGTCATACCCGCTTTTCAATAAAACAAGGAGCTTAACATTTAATTTAGAGAATTTAGAGGGTGTTTGGATAGAAACCAAACCATAGTTTCAAAAGTGTTTTTGCAGTTTACGAAGTAAATGTGTAAAAAATTTGTTTGGTTTTGTGAAAAAGTGCTTTTTAAAAATATTTTTGAGATTGCTAAACACCCTCTTATTCTGAATATAAAAATTTAATTTTTATATTTATTTATTTATTTTTAAAATATTTTTTGTAGTAATTTTATAAATTAAAATTTTCATCAAATAGTAGTTATAGGTAATATATATAATTAGTAAGGATATTTTAGAAAGACAATACATCTTTATTAAAAATAATTAACTTAAGTAATTTCTTAATCTATTTAAATTAATCAACTAACTATTATATTAAGGACCGTTGTACTATCATAGCATAACTTTGAAACCGCAGGAGCTACATGATGGTAATAAATTCAATCATATATTATACCTTTAATTCTTAATTTAAAAACTAATCAACTAATTTGAACAGATTAAAAAATTTATTAAATTAGTTATTTGTAATAAATATGTGTCATCTTTTATAAAATAATATTACTAATAATGTGTATTAACTAAAACTATCATTTAATAAAACCTTTAAAATAAAATGTACAATCATTATAAAAATTATTTTAAAAAATAAATTAAAAAAAAAAGAAGATAAAATGAATGTAGAATCTCATATTCATCATCAAATTATCTCTCGCATTAATTACCAGGGCTAAGAATAATGCGATGATGATGAGAGGTACGTTGAAAAGTCACATCGTGTCTTTGGATTACTCTGTTATTTAGCTCCGATTTGATTGTGTGTGTATAATCTTTAATTTGCAACATCGTCCATGGCAGCCATGGCTCAAAATTTTCAATGAAACTGCAAAAAGAACACAAATTCAGCTAAAAAAAAAATAACACAAATTAGTAATACCAAATATTTGCCTTCCCTGGTAAAATCTAGCCCAATATAAATACAAGTGTCTCTTAATTCACTTACTGTCTTTAAATGTGATTCATGCATATGATTTGTTTTGGCTAAAATGTGAAATGCACATACTTAATGGCTGGTCAAAAAAGAAATGCATATACGCAGGGTTGTGAATAAATGATAATTGCACAACAAACTATATTTTGTATTAGGGTCAGTACATTTTTTTTATATGCAAAATAAATAGATGATTGAATACACTTTTCCATGTCCAATAATAATAATAATAAAAAGGTCGCTTGCAATTCGCATGTACACGTAACATTTATACGTCGAGTTTTTGCTTGGGCAATGTTCAAATAATAATACTTTTTCATTATTTAATATAAGATTTAATTAACTAACTTGAATAGATTAAATATATTAGTTAAATTAGTTAATATGATTTTTTTTAAAACACCCTAAATGTATTTCTTAATTCTATCTTTTTCATTTGGTTATTGTTAGGAGAATATTAATAAAGTTAATTTTTAAAAAATTACAAATGTAAAATAAATCTTATATATAAAATTAATTAGTGTATTTATTACAAAAAAATGTTAAACAATGAATATATTTAATGCAGAATTCCCCGGTTCTAATGGTTCGGTTTAAATTTCCAATGAGCTGGGGAACATGTCAGCCAAGGGCTGGCGGTATTATAATGAGCGAACCGGACCACAGCGGCACAAGAGGCGAACCTGACGAACCGTAAGAGAGATCACCTGACCCGACTGCAAAGGGAAGAGAGGGAAATTAGTTCACAGTTCCAAGTGGTAGCTTTCGCACACTCCCTATTTTTCGTGCGCTAACTGATCGTCTCTTCTCCACTCCGCTCTTCAAACGCACTGTCTCATCGCGTCCCTTCGCCAATCGCTTCCTCGTAGGCTGCCACTAACATTCTCGTGAATTACCGGTACGCGACATTTTCTTCTTGGATTCTCGTGATGAATGGGATTTGGTGTCATCTACGAACGATTTCGTACACCCCCTCAACCAATTGCTTGATTTTCGTTTTTCAGATAATGTCTGTGTTACGTTAAGATTCCATTTTCGTGCCGATTCGAAATGGGTCTTACATTTTTGTGATCAGACATTGTTAAAGTTCCTCGAGCAGCTGAATATTAATAAAGAGTGACTAAACTATATTTATTATTAAAGCTTTGATATTTTTTTCCAAGCCTGAAACTTTTTCCGTATGTAGTGCTCGAGTCGCTTGCTGCTAATCGTAGTGGGTGTTTTTTTCTTTTTCCTTTTTTTCAGCATGATGTCGGTTTAGGGTTTAGATTTCTGTTGTTTTTCTCTTTGGATCTGGGTATTGCACTGATGCTACCTTTGTTCCCCCCTTGTGGGCTTTGTCTGAATGCTGTACGCCCTTCCAAGATATCAGCTTGATTATTTTTTCTTTTTATTTTTGAATTAACAATATTCACTTTAAACACGGTTGAAGTTTTAATGAGATGTGGTCATATGACATATTCAATTCTTTCTGCTTCATTTTTGAGAATGTGGGTTTTCCAATTCTATATTTCCCGATGTTACCTTTTGTCCTTTCGAATTATTGGCTATTCTACTTTCTCACAAAACTTCCCCGTCGTTTCTTCTTTTAACTCCATGTTTCCTTTTGTCCCCAAAAAAACAAAAAACTCCTCTATGTTTCCTGCTCTACCTCTACGTTTTAGATTTGTTAATGAGAATGTCATCATTCCAAGGTCAGTCTTCACAAACTTCTTGACCCTGAGGCTGGTCAAGAGGCATTGTAGGAACAACGAGAGGCTATTTTATCCAGGTTGCTTGATAACCTGTCATTTTGTTGAAATCAAAATGCTGTACTCAGAATTTCTCATAACATTGAAAGTTTCCCCAGCTTTATTCTAGCTGACTTTTGTATGGTTAGCTGGGCTTCATGATTAAATTCGCACCCATGCCTTTCCAAGCATCTATTTTATTTTTCTGGTTCCAATGCTTCCTCGCACATTTCTTAAAATGAAGTTATGGGTTAATGTTTTCATGAGTGATATGGTTCTAATCTACATATCTCAATGGGGGCTAAACATTAAGGTTCAATATGTGCCTTGTATATATATTGGCACATGATACTGTATGTGCTTCCTGTTTGAATGTATGCTGAATTGTTTTTCTTTCTTAACAGAATAAGTCAATGTTTCCTGATTTTATCAAATGCATTGGTATATCTAGATGATACTCTTTTTTGTTCCCTTCCCAAATGTGTTTTCAAGTGTTGTCAAGTTTGAGATTTTCTATTGATGGCTTTTTTAGCATAATGGCCATGGAAGCAGCTTCTCACCCAACTACTCCCAGTGCTGAAATGGTTGGAAATGCATTTGTTGAGCAGTACTATCATATTCTTCATCATTCACCAGAATTAGTCTATCGGTTCTATCAAGAATCTAGTGTACTGAGCAGACCTGATTCAAATGGGGTGATGGCATCAGTGACAACAATGAAAGTAAGATGATCTGCAAACGGTGCCTGTGTATCTCGTTCTTCATTAGTTTTTTCCCCTTAACATATGATAATTAACTTAATTCATTATAGTTATAATTATGTTATAATTATATTAATAGCTGTAAAAACTAAAAAATGCTAAATGCTGAAGCCAAAACGTAAAAAGAGTGAGAGAGAGAGAGAGAAGAGAAGAGGGGAAAAAAAAAAGAAAGAAAGGAAGAATTGCTATGAAGTCTTAAGAAAGGAACATAATAACTGAAAAGCCCCAATGACAACAGAGCAGTCTACAATGACAAATTTCAGGTAGTAAATGACAATTGCACACTTGTCATTGGGACCAGTTGGTAATTATTTTTTTCTTTAGGACCTCATCGTGATTTTCCCAAAAAGAAAGTGCTATATGCATTGCTATCTTCCGGATATTAATGCACCAGTAAAATTTGGCCTATCTTGTGTCCTATATGCTGCTGATGTGGATTATTTTTATCTGCAAGGGTTTTCCCCCTTTTCTTCTGAAGTTAGGCAGGATAGGGCTGTTCAAGTAAATTTTATTGACCTTCTCTGCAAATTTATACAGACACACTCCAGGCAATCCTTGATTTCATGTGGCGTTGCTGTCTTTTTCACCGCAGGGTATTAACGAAAAGATCCTTTCATTAAACTTCAAAGACTTTAAAGCTGAGATCAAGACTGCTGATGCTCAAAAGTCTCACAATGATGGAGTGACTGTGTTGGTAACTGGTTCTCTGACTGGCAAGGATGACCTGAGAAGACCTTTTGCACAATCATTCTTTCTTGCTCCTCAAGACAATGGATACTTTGTTCTGAATGATGTTTTTAGGTATCTAGAACAAAGTGAGCCATCAGAACAGCACTCGGTTAATGTGGTTGATGATGCAATTGATGTTCTTATAACTTCTGATCCAGGCAAGATCAATTAGAAAGAACTATCTGCATTTCTTTAGTTACATCATTATATGGAAACCTGTCTTCATGCTTTTTATGTTTATATACAGACCCCAGTCATGTCTCTGATCCATCTGCACCAGACGCTGCAAATTCTCATGCGAACAAGGATCAAAATGGTGCTGAGAATGCTTATGTGCCATCTAATCTTGAAAGACAATCACTTGTTGAAATTGAGGGTGCTGAAGAGCCCCAGTCTCAGTCTAATGGCGTTGATGTTTCACAGGCCACAGAATTGGCTTCTTCAGCTCAAGAGGACACTCCAAAGAAGTCTTATGCATCTATTGTAAGTGTCCAAAGTCAGATTTTATGCTTCAAGGAATGTGAAATTTTTTAAACCTAAGTCTATTTTCTTTTAGTTGAAAGTCCTTAGAGGAAGCTCAGAACCAAATAAAGTCTATGTACCTACTAAAGCTGTAAAGGTGGTGCCAAAAAAAATTGAGAACCAGTCAGTTGAGCCAGTTGAATCTGCTGCAGCACCTGAACCTGAAAGAGAACCAAATAGTGTCAATGTGCCTGAAAGTAGTAATAATCACGAGGAAGGTACACCTTCATCTGTGTTTCATATAATTTACATTTTGACTTGTGTTTATGAAGCTTGAATTATTTGATTGTGAACTCAGAAAACATAAGACTGCACTTTATCGTTTTCAACTTGCAATTCTGGCTGCTTGATTGAAGCCACAGTATGTTGCTTAAACTTGTAACTGTTTCTGACGTGCATGTAAACCTCACAGTTGAAGGATATTCCATTTACATCAGAAATTTGCCCATGAGCGTGACGGCTTCTCAGTTGGAGGTGGAATTCAAGAGATTTGGACCCATCAAGCAAGGAGGCATCCAAGTCAGAAATAACAAGGTAGTTTATTTACCATGTGACACTTCTTCAAAATTTTCAGTTACCATGTCCCACTTGTTTCGCAGTCCTAATGATGCTTTATTGGGGGGAAACAACTTTTTTTCTGCCATTTTGCAGCAGCAGGGATACTGTTTTGGATTTGTCGAATTCCTGTCTCCGAGTGCCATGAATAGTGCAATTCAGGTAGAAGCCTTGTTGATGAGTAGTTTACAATTAGATTCCTTGAATTTTGGTATTTAATTGTGCTAGTTTAGAGGCTATACCTGGCTCCCCCATGGATAGAAACCTTTTGGCTCTTTTAACAGCTATATTCATTATAGCCACTTGAAGCCTGACAATCCTGGTATTGATTTTAAACTGAACCATCTGTGCAAATATGCCTTTATATAAGATTATCACCCCAAAGTCCAATGATTGTCTTTGTTTGTCTTTTCCGTTTCACATGCTTTGCTACTTAATAATTTTTTGTCTGATCATAATATGCTCAACGTTCTTATGACTGTTGGAATTTTTGTTTTAAAGTAGCAATCCATTTTTTCTTGGATGCTTATCTTTCGTTTTGATTTCTTACCCTTCTGCTCAAGTTGTTTTCATGCGTTGATGATGCATGAATACTCGATCAATAGGTCTCGCAAGGTTCAAAGTAATTTCTGATGTATATGGTGTTAATTTGAAGAGGAGCTCTGGCTACAGCCTCATGCAAGTAGTATTTCTATTTTGTTGGTCAGGCGAACCGTCTGACCTGTGGTTTTATGCTTGATACTTGGTTGGTTTGATAACATTTGTTTGCTGGTGACAATTGTATTGGGCAACCTGAGTACATGGTCACGCCCATATGTTGCCTTATTAGAATTTGTGTTTCCTTTTTATTGCTTCCCTTAAAGACTTGAACATTTCCAGCATGGTAAACAATCAGCTTTGTTGTCATTTTGAATTGATGTACCATGAAAACTAAATCTGGTACTTGTCTGAAGGTTTGCTGTTAAAACTTCCACCATAAGTCGTTGGTTTTATACTTCAGATTTTAGAATTTCCCTCGTGTTTCTTTCAGGCTTCACCTATTACATTTGGGGGTCGTCAAGCTGAAATTGAGATGAAGAGAACTACTACTCGAGGTAATTCCTTGCTAGCCGGCATGAATAACATCATTCATTCAGAAAGAAAAGAAAGAGAAGAAGTACATGCAAACTGGCGACAAATTGTTTGTCACATGAACACCAATTTCTATCATAGCTTATAACTCTATATCCTTTGTTTTGCAGTTGGTGCTGGTGGTGCTGGGAGAGGTAGGTTCCCACCTGCAAGAGGTGGGTTTCGAAATGACTTCAGGGGCCGTGGCTTTGGTGGCGGACGAGGGTTTAACCGAAATGACTATGGAAATCCAGAGTTCTCCGGAAGAGGTCGGGGCCCTGGTAATCGGGGCAGTGAAGGTTATCACCAAGGTAGAGGGAGAGGCGGCCGCTCAAGTGGACAAAGGCATAATACTCTTTCTTCCTGAGAGCATTAGATACATTGTGGCTCTTTTATTCAGTAAGTTGTTAGAAAACACAGGCACAGGCTGGTGGCACAATCTTCACGCTGCTCTCAAGCAACATCAAAAGCTCCTGATGCTAGTTACACCTTTGATTGCAATTGCACAGTTGTAGTAGTAGTAGTAGTTATCATGCAACGATCCTTCCTAGTGGTTAAGTATAGTAGGTAGGTTCCTGTCTAGCCAGCAACATACGCCCCTTTCTTATTTATTTATTTATTTCTAAGTATTATGCAAACAAATGCCTATGTTGGATTTGTTGGTTCCTCCTTGGTGGATCAGTTTTGGCCAGAGTTAGCATTGAATTAGCCGTTCCATTGCATATATTCTATAATCCTAACCTACTAAGCCTATATTTTGGTCCCTTAGAATGAAAAGGCACTAAATAATTCATAGCTGTTAAAAATTGAGGCCCTATAGTCAAAGGCATAGTTGAAAAATAACATCAAGCTTCGTGGGCCATGTCCTTGGATATTATTTTACTTGCATAAAAAGAGGGGAAAAAATAAAAGAGAAATGAGCGATGAGACCAGAAAAGATTCATCCAGCGTGTCTTCTCTTCAAGACGAAGGGCCGGCTTATACGGAGCAATCCAAAATTAACTGTGTATTACTATCTCCGATGTTTAATATAAAAACTAATTAATTAATTTGTGTAACTAATAAAATTAATTTAATTGATTATTTATAATAAATAAATATAGTTGTTCTTAAAATATTTTTAGAAAATATATTAGTTAGAACTAATATTTGATAAAACTTATAATATGCATAATTGTTATAAAGATTATTTTAGAAAAAATAAATAAATATGAAAGACAATATGAATTGGTGTTTTATATTTAGGATCAAATTAAAAGTCAAACTAGTTTTTATACGAATGACTGAAGGTAATATATTATGATTTCATTTAATTGAAAAAATGACTGAAGGTAATATATTATGATTTCATTTAATTGAAAAAATGATGAGTGATTGTAACATCTGCAATAATTTTTTTAAAGTCGTGCCCTTTAAAAACTAGCAGTAAACTTGGGAACAGGCTCAACCTAGAATATGCGATTAACGTCGCCTGGATGGACAATGACAATGAGACGAGTGAAAGTGACGCGCGCAATTGGATTTAAAAAAAAAAAACTGATAATAAATCAAGTTGCAAATAAGAGTTTCGTTCCATTTCAATTTCAACATCCACGTTTGGGTCTGTCCAATCATGTGTTCATCCATTCAACCCGAGAATGACGTGAAGAAAATATGACCAAGTTCTAAGTTGTCGGAATTTTATTTTTTTAATATGAACTTCTTGAAAACCCTGTTTTGTTTTACTAAAACCAATGATTTAATGCTAGACTAGTTTATTGGGAGTTTATAAGCCCAACTCATTCGATCCTTCATTAAAAATGATCCTAATTCGGTGCTTAGCTTTCATAGGTTTCTCCAAGTGGTTTGTGGCTAAAATTTTTTTTTTATATCTTTAAAATTTAAAATTCATCTTTCGACAAAAAATTTGAGTCAAATCTATTATTTGGACAGATAAAAATTCACGGGTGCGGATTTGTTCTAAGTAAATTTTATTATTCTGTCTACTAGAATCCCAAATTCACCGGAATCTAGTTACTTCAAATGTAAGCCCAAAGAAAGTGTTTTAAAATACTATTAATTTAAATCAACGGTGAGTTAGCCATTCTTTCACAATTCATAAAGTCGATAACTAATGTTTGAATTTCTATCATATTTAATAATCAACAGACTCTAATAGAATTCTTTTTAATAGGAGTATACATGTGCTTGCTTATAAAAAAAAATTTAGAATCTGGGGGGGAAAATTATACGCAAAGAATTTTAAATGTAAAATTGAAACCAAACCCGAAATCCAAATCCAAATGTAGAGTGACTTTAGCCTTGTTTCTATTAAAAGAAGATTGGACAGATTTGAATAATGCATATTATTATTTTTAAAAAAAATAAAAAGTGAGGGAAGAAACAAATGAAATGAGGTGGGGACGGCAAATGAGGACGCGCTCACAGGCATCCGATGTGGAAAAACACGCCCTCCTCACTTCATTTGAAGCAACTTGCATTTCCACTCTTACCCACGTCCTCCTAATACTCACTCCCTCCCTCCTTCCGGTTATCACCTCCCTTTCATATTTTATTCTTCCCTATCCTCCAAACCTTCTTTTTTTAATTAAAAAAATTAAATTGGAGTTACCTTTTAAATGTCACATCCTATGTCAACAATTATTGCAATTAATTACAAGGCGCTACTTCCCTGGAATGAAAATGCCCCGTCTTCATCGTCTTCCCCCACCCTTAACCTCAATCCAAATATTTTAATTAACGATCAAACAAGAGCCTAAATTGCAATTAAAAATTTTATCTTTTATTGTCAAAATGTCCTTCCCCTATTAAATAAGTTTTAAAACACCGGGAACGACAGTGAATAGATATTTTTTTTAATAAGAAAAGCAGATCCTAGGATTAATATATATATATATATAACTTTCCCCGCTAAGTGATCCCTCTTCTGCGATTATTACATGATAATAAATGTTATCCTGTAAAATATAAGAGCAACTTGTTCACTAAAAAAAAAAAAGACAAATTGCCAAGTTGAGACGGAATATTTTTCTATGTTTTTTGGGGAGGGGGGGGGGAGAGAGAGAGCGCGAGGAGCGATTGTGGGGAAGAGAAACTTAACGGAAAGGCGGGAGGAGGGAACCAGTTGGAGTGGGGTTTGTAGGCTATCATTATCAATCACAGCTTTTCAAAGACCGACACACACAGTACCCAAACCCCACACCTAACCTTCTGACACGACACGTGTGTACGATGTCCCCCTCCCCTCTCCTTCTGACACGTCACCCGCACCCCCCGCCCAACTTGCTCCTCCTCTTAGCTGTCTTCCTCCGCCCACGCTGGACACGTGTCCTTCAATCACCGGATCCATCCATGCCGTTGGATCTCCTTCATCGACGTCTTAGTCGTACGGTTCACGTCTTCCCCTTCCCCTTCCCGCCTTTCCTTTACGCTCCCACTTGCTACCCAGGGCAAGCATCAAATCTTTCCCGCTATCCTTCTTTCCGTTCATTTTCTTCCCTAATTTCCACAAACTTTTCTTTTCCATCGCCCCTTATGTTTCTCTTCTTCGTTTTTTTTGTTGATAAGAGTATGTTTACCTTCTTCTTCTTCTCCTTCTTTTTTTGTTTTGTTTTAATGGCCACAGATTTTTCCATTCGCGTAATTTAAAGCTCTCAAAAATCACTTTAGCAACAAGTCAGTTTCTTTCTACGCAGCCTGACCTTTGATATTTTTCAAATAACACTAATAACCCCTGGGGTACAACAATTCACGTCTAAAAGGAATGCACTTTCAATAAGTTCTCTGTAAGGTTCTGTATTTTTTTTTTTACTGATATTTCAAGCTTGCATAATAACTTACTGTTGCATATTACGAAATTAATTACTTCTTCAGTCGTAAATAAAAAACTCATTTTATAATATATAAATATAAGATTCATTTTGTAGTGCAAATTACACTACAGAATGAGTCTCATACTCTTTCAGTTCTCAATATAAGACATATTTAACTAATTTGATTAGATTAAATAAGTTAGTTAGATTAGTTAATTATGATAAATATGAAATGTTTTTCTTAAAACACCATAATCATCTTTCTTAATATCTTCTCTCCGTCTTTTACTTAATTATGATTGAGGAAGTATCTATAAAAGTAATTTAGAAAAAATTGATAAATATAATAAATAGATTTTATATTTAAAACTAAAATCAACTTAATAATTAAATCATATATGAAAGCTGGGAGGAGTATTTCTTGATGAGTAGTTTGCATGCCTCGCAAGTCCTAACTCGAAGTGGTGGTAAACTATTACAACCATGGCCTTCATCGTCTTTTCATACCCACCTTTTGGCCGCCCTGATCATTAGAAACGTGGCATGTGAGCCTAATTAATTATCTTTATAATTATAATGTATTCAACACTCGAAATATTTTTGGGGAAATGGCAAATAAAGACCTTTGAAAATATAAAATGGCAATTTGGGTACCTCAATTCACAAAATAGCTATCAGAGACTGGGTCCTAAATTGCAATTATGAAATGCAGGAGAAAAGTCAAAAATGTCATTCCCTTTCTCTTCCTTCCGTCTCATCCCCTCCCTCTTTTTCTTTCTTCTCTCTCTCTCTCTCTCTCTCTTCGTTCTTCTCTTTACTGCTACTGAATCAAGCTCAAAGCATAGCATTCTAGTCCTCACCTCAGCCACGTCTCTCACTTCAGAATTTAGAGGGAGAGAAAGGCGATGCTATGTTCTGATTCTTCCACCATAGCTCAAAACCCTATCTCCATTTCCACCTTCCATAGCCACAAACCTGGTGCAGCGAAGAAGGATCTGTACCTTAGAATATTTGGTAAAGTTTCAGCTTGTACTATTATCTCTTGTAACAAAATAATATTGCGATGGTTTGTTGGATTTTGAATAGAAAATCTCCTTTGAAATTATTATTCCTTGTCTCGGAGAGAGAAGGAACAGTGTAGCAAAGCATGTTGGAGCATTGTTTTATGCTTGTTTAAGATTATGTGTAATGCTTACAGAGTGTGATATTCTGCCCCTGCTTGAACTAAGTACCAAATCTGCAACATTATTTGATTCATCTTTTATCACCTTGGATATATCAGAACAGTTATGGAGGAAATCAAGAAATGAAAATTCATGATTAACTTTCATTAGTCAATTTATCAATTTCATGGAGAAAGTCAAAGGCTATTTTAATGTGTATGTGTCTTTTTATATATAGTTTGAACTTTTATGTGTTTACATACCCAGAAAACATACCAAGATCATATTGGATTTTGTCTTGCATACAGGACAATTCTTCCAAATGGAACAAGGTGTCAAGAAATTCTTTGAGAACTATGGTTAGATTAGGAAATACATTTCAATTTGATGGTGACAAGTTCATAATCTACTCCTCCTTAAAGAATGAAAGCTTGGATGATTCATTGCATGTGAATGAGGAAGGGAAGTCAACTTTATGATGGAATGTAAGACTCAAGATTGCATGAGGTGTAGCTCGTAATTAGTTTCCTTGTACAAGGGGTTCAACTCACTGAACTTGTCATTAATCTTACTAAACTTGTCATTTACTGTTTATCAGAAGTAGTTGCTGTCAGAAATCTGTAAATTTTAATTTCAACAAATAAATTTGAAATTGTATGAAACCTTATGGGAACTTGTTATTTGCTATACTCAATTTGTCATTTGTCATAGTAAACTCGTTACTTCGTAAATCAATGTGAAAATTCAGTCATTTTGACAGAGAAATTTGAAATTGTGTGAAAACCTGATGGAACTTGTCATTTGCCAAACTCAACTTATCATTTGCCATAGTAAACTTGTCACTTCATAAGTCAATATGAAAATTCAGTCATTTTAACGAAGAAATTTGAAATTGTATGAAAATCTCATAGGAACTTGTCATTTGCTATACTCAACTTGTTATTTGCCATAGTAAACTTGTCACTTCATAAATCAATGTGAAAATTCATTCATTTTTTTGAAATTATATGAAAACCTTATGGGGACTTGTCATTTGCCAAACTCAACTTGTTATTTGCCATAGTAAACTTGTCACTTCGTAAATCAATGTAGAAATTCAATCATTTTAATGGAGAAATTTGAAATTGTATGAAAACCTTATGGGAACTTGTCATTTGCCAAACTCAATTTGTTATTTGCCATAGTAAATTTGTCACTTCGTAAATCAACGTGAAAATTCTGTCATTTTGATAGAGAAATTTGAAATTGCATAAAAACCTTATGGAAACTTGTCATTTGCCAAATTCAACTTGTCATTTGTCATAGTTAACTTGTCACTTTATAAATCAATGTGAAAATTCAGTCATTTCAATAGAGAAATTTAAAATTGTATGAAATTCTTATGGGAACTTATCATTTGTCATATTCAACTTGTTATTTGTCATAGTAAACTTTTCACTTCGTAAATCAATATAAAAATTCAGTCATTTTAACAGAAAAATTTGAAATTGTATGAAAACCTTATGTGAACTTGTCATTTGTCAAACTCAACTTGTCATCTGCCATAGTAAACTTGTCATTTCATAAATCAATATGAAAATTTAGTCATTTTAACAGAGAAATTTGAAATTGTATGAAAACCTTATGGGAACTTGTCATTTGTCAAACTCAACTTGTCATCTGCCATAGTAAACTTGTCATTTCATAAATCAATATGAAAATTTAGTCATTTTAACAGAGAAATTTGAAATTGTATGAAAACCTTATGAGAACTTGTTATTTATCATACTCAGCTTATCATTTGTCATAGTGAACTTATCACTTCTGATAAGGTTTTTATACAAGTTTACATTTCTCTTCGTAAATGATAATTTCCAGAATTCTTTGACAACAACCAGTTTTTTACAATGAAAGGAGGTAACAGTTGTTAATTCGAGTATATCAGTAGGAGATGAGGTTGTAGAATAAAGAGAGATTATGGAGAATGAGAGCTTTTATATGAAGAGTACTATATTAGGCTATTAGCATTACATGTTTTGCAGAAAATTAAATATGAAAACTACACGGTTAACATGTTTTCATTTTTCCCATTGCAAATCAATGGGTTGGGAAAAACATAGAAGAACGTCACGGTTCTAGAGAAGAAGAATGAAATCGAAGGAGAGTAGAAGAAGGAAAGAGAAGAAAGAGAGGGGGAGAGAGAGAAAGGAAGTCAGAAGTTTACGTTTCCAGAGAGGGAGAGTAGGACAAAGAGAGAGAGGAAGAGAAGAAGGAAAGAGAAAGAAATGAGGTGCTGGAAGAAAGAGAAAAGGAAGGGCATTTTAGTCATTTGGGCTTCATTTCATAATTGCAATCTAGGACCCGGTCTCTGATGGCAATTTTATGAATTGAAGTACCCAAATTGCCATTTTATATTTTCAAGGGTATTTATTTGCCATTTCCCCAATATTTTTTCAGATACATTTAATATTTTAAAATATTTTTTAAATACTTTCAACTCAGTAAAATATTTTTATGGTGCAGTTAACACCTTAAAGTATTTGTTTTAGGTATATTCAGCACCTTAAAATATTTTTTTGTCCATCCACCATCAAAGCAAAAAAAAAATTTTTACGGTGCTAAATGCATAAAAAAAATACTTTAAGACAGTGAATGCACTATAAAATACTTTAAGATATTAGACACATATAAGAAAATTATTTTAAAATACTAAATGTACCTTAATCCTATCATCAAATGACTTTTCCCATAAAAAAAAAAATTTGCCCAACATTCGTGAAACATCACCATACGGATACGGTTATGCCATACTATTAATTGTATTGTAAATCAGATTTTATATTAAACATGTGGAGTGATGTTATCTTTCTAAAAACAATCAACAGAATTCTATGAAATTTTATAAATATTGAAACTGGAATTCTCGCAGACCCGCCAATTTCTCTGGCAAAAATTATGGATAATTAAAGAAAATTAGTCCCTCTCGGTAAAAATGAAAATGAACCAACAAAAGAAAGGAAAGTGACGTTTTCCTTCCTTCTTATCATGCCAATAAAAATGAATTCTCCGCTGCATCTCGGGTCATACAAGTTGTAATTTCAAAATACCAAAAAAAGAAAAAGGTAGAATTTAAATGAAACTTATTTTTGACCTGCCGTGCCTTGTAGGAGGCCAGGGAAGAGAATTAGTGATATACGTGTTAATTTTTTTTTTAATCTTGAAGTGATATACTATCTCCTGTTTTAATTATAAGATTTCGTTTATAGTTTATAAATAAAATTTTATAATTAGGACTAAAAATAGTATGCTTTAATTAGTGTTTTGTGTTTTCTGTTTGGCAGTCTAAATGATGCTTGGGGGCAGGCAACCGAAAAAGGGAAAAAAATTCTAGAGAGGGACGAAGAAAAGAAACAAACACATCCTGGAATCACACGTAATGCAAAGCTGTCCGTCAAGTAAAAGGATCAAGTTGCGCAAGTTGATATCATATTGTCCCTCAAGTGGTTCCACTTTCAACTTCCAATTCAACTTACTCATGCGTCTATCCAAAAAAAAAGTTAATACTTCTTTAATTGTTCACATAAGACCCAATTAATTAATTTAAATTAATTAATAATATCAATTCAAATAGTTAATATAAAAAATCTTAAGTATTTTTTAATTTTTCTCCCTCTTTTAATTTTAAAAAAATCGAATAAACATGTGAAATAGAATACTAACATTAACTCTCTAATTATTTCATACATTAAGAACCGGAGGAGTAGCAATGACTATAAATAAGACGGTATATTTGATCTATTAATGAATCTTTACCACGAGAAAAATTATGGTTGAAGCCTTAAATTACATACACTATCCTTAATATAAAAGTTGAATACTTAATTGAAAAAGATTAAAAAATAATTAAATTGATTAATTGTAATAATTATATGTTGATTTTTTTAATTTATCCTATTTGATTATGTGCATTTGAGTCAACTTTTGGTGAGAACCTTTTATAACCAATAAAAATATTTTGAAAAAATTTATAAATTTAAAAGATAAAATGAATTAATATCTTATATTTAGAATCAAATCTACTTACTGTCAATAAAATGTTCGTTGAGAAAATGGCGAAGTCCAAAATCCCAAATGATTGACACGTTAACCTGTGACCAAACTTTTAAATTTATTTTCAATTAATGTTAATATCAATGAAAAAGATGGAAACAGCAAGACCCTGGTCTCGGAGTTACGTGCCGTTACAAAACGTTGCATGTTGTAATTCACCCACGTGGCGATTGGGTCAGCTAGCATAATCCTCTTTCGACACGTGGATATGGGAACCTCATCCCAACAAAACCGGCCCTTCCCTAAAAGACAAACACATACTGACGCCTCGGGGGCGTTACCTCAAGATCTGGCATCCTCGCCACGTCAGCCTACTGCACCCACGTGTCCAACTCTCAGGCCTCCTTACGTCACCAGGGGTAATTCCGCCATTTTAACCCCTCTCCTTTTGCCGATTTTTGGGTTTTATTATCTTTACGGCTTTTCAACCGTCTCCTTTTTCCTCTTCCCTGATTCTTCCTACTTGATACCTTGGCGATCTCGTGCTATCATGCCCGTCCGTGTCTTGAGGGGAAACGATTCTACCGGGAAGCCGCAAGAAACTGTAGAATCTCTGTTCCCAGGTCGAATCAAAACAACATCTTAATTCCGCCTTTTTCTCTGAAAAGTACCCGGCCCTCAACTTGCAAGCTCTTTTCTTCCTGGGGGTCATAATGAAGTTGCAGTTCTTTATATATCACTCGCAACAAAATCCCTCTGTAATTTGACCCTTCCATGATGATCAGCCATCTGTGTTTGTTTTAATCTGCCAAGCTTCTTGCATCAATGGGGGACGTCGGGGATGGAGGAAAGAGGCTCATTCCCACCCCAACGAGTAGTAATTTCCCGCGAGATCTGTTGCAGTTGCAGCGATTTATGTCCGTGAATCACTTGCCGGTGAAGGTGAAGCTGGAGGAGGGAAGCGAGGAGGACGAGGAAGAGCTAGAGCTGACACTTGGGCTCTCGATGAACGGCCGTTTTGGGGTGGACCCAAGGGCGAAGAAGATAAAACGAACTTCGTCGATACCGGAATTCATGAATCACAATCCGATTCTAAAGGAGGAAGACACGGCGATCGGGATACCAATGGGGTGTGGTACTAGTTCGCTGGTGAGGACATGCTCACTGCCGACGGCGACGGAAGAAGAGTGGCGGAGGAGGAAGGAGTTGCAGACACTCAGGAGACTGGAGGCAAGGAGGAAGCGGTCGGAGAAGCAGAGGAACTTGAGGGCCGTTAGGGAACGAAATCGAGAAGACGACGTCGTCGTTGAGCGGGATGCTACTGCGACGTTGAGTGATTTCACCGCCTCGAGAACGACGTCGTTGGGCAGTGGGTTGCCGCCAACTTGTCCTCCGTCGTTGTCCAAGACCTCCAATGGGTCAGATGGGATCTCAGAATCCGAGAGTCAACCGGCTTCAGGTAATTACGATTCAATTGGTCACTTAATCACGACTTTTCTTACCCCATTTTGGTAATAGAAGTCGTCGGCATTTGCTTGCTTGATTCGTCGTTCTTTTTCCCCCCTCTTGTGTATGTCTACTTTTTAGCATCTTAACAAAATTTCAGCTCCAAAAGTCGCTAGCTTTCTTGGTTCATTCTTTCTCTGTTTCGACCTCAAGTAACTCTAGAGTCTAGAACTGCTCTACTTTCGCCTTTTTTTGTCCTTCTTAATTTCATGAGTGTGTTAGATTGTTTCTATAATCGATGCTTCGAATTGGGACACAGGTCGTTTGTTTGATATTACTGTATATAGCCTTATCCGAATGTCTATTTACACTGACTCGTCCTTTGACTAGGAAATTTTTTTAATTCTAAAATTGGGAAAGAGGGTGAGGGACAAGACAAGCTTGGGCTCCATTATGTTGAATGTACTAGCCACCTGATAGTGCTTTGTATGAAGAAATGTTATTCTCGATGTGAATTTAATGATACAGGGAGATTATGGAAAATGTTTATTCAAGGACCTTGATGGGGCTAACTTTGTACACATGTTTTGAATCTTTCTTCTGGGCAACAAAACAACTGAAGAAAGAAATTTCACTTAAAATAACCATAACGGTGTTTAATCAAAACAAAAGGGTTTTGGAAGACGAGTTGATTCGTCATTTGTGTCACCCTGCCTTTGCTTACCATCAATATCGATATCGATTTGAATGGCTGCATGGTTTTTGGGCCTTGAACAATGCGGTTTTAATTCGGGTTTCTTGGAAATACAGGAAGCCATCTTAACAATGAAAGAGTTTCATGTGGTTTGTTTTTGGGTTTTGGTTGTTTCATAAGAAAGAACCCACTTGCAATTCTCATGAAAAAAAAATCGACTTAGTTAACATGCAAGGAAGCTTCATGTGGTGTTATAATGTTTCAGTTCAAGAAAAGGGTATTGATTTCTACATGCATAAAATCTACTGAAACACTACCGAAGCCTTTTTTCGTGTGGCAGCAAAAAAGGTCGTTCCAAATTTGGTTCACTACTCTCTCTGCATTCAGTTTCACCACTAAAAGGAAGTGTTTATATTTAGTAGGCATGTCTAATAATGAAAAATTACATAATTGTTGTGATGAACCTGGTTTTCTTTCATCAAACAGCCAGTACAAGGACATCCTGAGAACATATATACTTGCATATTTATAGGTACTTTGATGCATCATTTAGTTCTAATAGTCTAAAGCCTTGACGGTTGGGATTATTTTCCAACTATATTTCTGTCACTTGTCGCATTTCATTTTTGTCCTGCTATTATCATAATATATTGTATTTGTCAAATTGTCATTGCTTGGCTTCATTCTTTATCCATCCATAATTTGATCAGATAACTCTGGTGCATGTTCTTCCTTGGATTGCCCCAAACTTTCTGCTTTTGTTTATTGGATTCAAGAAAGGAGACAGAATACAAGTGCAAGCTAGCTTGTAAATATGTATGTGTGTATGAATTTTTAACTACTCTTTTATCCTAATCCGTTTCTGCTGCTTTCAGGAACAAAATCCCCTGATGCTAGAATCTCTAACAGGACTAACTCATCTCTAGATGGCGAACAGAAGTCAACAGTCACCTCAGGAACACTGATTACCGAAAAATCAGGCAAGACTAGTGCTGTTACATTGAGGAACCAGGATAACAACCTTTTATTACCAGAAAAGGGGACCAAAGATATGATGAAGAATATGTTTGAAGATATGCCTTGTGTGTCTACGAAAGGTAAGGGTCCCAATGGAAAGAGAGTTCAAGGGTTTCTTTACCGGTACCGGAAAGGAGAGGAAGTGAGGATACTATGTGTTTGCCATGGCAGTTTCCTCACCCCAGCCGAGTTCGTTAAGCACGCAGGCGGTGGTGATGTGGATCACCCATTAAAGCATATTGTTGTGAGTCCAAGCTTTTTGTAACTTTTTAAAATGTGAGACAGGACAAAAGAACCAGTGGTGAGTAATCAATAGTGTTATTACTCTCTTGGTTTCTTTTGAAATTTGGCTCTTTATTTGGCTATGGAAGTTCCCTGCAAACATTTAATATCGCAAGTTTAAGATATTATGGAGGGTCTGGTGCCTTTCTTCTTGTTCTCTTTTATTGTAGCGAAAGCTAACTTCTAGTACGAGGGAACAACGTTGATGTTATCATTTCCCAAGTGGCATTCGATTCCCTCATGTTGCTCGTTGTTTCTTTTCTGTTAGTTTCGTAGCTCAAGAGTTCTATATTTAATATGCAGTTGCATATTTTTAGTCGGGGGTGGATGGGTGAAGAAAATTTGCTTTTTTCCCCGTCAATAACGGTCTCTGGCTTTTATATTGTTCGGAAACTAAATAGAATTCCTTTGGCACATTAAAATCTACTGTGAAGGGTAAGATCAAGAATGTCGCATTCTGCAATATGATTTCAATCTGAAGAAGCTGGGAGGAGTTTGGTTTTTTGGGTAACTTGAACAATAAATGTTCGCCGGTGTATGGTGATGCCCTTTCATGAGAGGAGAAATTATTCATTCTGTGCCAGGAAACTGAAGTATTAATTCCCAACCTTGTTTTAAAACCGCTGAAAAAAAAGAAGCTAAATCTGTCAATTTCATTTTTGATGTTTTTAATTAAGAATAAACTTAAAATAATAAATTGATTGACATGTATGAATGAATAAGCAAAAACCAAATAATAAAACAAGCGATAAGCACGAAATATGACTCACCTGGGGCAACTTCAATATCTTATTATGTGTGGTATCTCCTTAGACAACTATCACGTCTATCTTGTTTTAATGATATGAATTTGTTCCAAGATCTCAAATTCTCAGGAACATGATGTTGACTATGGGAGAGGGGGACGGAATATTGTTTTTTAGTCAAATGGTTCATGTTTACTGGACCATCATAGGGACTCGTAACTTCTTTTGAGAAGTGAAAATGAACACACAATTTCTTATTAAAAAAGTGTGCGCGGGTTAAGATGAGGTTTACTAATAGTCAAAAGACTATAGTTTTGTTCCAAAATTAAATAATTAAATGATGTACTTCTCAGATCTTAAATATAAGACCCTTATACACACTAATATATAGGACCGAAGCAGTATAAAACTAGCGCGAGGCTGAAAGTTTTCTAGGGCAATAATGGAGATGAACATGGAAGGGCATTTGCACGCGGATAGCCAATAGGATTCCATTCTGGTTCTCGCCTTCTCGGAGCCATTACTCTGGCAAAAGCAGCAATCACAGCACAAGTAGGAGTAAGCAAAACCGAACAGTAACGGTTTGGTTATTTCAGTTTTTCGGTTATATATTCGGTTTTTTTAAAAAAAATTCGGTGTTCGGTTCGATTAGTGAAAAAAAATTTCTGTCATAACCGAATAACCAAAATAAATAAATTATATATTTATATTTAATAAATATTATTATAATAAATATATATGTGGGTATATATGTGAACTTTTTAAATATATTTATATTCAATAAATATAATTATAATAAATCACACTGAATGATGAAATATTTATTAATTAATGGTTGTAGTTGTGTTTTATTATTATTTTTAATTATTTTTCATATTTATATATTTTGGTTAATTGGTTAACCGAACCGAAAATTTCAGTTAATTCAGTTTCAGTTAGTTCAGTTAATCAGTTTCGGTTCAGTATTTAAAATTTACTCTATTCAGTTAATTAAGTTATCACTAATAACTTATTCGAAAAACCAAATGTTCACCCCTAACCACAGGTGAGTATTTTAATAGTTCTGTTCCTTCTAATCATTCTTCCCACTACATTATTAGTCGGAGAGCCTGGACGCATGCGAAACAACATACTAACGGAGGAAAATAAAAGCAAAAACCAGAGGAACATCGCAAAAGATATGGAGAGAAGAAACTGATTCTATTCTATGATCTTATTAAAAAAATGAAACAGGAATACACGTGTATGGCGTGGAAATCACGTATCTGCACTCTTCTGCAGATTCATCACCAAAGCCCCCTAATCTAGAAACAAGCATCGAAAACTGAGGGCATCACTATATTACAATTTACAATTTAGAACTCAACCTAGGAAGAACAGTCCACAAAAAAGGACCCAAGCCTAAAATCACAAATGATATTACAAAGTGGGAATGCTTCTAAGAATCACTATGTCAAACTCACCAAAGGGCTAGCTGCTAGCACGATGGCGGTTGAAGTTGCTTTAGCCTTCGTACAACCTGTTTCATTGAAGGTCTCGTCGAGAGGGAATCAACGGTACACATAATGGCCAAGTGCAATACCTCTACCAAATCATCCGAGGGTCCTGCATCCCATAACCCAGCGGTGAAAAACTCCTTTGCTCTCCCTTGCCGAAGTAGCAGGCATGCCCATGCTACTATGTTGAAGCCATTCCCATAGGAAGAAAAAGAAGGATCTAATGCCTTCTTGTCTGAGAGCAACTCTAGAAGGACAACACCATAACTGTACACGTCAGCCTTGTCAGAAACCCGACAAGTCATGGCATACTCAGGCGCAACATAACCGAATGTTCCTGCCACCCCTGTAGTAGCATGGGTTTCAGAAGTTCCCAGAAGTCTGGCCAATCCAAAGTCAGACAAATATGCATTGAAATCATCATCCAACAGTATGTTGCTGGGCTTCACATCGCGATGGAGGACACGTGGTACACACGTATCATGGAGGTAGGCAAGTGCCCGGGCAATGTCCAATGCAATCTTGTGAAGAATTCTCCAATCCACGGCCCTTGTCGACCTCTCCTGGATAAACTTTTCCAGGTTCCCACCCGGCAAATAATTGTATATCAGAAACATCTCAGTCTCACTGGCATGATAGCCAAACAAAGTGACAAGATTTGGATGGCGAAGTCTTCCAAGGGTCTTTATCTCTGCATCAAATTGTTGAACACCTTGGAATCGTCCTACCGAGAGACGTTTTATTGCCACTAGATTTCCTGGTGCTATCTCTGCCTTGTAGGTTGCTCCAAATCCTCCATTTCCAATACAATTGCTGGCATTGAAATTACCAGTGGCACGAACAACAGTTTCGAAAGTCAATGGAACCCCAATATCAGTAAATACAATAACTTCTTTTCTTGTGGAACCAACAACCCTGGACCTGGAGTTCCACTTACGAGTATAAAAGAACAGAATAATTAGGGCTATCAGAACAGAAACGATAGCTGATGCAGACGTTATAGATGCTATTTCAATAGAATTGAAGCCAGACCCACCACCTTTGCTGGCAGTTTCTGGTGGTGCAGCAGTATAAGAATTAGAATCAGCTACCTGCCCTTGCTGATCTGTTGATGGCGCATTCAAAGAAACCATATGGCAAGGACGTAAAAAAGGATTCCCAACAGCACTGCTGCATTTCAACAAGTTATTATTTGATGGCAGTGATCCAGACAAGTTATTGAAGGACACATTAAACGCTGAGAGTGTAGTGACATTTGCCAGACCGGTAGGAATATGTCCAAAAAGTTTGTTGTTGTTGAGAAGAAGACCAGTCAGATTTCTCAAGTTCTCAAAACCCTTTGGAATCTCACCCGTGAGAGAATTAGATGAAAGATCCAAAACCTCTAAAGAGTACAACTGCCCCAGCTCGGAAGGAATGGAGCCAGTTAAGTTATTAGAGGCCAAAGAAAGAAACACAAGATTTTTCATTTGGCCAAGGCTGACAGGAATCGAACCTTGTAACTGATTCCGACTAAGGTTAAGAGAAACAAGAGATACCAATTCCCCTAAACCAACAGGAATTGGTCCAGTTATCCGATTCCCGGATGCGTCCAAAAACTTTAATGACCGGCACATCCCGCCAAACTTCGCAGGAATCTGGCCAGATAACCTATTATAACTGACATTTAAGAGCAATGCATCTAATCCATCACACATATCAAACACGTTGGTAGGAAACGGCCCTGCAAGCTTGTTTTCTCCGACAAGAAACGCATAACCCATTTTCTTTCCCAACCTGTCATGTGCTATGGGCAGTGCCTGCATGCCAGTAAAATTGTTGTTCCCAAAATTGTGAATAACTGAAAGACCAACTCCTCCCACCGAAGTCAACAGGGATCCATCATGAACCTTTGATGAAAAAAAGGACATATATGGAATTGAGACATTGTCAAGGTCAAACAGCTTGCCATCCCAGGAAGGAACTGAAGGACAAGTAACATTAAGGAATCCAGGAATTGAACCAGACAAGATATTCCCACTGACATCAAACACGGTCATACAGGGAACACGAAGTTCTTCAGCAAGCTCTCCAGTAAGGTTGTTCGAGCTTAAGTCAAGAAAATGCAACTTCTTGCAGCCACTAAGCTGATTTGGAAATTCCCCAGTGAAATAATTTTGAGCCAAATTGACCATCTCTAAGTTATCACAAGCACCCCAACTGTTTGGGAAACTACCTTCCAGAGTTGCCCTTGGTGCCCACAATATTCTCAGCTTTGGGAGAGATGTAATTTCCACAGGCATGGCACCTTCAAAATAATTCAATTCATCATTTATAGAAACCAATTGCGAAGATTCCCTCAAAGTATCGTTGACTTCAGGAAGCGGATTGAAAAGATTTGACAGCACAAGGACAGACAACTCCGAACAATTCCCAATTTCGGGAGGTACTGGACCACTGAGAGCGTTTCTTGAAACATCCAAGACTTCAAGCACCTTAAGTTTACCAAGTTCGGGAGGAATTACCTCTTCCAACAGATTTGAATACAGCAGAAGTGTCCGCAATTGACTACAATTACCCAAACTGCTTGGAATTCGCTGAACTAAGAAGTTACCAGACAAATCCAGATGTTCAAGCTTCACACAGTTATCCCCGATCTCAAGTGGAATAGGCCCAGTAAGCAGATTAGAGAGTAGATACACCCCCTTCAGCTTACCGATGAACCCAGGAACAGATCCATTCAAGCCATTTGCAGCTAAATTCAAAATTTCCAAACTTTCAAGACGGGCAAGTGAGTTCGGTATCTCCCCCACAATTTTATTAAAACCAAGGTTTAGAACGCGCAAGTTCCTCAAGCCATCGAAATGGGGCGGCAGTGACCCAGTTACGGAGTTGCCCTCCAGGTCGAGAACATCCAACTTGCCCATACCCCAAATTTCAGAAGGAATTTCACCCTCGAAACCATTAAACGGAAGTGACAGAATTCTGAGCTCAGTAAGCTTACTGATCAGAGGCGAGACCTTCCCAAACAATGCTCCTCTACTGCTGTCACAGCTCCTCCTAATTCCAAACCCATAAAGTGGAAATTCAGCAGAATCAGAACACGGAGAAGAGCTTCGATTACTTCGACCACCATTTCCAGTAATGTTGAGAGCGACAACCCGCGAATTCGAGTCGCAGAGAACACCGAACCAAGAACAGTGCTTGGAATCTCCGGCCGAATTCCAGCTCGAAAGCAGCCCCGATGGATCAGAGACCGAATTCTTGAAATGAAGAAGCACTGATTTGTCCGAATCGGCGGGAAAGGCGTCACTACAAGACGTGAAGAGGACCCATAAGACAAAGTAAAATTCCAGAACAAGCAAGGGGGACATGGGCTTATGAAAGAAACGCCATTTGATCAGTGAAGTACAGGAAGAAGGAAACATCTCACGAACCCTCGAAGGGCCTTCCAGACCCAGATAATTTAAACCCTAAACCCTTCCCTTTGAGTTGCAGACAAAGAAAAGGGTATTTTTTTCGTGAAAACCCTAACCCTAATTTTGCTGGCTAGGAAGACAGAGAAAAAGATGGAGAGAAAGCCAAGGGCGAAGGAATAGTGCAGCAATCAAGAGTGTGAATATTTCAACTGTGTTCTTTTCAGAAAACGCGTTTTTCTTCCTTCCTTTCCTTTTGTCTAGTTTTGCTTTTCCATTTTTTTCCCAACCTTCTCCTTTCGTTTTCCGTTATAAACTAAACAATTATTTTCTTATAAAAATTATTTATGGTTATGTTTCTTTAAGAAAATTAAAGGAAATAAAAAATGAAAAAGGGTTTCGTGGCCATTGGAAATGGCGGGGTTGTGGGGTCCACTCTACATTAGCCAGTAGGAGGTTGGGGCCCACGGCCGGTCAATAAATGATGAGGCCACGTCAAATTAAGGGGTCCTTGGTAGTTAGGCTTAAAGGCGTCAAAAGATTCCTTAAAGTTAACACGTGTCGCCACAAATAACAACCCACGTGGGATAATGTTGCAGGATGTTAGCGGGTCCCACCTTCTTTTGGTGTTGTTGGTCCTTGTTTCATGAGGTCCAGATAAGCAAAGGGCCCCACTACTTGTCAATTTTGGAGAGTTATTGTAGCCCCCTTCTTTATCATCTTTCTTCCTTTTCCTCCCTGTAACAATTAGATACTTCCTTTTTCCAACAACAATTAAATACCCTTATCTCATGGTAATAACGTAAAATTTTATCAAAAATTATTTTCATATTTTTAACATTTAAATTTCTATTAAATATGAAAAAATATTGAAATTATAAACAAATGATTGTGTAAATTTGACAAGTGACAAGTTAACAACTTCTTATGATTTATAAAAAGTATATTTTATGTGAATTTTATATTTCATAATATTAATTTATATTTTATGTTGATTCCGATGAGAGGATGACTCCTAAATATCCGTTTGGTCCTCAATAGAAAATAATAACCGCTTTCAATGAATTATGGTTACTCAATTAAAGTAAATAATTCATATTTATTAAGAGAAGCAAGAAAGGCATGTTTACTATTTCGAATATGTCATTTATTATATTACTTTAGTCTCTCTCTTTTTTGCCATCGTAGTATTCATTATTCATAATACTCTCGTTGCCAGATTTTTTTTAAAAAAAGTATTTTTAGAAATAATATTAAGAATTATTTATAATTTAATTAACTTTTGTCTTTTTTATATTAAAAAAATATCCATTAATCTTATCAGCAAGCTCAGCAGAAACGACGCATGTGACGTGAATCACACTTCACTGGTCTCAGCTAAGCCCCTCTCTCTCTCTCTCTCTCTGGTTTTTTTTTTTTTTTTTGGTTTGGAACAAATGGAAAAGAGAAGTCATTATCTAAAGTTCCACCAAGTTTGATGAGTGATGAATTTCCCCCATGACTGACATGCATGGGTCTTAATTATTTGCCCTGTGGACGCCTTCACATTTGACTTGGAATTGGAACACCCAGTCTGAAGCCCTTTTATCCAACAAACTAACTATTCACATTCACAAGTAATTATAAAACACAAGCTCACTTTCACAAGCCACGCAAACCAAACTTGAAGGTCCGTGAAATGTGCGGTTATAACTCCTCAGCGTCAACATTTATTTATATTCTAACTAAAGAATATTCCTTATTGAAAAATGATCAAATCACATTTAATTTAAACAAAATCATGGGTGATTTGCTCTCCATTATATCCCAAGGGAAACCTGAATAGAATAGTAATATTTGAGCGTAAGAAAAAAGGAATTGTGAAGCATGCCATGGACATGGATACGAAAGCCTAACGACTGATCTGGGGCCAAATTCGTGGAAACTTTGCGTTTGTTTGTGGATGGCGGAACAAAACTCAAACGACTTTTTTAACTACTCCTCGTTAATTATTTTTAGCAAAGATATTAACACATAATATTTTTATCATAAGACAATTTCATATATTATTAAAAAACATGCTGTGTTTTTATTTTTAAAAATATGGTTCCAGAATAGTTATTACAAATTACGGAGGTAGTATAATAATAAACCAAACATGAGAAATCGGACAATTTAATCCGGTCAGGTGGGAAGCGTGCGTGTTTTATGGGAAATGGTTGGCGGATTTTGCTACCAAAACAAATCCTGACCAACCATGTATGTAATTGAGATCCTGGGCAGAGACCCATACTTTATGGGGAATTTATAATTTACGTGTAAGAATTGATATATGAAGATTTTCACGTGTATTTACTATTTAAAGATTCGGATTCGAGTGGCTTTATTGGGTTTATCAATGCTTTAAAGATCCCGATCTTCGTAACAAATTAAAAGCCTGCACCTGATGGATATTCATTTGAGGATAGAGCAATTCTAGCCCCAGAAGTGGGGGGGGGGGGAATAGAAATACATGTCACAGAGCGATGGACGACCAACAAAAGATTATAAACAGATTTGATAAAAATGGTGTTCCAACGCAAGGCTGGATGGATTATTGCTCAGTGATTGCTTTGTCAACGACACAGTGAACGACAACAAGAGGGGAAATACCAGCGATTTCTTGGTCGAGGAGGATTTGGAGCTTTTTCAGCTTTAGCACTAGGCGCCTCGAATGGCTTATCTTCCTCCTGCTTCTCTGATTTTATTGTTGTTTTGCTCTTCTTTCCACTCTGAATTGATGAGAATCTGAAACAAATAAAAAACAAACTCACTGTCAGAAGTGAGCAATCATACCCCCTCCCAAATTCAGCTTGCTTGTTAAAACCAATTTATTATGAAGGAAATCAAAACGAGAATTCTTAAAACGTATTTGAGGGGTTATTCTTGACTCTTGTTGTAGATTTGTGCATATATAATAAGTGAAGTTCCAACGGAGAAGTATGGCGTATATATTTCTGCAGAAAAGCAAAAGCATGGGGCAGCTTACAGAGGAAATTGAAAAGATCGATTGCTGATACGGCTCTCTTGAGAGCGGCAAGACACACTGGTGACATCCTTAGCCTCTTCCCTGGGGACCCTTGCTTCCTTACTATTATCCTCTGCCTCTGGAGTCTCATGCAACACAATTGCTGCACTTTCTGCCAACGTCTTTACTGATTCGCAGTGCATCACAAAGGGCGAATCTCTAGTTTCCTCACAGGCAACTCTTGTTGATAATGAATCTGAGTGCCCTTCAATGTCATTGTCTGCACAATTACTTGGGACCACATCTCCAACAGGATGCAGTGCCGTGGACTTGCTGATGGATTCATCAAACCTGGGAGATTCTACACATTTGTTCCCAATAAAGAATTGTTCCCTCGCGAAACTACTATTTCCCGCCTGTATACTAAAAAGAGACTCATTTGATGTATGACTCCATGCCAAAGGATTTGTGGGTCTGCCAGAAAATATAGACAATGGAATTCTGTTTGGATCATAGCCCGGTCGAGCCATCATTTGACTTGGAGGGAATTGTGGAGTAGACGCACTTTGGAAGCTCCACACAGGGGATGGGTAAGCAAAGTCGCTTGAATATGAAAATGCTGGAGGCTCATTATCAGCATGCTTAGATTGGAAAGTATTGTCAGCTATACCATTGTCATTGTTTTCTAACGCTACTGATTCTACTGAAGAGTTGGACAATGAAGAAGAACAACTTGGCTGTTTTTGGCGAGAGATGTCGTGATCATCATCTTCAGGATCTTCACGATGCACTTTCAGATCATTGTGACGACTTCCTTCCTCATCTTTATGATCCAAGGAAGCCATCATTTTGGTCCTTTAGGCTACAATTGCGGCAAAATGAGAATCAACAAATCATTGTGCATTTATTTGACCAAAACCAAAGTGTAAATTATTCTCCTCTGTTCTAATGAATGCTTAAATTATAGAACTATCTCTTCTATTGTGAAATTATACAGAAATCTTTTCGAATTATACTAGTATCAAAAGAATTATACAGATTTCTGTTACTGAAAATATAGCTTACGGAAAATAATAATTGCTATAAATTTCATTTCTAAATCTTTGAATTTAATATATTTTAGATTTAAATACTAACAGCTTTAGTATTATGAAGTACTTGTTCATTAAATTATGTTAATAATAGGTTGAGATTTTGACCAAAAAATTAATTGTTAAGGGAGAAAAAAGATACAACCATAAGGCGATAGCTTAGACGTAACTGCGCCCACGAAAAGGACCCAAATATAACTCTAACGAAAGCAACGCACAAGAGACACGATGGACATAAGATTTGAGAAACATCAAAACTCAAGGGTTGGCTACTGTCATAAAATAAATCAAAGTTGCAGAAGCAACTGAATCTACACCAGGCAATGGATAATTATGTCTTCGCATTGAATGTGTCGATGATGCAAGTTATGCAAAAAGGTACTATATGTATGATGTATCAAAACAAATTCAAAGCATGAATCTGGATAAATTTTTCACTTCTTCAGTATCGTTGATCATAAGAGATGACAAAGCTACAAGAATAGCCTATCATCTTAAAATGACCGAATGAAATCAACGGAGTCAATACTTACTCAGAGGCTCGTCGCAGAAACCGAGTGGCCTCCTCAAATTATTCAAGATCCACTGAAATCACAGAATCGGCGACCGACGGAGCTCAATGGAAGAGCCTAGGAACAAAAATTGACACGTATTCCCAAAGGAGCGACGACAATGCAACGCCAAGAAAAGGAGGAGGAAAGATCAGGAGAGGAAAGGGAGATCCAAACTAGGTTTGCAGAGGGAGAAACAGAGGAAGATAAAGGAGGAGTGACAGAGTGGATAGCAGGGAATTATCTGTTTCGTAACTAAAGAGATGAACAAACTCACCAAAGAAAAGAATAAACCAAACGACGTCAACGAAGTAACGAACAGGGGGGCGTTTCGCGCCATTGCCAGCGACCACCTGGCTTGCCATCGCTCCCAACGGCGAGCCCATTAGGCTTAGATTTTTGGGCCAGGCCAAGCCCACCAGGTTGTAATAATCGATTTTCTCATTTGACCGGAAAAGGATTTTATTGACCCACAAATATAGTTTTTCTGTATATTCATTACAAAAAGTTTGACGTCAACAGTGCAAAATCTGTCAATAAAAAATAATTTAATAATTTTGGAAATTATTTTACTCCCCCTAAGAAATTTTCATTCTCGTTTAAGTTTGATGGGGGAAAAAACTCAAGGATAATCCTTGAGTAAAATGGAAATGGATATACAGAACAGAGATTACTGAGTTGCTATGATGCTTTTAAAATCCAACTTTAATAAATTACACACTATTATAGATTAATAATAGAGAGTGAAAACAGAAATTTCGGCACACAAGGTCAGAGTTGAAAATAAAATGAAGTATAAGGGTTATTAGAAGCCCAAGGATGCGAGGGGTTATCTGATTATCTTCACTTGTCCTGAGTTTGTGATGTTTGTTGATACAGAGAGGAGCGTAGAAGGCTAGGCGAATGAGAATTGGTGAGACTGTATTGCAGAAATATGAATAAGGGCTAAGCAAAAGAATAGCAATGGATGGGATTTTGAATATTCAGCTCTTCAATTCTGGAGTTCACTGCCTCTGCTGTAAGTTCTGGACTCATCTTTCGTATTCAAGGCATTGCCTTCTTTGAACTCTTGCTCTTTCGCTTTGGTTCTTATTACACGACTAGTCCCGCTTGCTCTTCTTTCTGAAATAGCCTTTAATATTCACTTGCTCAAATGACATTGATGGGAGTGAATTAAACCGAAGACACGCCTGTGTCCAAATTTAAGAAGAATGAAGGTGTTATATTAAGTGAATGTTTGCAGCTAGAGAAGGAGAGATTACTGGGAGTCCAATACTTCACACGTCATCTCCAAGCCAAATCCAATGTCTTAGTTCTTCAATCCATCAGAGATTGCCTCCGGTGGCAAGTGGCTGCAGAAGCACAGTGAAGGTAAAAATCTGGGTTAAATAAATGTCTGTCTTGATTCTTAAAATCTATAGAATCTCTTTGAAAATTATAGTTTTGCCACTATAATGGCTGCTTCCAAGCCCACCATACAGCATGATTGAATTTTAATACAGGTTCACGCTATGAGGAGAAGGAGAAGGGCAAATGAGAGGACTGGAACTTATGTACTGCTAGAACCAGGTGAGGAAGAGAGGTTTGTGAGTGAGGAAGAATTGAAGTCTACCTTGAAAAATTGGCTAGAGAACTGGCCCAGTAAGACCCTTCCTCCTGATCTTGCGAGATTTGACACCATTGATGAAGCTGTTTCCTTCCTCGTAAGGACTGTCTGTGAACTGCAAATTGATGGAGATGTTGGCTCAATCCAGTGGTACGAAGTCCGCTTAGAGTAAGGAAACCTGTTTTTGAACCAAAGACTGCGCTTTATTTGACACATCAGATATCTGCACTTTTATGCTTCAATTGACAAAACTATAATGGATATCTCCATCGGGCTCAGTGTGTTATATATTTATCTCGAGTCAGTCACTCTTAGGGTTAAGTAAATATCAAAATCCCCAATCCCTAATTATGTACAACTTGCCTAGTTCCAATTATTAACATATTCATATTACAACAAGAAACCTTACTAACAATATTATACTTACATTATTTTAATTACCAATATCTGAGATGAAAGCAAGGGTGAGAAGAGAAACGCAAACATAAATCGAGAATCAGGTTCATCAAAGAGGTGGAAAAGGCAAATATGAGATCGATGTGGCCATCATTATTTTCATCTCTATTCACATTTTCCTTTCATTATTAGAGGGATGTGCTCACTTAAATTTTATGATAAAGAGGTTATCAGTTACCAAGCACTAAGCAACGATGTCAGCGCACCATATTGATTTCCAGCTTACCAACTTTGCAAGCAATATTATTAGGCTCGCATTAGGCTGTGCCTATTTCACAAAACCCCAATAAGTTACCAAGTTTTAACAAACAGGTAAATTTAGCAGACAGTAACTGCAAATAAAATTATAGTCTGTTTCACATCTATTTAAACTACCGAGTGACAAAATCGATCCTTTCGCTACAGCAGAGTAATAATCCTCTGTTTCCCGCTGTGCCGTTCACTTTCACAAAACTCAGTCATGGCTTTGCAAGTCACATATTGTGGAACAGATCAAATATAAGGTGGAAAATCACATTAACTGGAAGCAGATTAAGTCATCATAGAAATTCCCGCGTAATAGCAAACTTAATTGACTAGATTCTCCCCAATAATAACGAGTTCAATCTTCGAGCCATGCAAATGGAAAGCCATAATTATGCTCAGGTCATTGAAGCAACGTATATTTGTTTTAAAGAACAATGCTTGATTAGAATCTTTCTAGCATACTACTACCTCCGGTTCTAATTATAAGAGTCAGTTGACTAATTTGAGGAGATTAAAGAAGTAAGTTGAGTTAGTTATTTGTCCTAAATAAGTGTTGTCTTTCCTAAAATATCCTTACTAATCAAGTGTATTAAGTAGAACTATACTTATTAAAAAAGATTATCTGGGAAAAAAATTGAGTAAATATGAGAGACAAAGTGATTGGGATTTATGTTTATGACTAAAATAAAAGTCAAACAAATCTTTATATTAAGGACCGGAGGTAGTATATTTGATTTCTCTAATTTAGGTTTTCAATAATGCATACCTACACTGACTAAGGTTCAAACTCTGGAGTTCCTTTCAGACATTAATTTCATGTGTCGATGAATAGATGCCCCCATGTGGACAAATAGAAATAAATGCAGAAGAAAGACTTCAGAAACGTCTGGCCCCACGATTACATCACGTCTTCTAAGATTTTCTTTAACAGGATAGCCATTAGACATTTTGATTTCAAAACGTGTTCAATACTCGGAGATTTACTAAGAATAGTTCGTGAGACGTATAAGGTAACTCAATCGAAGCAAAATAAAGAAGACATATATAGAGCAATGTACAGGAACCAACAGTCCAACTATAAGATGTCGGTTGGAAAAGAAATTCTAGTGAGAAATTAGCATATTGGCCTTCATTCTGCTAAGACAGAACCCTTCAATGGAAGAGCATCTAAAATAACTGTATTCTTATAAACATAGGCGTGATATACTATGACGAGGAGGAGGAAGCCAGAAATTTCATATCACATTCGGATCCAGCAAAGACGAAAGAGGATTAAATAAAATAAGCCGGCAGATTGAAAAGTAGTAAAAAAACAGAGGAGGGAATTAACGTGAAACGCCACTTGCGGCCACTTCACAGACACCTACGGCGCGCGTATGAGGGAGCACGGTAGTGGCTGGACAGAGCACCGCCATGATGCGACTCGAATGCGACGATACGTGGTGGAGGGAGAAAGACGTGGCAGACGGAAGAGGAAACAGGGAGCTGCGGTCTTACAGGGGGGCGCGGCAGTGGAGTGCCGGGAAAAGAGCAAGAGAGGACAGATTACAGACGGGGGTCAATTTTTTTTTTGCCTTGAAAAATCGATAGACTCCTCTAACTAGAAAGTCTTTGTATTCTAATGACATGGATGGTTCCTTATAACTGGGAAATAAAACCCTGAGGTTAGATTTTGCACGTAATCTTATACTTGCATATATTCCAACTGTATGTTATAGGACTGGAATGACTAGATATTATTTTCCACTGCTCTTTTTTATTTGATAAATACTACCTACGATTCTAAATGTAAGAGCTAGTTAACTAATTTGAGTAATAAATAAAAAAGTTCTGTCTTTCCTAAAATATCTTTATTGATCAAATTTATTGTTAGAACTACATTATTACAAATACTATTTTAAAAAAATAAATAAATATGAAAAACAAAATAAATCAAAATTTTATATTTAAAACTAAAATAAAAATTAAACGAAATCTTATATTAAAAAATAGAGGTGGTATATTAATAGCGGGTAATATGGCCAAAAGAATCAAGATTTGAAAGGTTAGAGTCATTTGTTGGGAATTTCATGGAGGAGGGCAAGTAGAGCATTAAAATAGAAGCAACTACTCATAGCCGATGGAGTCATGAGTTCGAATCATACTATTAATGGGAGAATCTTTTTTATAAGCGATTTGTAAGTATTTCTATAAATATTTATAAATTTAGAAGTATAACTTAATCTCCAGGATGCAACTCTTGTTGGGGGGGGGATGGGAGCAACTAGCAAGTGCGTGTCGGATAGCTGGATCCACAATCTCTGCTGCTTCAGGCACCACCCAGCACTCCTGTTTGATCACTTCGTTGACTTTTGTCAAAGAGGAGAGCACGAGTGGCATTATATACAGTACACATATTCTGTCCAGTGAATTTCAAACCCCCCCAAAAAAAAGTTAAGTCAGGAACCATTTAAAGAAAAAGAATATGATAAAAATTAAAATCGTGTTAAAAAAATTACAATGTACCGTGAAAGGGGACAGGCCATTGTGGAGAATAAGGGTCCAAGTTTAGGGGATAGTGGTAAGGCCTGCTTCCACTTCAAATTCGCATGATGGCCAACCAAAATGCCCATTGAATAACTAATAGAAATTGGGTTTCACAAAAGAGTTGGTCTCCCGTACTATAGTGAATCAAAATTCAAATTTTTATTAGGAGAAATGTTTATATTTATTGCCTGATGACAGTAATTTAAATACAATTACCTCTAGTAAAAAAGATACTTGTGCTTAGAGAAAAAAAAATCATTAAATACATTGTATGTTGATATTTGCAAATTATTGTTGTGAAAAGGGAATAATAATCCTTGGTGGTATTGAACCTGTTTCCGTTTTCCTTGCCGGTTATGGCCTGGAAATTGGAATTTGGAAAAGGACACGCACACAGTTTGTGGTGTGGGCAACTACTCCTGTGCGTGAAATAGTTCATCCCACTCATCAGCACTCAAAATGAGCTTTATGCTGTCTGTGGACCATGCTGCTATCATTAGAATTGCGAAACAACGTCAACCCTTTCGTTGCCTCTTGTTTGTTCCTCTTTTCCTGGCTTGTCCCCTCCTTCTTTGGTAATCGTCACCAAAATTAAAGTACCCAAAAGTATATTCCTTTTTTTTTTAAAAAAATGGAAGTCTATTAACTTTCACTCCCCTACCACCAGCCCAAAAAGTTAATATTATGATAATTAGTTATGAAATGTAGTAATTGTTTATAAAGAACGAATAAAAATAACAACAATATTGTGAAGGGGAGGAAGAGGAACGGGGAGGAAGAGGAAGGGAGTAAGCACAGCAGGGGAAGATTTTCAAGGGGCATCGATTTCAGGGTGAGGTCATTGGTCAAAAGGAGGTACAATGTACGTGGGAGCAGTGATTGGACGGTGATGGGAGAGATTTGAAAGGCCACGTGTTTTGAGCACAGCTCTAGTATCTTCAAAAATCTGACCCTCCCTCCTTCCTTCCCCGGATTTGCATTAGGTGGTGAATCAAAATTGATGAGCATCCGATGCTCGTTAAATCTGAACAATTCAGATTTAATTTTATTTTATTTTTTTAAAACAATTATTTTAATAGGTATAAAATAAAAAATAAAAATAACCTCTTAATTATCATTTTTAAAATTATTTTTTTTTATTTTTAAATAATTATTTAAAAATATTAAATCTGAACTGTCCAGATTAAATCTGGACAGCCCAGATTACTTATCAGATGATGAGCACCGGATACTCATCACCTAATGAGTACTGAATGCGGACGCCTATCCCCCATCTCATCACAACCTCCAGTGGATGGAGACACTACTCACTCATCCAATTTACTAAACCGATTTACTTCGCTGGAAATGCTTACGAGCTTTAGGGAAGATGCCGCCTCCCCCGCTTAAAAAGGGTTCAGTGCATTTAAAGATCTTCACCATTTTGAAAATGACCCTACAATACGAAGATCAAGGTCAGATTAGACTTTAAGTATGTATTCTTCTAATAAAACTGTCCTGTACTCATAAAAATTAAGTTATACCCATATTCTATTTATAAATTATTTTCAACATATTTAACACATAAAAAATATATTTAATTTTATTGATTCTTATTTAAAATTTAATAATTTTTTAATTTTATCCCTATTTAATATACATTATGTGTGTATATACTTTTCATGTCCTATTCATATTCATGAGATACTTCCAATATCTTTCTAATCCTTATTATAAGTTTCAAACAACTAATATACGGATAATGAACAAGAAATTAAAAATAATAAATAACTTAGAAATATTCTTTTGTTTCTAAATATACCCTTATAATGAGTGAGACAAATGATGAAACAAAATGTGTGGGAAATGTGATAAAAGAGAAATAACTAATGGCAACATTGAAAAAATATATTAAATGTTAAAACAAATCCACATTAAAACTTATAAAATGGACTACATTTCTTTCTAAATTTGAAGCTCGTAAATAGGATTGGATGAAGTATATCATACAAACCAAGAAAACCTTAAACTATATTAACTCTCAATTAAAATATAATAGGTTTTTAATTTTACCCTTATTTAATATATATATATATATATTTTTTAAAAGTAAATACCTACATTGTAATAAATAAAGTACAAAATAATATATTCATGCTAAAAATTAAATAAAATAATTTATACATAAGATCAAGAACCAGTCTTGGAAATAAAACTCGAGGAGTATTAATGATGTTAGTCTTTGTACAAGCTCCTTGCATTGTTTAATATTTTTTTAAAATATATCTTTTTATAATTTATATATGGGCGGATATGTCGATGGTTTAATAGATTTCTGTCATTCCGCAGATCGTATTGAATATTCCGAATCAAATGTCCACCGTATCAATATTTTTAAGTCTCCTCCATCTAATTAAATGCAGAGTTGCCAACAAGCATAGCCTCCCTATAGTTATGGCAATTGACAGATCAACATTATTTGAAAAACAATCAGCTGGTTTCAATAAAATCTGTTTTCTTGTCATACATATTTTTTATACAATTATTCTAGATCTGATGTCTTCTTTTTAAAATGGGGACAAGAAAACTTCTTTTAATTTGCTTTTGTTTTTTGTATTTTCCAATGGTGCAATTGGCAAACCACGCATCCTTCCCCCCCCCCTTTTTGTATGTATGTATTGAGTATTCTGGCCAAACTCCTTGAAAAATTACAAATCAAACTAATTTGAATTGGGTCATGGTATAACTTATATGGACAACAATCTTACCACCTACGCCGCGAGTTTCCCAGAAGATTGAACCCATGAGTTTTAAACTCTTGATTAAATTGAAACAACTCCTGTCAATTAATATATCAAAGCATTTCGTGGTGCAAACCACACCTCCTCAAACAGAAGGCTATAAGTTCTAGCTTCAAGGTTGATAGTATGGGGGTTATGTCTCTCCTTATCTCATGGAAGAGTGCTAAATCAGGGGTAATTTTTTTTTAAAACTACTTTTTTTTTAACCTGTTCAACATAAGATTCATTCCAAAAAAAAGATTATGGGGAGAATTTCATAAAAAGCAACTCAAAATTGCTAAACTTTAGATAAGAAATTCTTACGAAAATATACTATTGTTTACAAGCCAAGTGCTGTCAAAATCGTTTAAAACATGATAATCATTTCTGATTTAAGATTTAGTAATTTCAAAAAAAAAATGAAATTATCTCAAGATCATATATCGACATATCATGGATGTATTAGAAAGAAAGATATTAATTTATAACTACCTATGACTTCACCACATTTGTAATAAGGTGTCTGTAGCTTTTTTTATCGGCTCAGCTCTTTATAGTTCCACGTATTTTTACAAGTCTTTGTAGTTTTTTGTATCATGTTATTGTAATTTTACATAATTTTTAATATCGCTCTTATGCGGAAGAATGATAAAATATACTCCTCCGGTCCTAATTATAAGATCCAATTGACTTATTTGAGGAGATTAAGGAAGCAAGTTAAATTGGTTATTTATAATAAATAAATGTTGTCATTCCTAAAATATCCTTGCTAATTAAGTATATTGGCTAAAACTATCATTATTAGAAGGATTATCTTGGAAAAAAATGCATAAATATAAGAGACAAAATGGATTGGGTCTTATAATTAGGACCAAATAAAAAGTCAAATTGGGTCTTATAATAAGGACTGGAGGAGTATATATATTTGTTGGATTATTTCAAAATGATAAATACCTAATAATCTTGACATGTTTTAACATGTCAAAATTATTATAAAAATAATCAAACTTAATTATTTTTTAAACAAATTTAATAAGTATTTTTTTTATCCACGAGAGGAGAGAAGGAAGAAGTGAGGGAAGGAGAGTCCAAAAAGGAGGCATCATAATGTCGACGAGGGCAGGCAGGCACCGCCATTTGTACACCTTCTTCATGGCCCCTACACCTCGCGTGCACGTAAAGGGACCTCTCCACCTTCCCTTCCCCTCCCCTCCCCGTATTAAATTCATGCCTCTTCCCCCCCCCCCCCCCCTTTTAATTAACCCCACACAGACACAGATATTTCGTCTTCCCACTTTCATTTCATCCACATGCATCACCCAAAATGGCCGTTCACTCGTAATTCTAGGGTCTATTTAGAACAGTTTATAAGTAGCTTTTTAATACTCTTCCGGTCCTTAATATAGGATCCAATTATTGAGTTGGTTTTGGTCCTAAATATAAGACTCATTTTTCATATTTATCAATTTTCTCTAAATTACCCCTATAGATACTCCCTCAACTATAATCGAGTAGAAAAGGGAGATGGGGTATTAATAAAGATGATTATGGTATTTTAGGAAAAATGTGTCACGTTTCTTATAATTAACTAACTTACCTAACTTCGTTAATTTAATCAAATTAGTTAAATGGGTCCTATATTAAGGACCGGAAGAGTAGTAATTTACGGAATACGAGATAAGTATGTGAAAAAAGTTTTGTCTGACTTACATAAAACGTGTTTATAGGAAATTTCTTAAGCCATCTCAAACAGCCCAAAAACTACTTCATCTCAAGCTGTGTTTGATTTTTTTGTTTTTTTAAATTATTATTTAAAGTAATAGTAATGGATAGCCTGACATTATTTATAAAAACAAATCCACATAACTTTTCATTTATGAAAGAGCTTTCGTATTATTACGTCAAAAAGCCATTTAGTGGGTTTTATTCACATGAATGCCTTCCTTAGTCCCTGCTACAATTTCTTATTAAAAAAAAAAACAAGCAAGAGATGAGTTAATACCTTCATAGGTGAGGGGTGGGAGAAATAAAATATGAGCGTTGGACTTGCACGCTAATGATTGGCATACTTGTGTGGAAATTGCAATTTAGGTTGTCTAGGCATAATATCGATCTTCTAGCATTTTGACCTTCAACATGTGGCTTTTTGGAAGTAATACATAGTATAATAATTTAAAAATACAAAACAAAAAAAGACCATCAACATCATGGACCTGTACATTCACGCATGTACATGATTCACAACGCGTTTATTTCAAAAATAAAGTTGCTACTTGATTATCTCGACCAGTCCAGACTGGCCAGTATCATATTAAATTACAAACACATGCGAAAATTGAACAGCAAACTTTTTCTGGCAATATTTCCCCACACGATAAATGAAATTATCATGGTATATCACATTTGACCAAAGGCAAACTATATAAAGAATACGCACACATATATACTCTAAATCGTAACAAATGATAAATATCAAACCGAACGGAACGATAACAATTTCAAGAGAAGCCACCTCCATCGGTTCTTTTTAAACTCACACATAAGGAAAGTACTAAAGTTTAATTGATGCATAAAAATTTGTTTTTTTAACAGTCCTGTCCTCAATTAAATATCACTGCTGAAAAATATAGATTTTTATTAAGCAAGACATGTAATTTTGATCCTTTATAGAAGGGGTATTATTAGAAAAAATATTTTTAATTGCAACTAAAACCCTGTAACAAGGCTTATATTCAGGGACACAGCAAATCTAAAAAAATTAGGGGCTTGTATATTTTTTCCCCCAAAATCTTTTATTACCAGCACACACACATATATAAGTGATAGGTGTAGGGCAACCTGCATGCCCAGAAACACATAGCCAATCAGATATTTGTGGGGAGGTCATCTGACTCAAAAACGGTGTTTGCCACACGACCACAATAATTAATTAAATTGAAAGGGTACCAAAAAATCTGAAATACGAGTAATAATTAAGGCTGTACTGCGACCCCAATATGACAAAAAGAACCATAATTTGATCAATTATAAGTGTTCTGCCAGACAAATCAGATATTTTCCGAGCCAGACAAATCGAGTGTGCGTGTGTATATACAGGAGATAATTTTAATTTTAGCCGACTAAGAAAAACGGAAAGAGATGAGAGAAGGGGAAGTCAAAGTTAAAGAGTGTTTGGGTAATATCAAATCATGATTTAGAGAACAATTTTTGAAAAGTGGATTTTGTGAGAAATAGAATTTATAAAAAAATAATTTTGATAAAGTAAAAATATTTAGATAGTTGTTATCAGAAACACTTTTTATATGCACAAATTATTTAAAAACATAAATTAATATGATAATTATATAAAAAATAAATTTTATAATATATTTTAATTTGAAGGAATAAAATTATTAATAATATATTTTTATCAACATAATTAATAATATATAAGATAATATAATTAAGAAATAATTAATATGTGTATATATATTTATAAAATATAAGATTAAATATGTTTATAAAAAAATAATTCAGGGGTGTTAAAGTCATATTATCGTTAAGACCTACTTTGACAGGCACAATCATACTTTTTAATTTGATCCAAAAACAAATAGATTTATTTCTTCTGAAACTATGATTTTGAGTCCGAAACCATGATTTATTGATTTAGACCCAAAACCACAGTTTATTAATTTTCTTTCGGCAAATCTAAACCCAATCATGATTTCTTATGTTACCTGAACAAACCCTTAACGTGCCGAATTGAAAGGACAGGGGCATGAGAGGAGCATGTGAGGCAGTAGTTGAGACTATATTTAATTAAGACAGCTAAATTCACTGTTTTATGATGATATGCTCCTTTGTATCGGGAATTCCACATCCATCCATCATCTAACTGTATCAGATTTGCATGATAGGACATCTAAAGTCTTTCTTGATTTATTTATTAATAGTAACTTCACTCGTACATTTTTCTTCTTTTTCTTTTTGAAGAAACAAATATATTTTTTGAAACCAAACAGGAAATTGTTGTTCATATTTTAAGATTTACTATTAGTTTAAATATCCAAAACTGATAACAAATTTAAAATATTAATCCGCAAAAGTGCTCAAAAACTTGTATATAAATAAACTGAGTCATTATGGGTAACTTTTGCAAGGACATAAAAATAGGGGTCGTTTTTTGAAATTTAAAACCAGTTATGTGTGCGCAGTTACAAGTGTCCAAATTGTTTGAATCATAACTCCTTTTCCCCCCTCACCTTCTCTCTCCTATTTAATCCTCTCTGGACTCTGGAGGCCACGCTAGCCTAACTTTCCTTCCTCCCTATCACTCTCACCCCCACATTTCCTCTTCCTCTTCTGGTTCTTCATCATCGAGGTCACCGGATCTTTCAAGTTATAGTCATGAAGAAACAACAGATCTTTCTTCGCTTCGTGCTTGTGTGGTTGGTGGCGGCGGTGGTCGGAGCATCAGAAGGAGGCGGAGTAAGAGAAGAGGAAGAAGCTGATAGGATCGTGGAACTGCCCGGCCAACCCAAAGTGTCGTTCCAACAATTCTCAGGCTACGTTACTGTGAATCACGTTCCTGGTAGAGCCCTCTTTTACTGGCTCACTGAATCCCCTCAAAACGCCTTCTCCAAACCCCTCGTCATTTGGCTCAATGGAGGTTCATCATTTCATCTCTCTCATCAACTCTTTTCTCTTCCCATGCACTCATATATAAACATACATGTTCTTTCATTCTTTGTTAATCTGATTCGATCTTTTCAAAGATTTTAATGAACTTGAGTCACTCACAGTCACTGTTATATCGCTTGTATTTAAGAAGTTCTGATTTTATTTCTTCCTTCCCCACGCCCTCTGAGGTCTAAGCTACTTTTGTTTTTCCTACCGACATACTAGTCAAACAAAATGTACAACTATATATATATATATATATGCTGTGTGTGCATACATGTATATACCCTTTCAACCCTTTTTGGCTTTTTGCAATAGTTCTTTCCATTTTCTTATTTTTGTGTCGGTCTTTCCTTTCTTATTAATAAACAGTAATGCTGCGTTCAAAATCACAAATCATGTTGGAGTGATAATTATTATGAGATGACTAATGAAAACTCTGGTATAGGTATATCCAGCCACCCATATCCTTCCTTCCCATTTGAGTGAAGGGGTAGCCCTATTTTATTAGGTATAGAGTGAAACTGGGAATTAGTAGTTGCGAAGGGGGAGTGCATTAATTTGGAAAGCAAAAAAGATGAAGAGAAATTTAAGAGTAGGTAGAGCCCACATGAAGGGGCTTTGAAATGAGATGGTCAGGAATGATGATCCAACCAACAATGAATGAATAGTACTAAATCCCATCATCCTTACACGACAACACATTACTCCTATGACTTCTATGCGCCTTCTCTCTCTCTCTCTAACCCTACAATCAAATCCCTCTCTCTCCTCTCTCTCACACGTACACATCGACGTCCACGCGCATATATATATATATATATATATGTCTATCTGAAGTTATCAGAAAGCATTAATGCTTGAAAGCAACTTGAAACAACCCCGCCTCATTAATCAGTCTCAGGGCTATTATTAAGTTTTTATCTTTGCCAACTTTGTCAGTTGCTATTCTTGAATCATTAATGCTACCCCTAATTTTACCACAATCATAATAAAGTAATAAGGCTGGTCTGGTTCATGTCATTGTCTAATTAAGTGCTAACAAAGACCCATATTATTTGGATGATACGCTGTAACGGAAACACGTACGATTATTGAACTCTTTGTTTTTGTGTGTGTTTTTTATAGGTCCTGGTTGTTCATCGGTGGCGTATGGAGCATCCGAGGAGATTGGCCCGTTCAGAATCAACAGAACTGCTTCGGGGTTATACCTTAACAAGTTCTCCTGGAACTCCGTCGCCAACCTCCTCTTCTTGGAAGCTCCCGCCGGCGTCGGCTTTTCCTACGCCAACCGCTCCTCCGATCTCTATGACAGCGGCGACCGCCGCACCGGTAGGCCCCGCGCTGCACACTGTCTTTATATTAATGACTTGCCCTTGTCACCGCCATTCACGGTTGCTATTATACTTAATTCTTTTAAAGTAGGGATGGGGTTGGGTTGTATGATTTTCAGTTGGTAGGCCATATTAATATAGATAATACAATACACAAGATGGAGATGATATATGACATAATGAATCATTGAATGTTACCTTACATTATGATTAGCCTGGGCTATAGTGGTTGCGTCGTGGATGGATTTTGGGTTGGCCGGCTCACCAAATTTAATCACGGCTGAACACTATCATTATGTTTTGTGACGACGTGCGTGTCTAGAACACATATCATTGCGATTTGATGGACCGTTCATTAGGTGGTCCATCCGGATTTTGGATATCTCGTAATAATGTGTTTGTTGACTCTCCATGCATTTATATATGAGATAGATTTTTTTTTCCAGTGATGTTCTTAGCTCTTAGCATTGTCTTTAGCACAGAACCATCTTATCACACAATGGAAAGCGGAAACTTCCAATATTATGTTCAATCGTAATCGTAATCATATATATAACGATGTAACGCCAAATTATTGAAGGGTCATGAACCGATGTTTTGTCTGTTTTGTGTGTTCAGCGAAGGACTCCCTGGAATTCATAATCAGGTGGCTAGAACGATTCCCACGGTACAAGAATCGGGAACTTTATATCAGTGGAGAGAGCTACGCAGGCCATTATGTTCCTCAATTGGCCAGAGAAATCGTCACGTATAATTCAAAAGCCAAGCACCCAATCAATATCAAAGGAATTTTGGTAATCACTTCACTATTTATAAATAGTCCTCTTTTTTTCTCTTTATCCGAAAGAGGAAACAATAATAATGAAGAAAAAGGTACATCAGATGACGACAACGATATATATATATATATATAATTGGTGTATGTATATATTGTGTGTTGTAGGTTGGGAATGCAGTGACGGACAATTACTATGATAACTTGGGGACGGTGACGTACTGGTGGAGCCACGCTATGATCTCCGATCAGACTTACAGGCAGCTCATGAGCACCTGCGATTTCCACCGGCAGAAGGAATCCGACGAGTGTGAGTCGTTGTATAGCTACGCAATGGACCAAGAATTCGGTAACATTGATCAGTATAACATTTATGCTCCTCCATGCAACAACTCCGATGGCAGCTCCTCCGCCACCCGCCACTCCATGCGCTTGCCCCACCGCCCTCATCATCCGGTACTGTTACTTAGTAAAGTTAATAATAATATTAATTAGTAAAAGCATCGTTCAAATATATATATTTTAGGGCAAATTAAATATTTTCAAAACTCATAATTGCCAGTCCCAGTGCACATGGGTTTCATCCTTCTTTTCTGTCCTATTATCACATTACATGCATCAGCAGGCTGAGTACTTCTTTTATAGCTGAAAAAGGTTATCTGACAAACTCAGCCCCAATAAAGTTTGAACTTCGACCCACAGTCAAGGAGGGCCTAAACCTAATGATAAATACTACCTTCGTCATCTTATAGTTAAGATTTAAGGAGGTAGTATTTTATATATATATATACACGTATTAATTAGCAATATTTATGATTAGGCAAATGTTATGATTATAATTTATAGTTGCGTAAATATTGCAGATGTTTAGGCAAATGTCTGGGTATGATCCGTGCACAGAGAAGTATGCTGAGATATACTACAATAGACCAGATGTTCAGAAAGCACTCCATGCTAACACAACGGCCATTCCTTACAAGTGGACTGCTTGCAGGCGAGTTCATCCATACATTAATTAATCACACAAAAATTCATTTTTTTTCAAAAGGTACAACCGTGCGAGCAAGTTACTGTATATACTGATGTGATGCAGTGAGGTTTTGAATCGAAACTGGAACGATACAGAGGTATCCATACTTCCCATCTATAGAGAGTTGATGGCACATGGAACCAGAGTCTGGATTTTCAGGTTCGTTAATTACGTTCTCATTCAACCCTGCAACCAATTAATTTCAAGTGCTTTTGATATATATGACGACATCATTAAAATTTGCTTTGATTTTTATAAATCAAAATGCAGTGGGGATGTTGATTCGGTGGTGCCAGTTACTGCAACTAGATATTCCCTTGCACAGCTGAAGCTGGTGACCAAGGTTCCTTGGTATCCTTGGTACGTCAAGAAGCAGGTACGTAACTGAATCTCAACATTAACTCGTAAAAATTGTGATAAAAACTTGGTGGCTCAATGGGATATTTAAGTGGGGTGGTTTTCCCAATTAAACAATTAGCTTTCGGGGTAGTATATTTTTCATCCCACTTAGGAATTCATCGGATTGAAAGTGAGGAAATTAAGGATTGATGTGGGTGTTTGTGCACGTGAAGGTTGGAGGGTGGACAGAGGTATACGAAGGGCTTACATTCGCAACAGTAAGAGGGGCTGGTCATGAAGTGCCACTGTTCAAGCCCAGAGCTGCTCTCCAGTTATTCAAATCATTCATTGCAGGAAAACCTCTGCCCAAGTCCTGAGAATTACCAAAATTATTAGTACAAGGACACGAGTGGAAATTATGGCAAAGATCGAAGATGATATCATAATTTCTGCTTAATTCACCAGTTCTTTTCTTTTATATTTGTTCCCAATCAAGGATTTTGATGTCCTTTTCTCCGGGTTAGTTCACAAACTAGGGAATGAAAGAGCAAGAAGGTCCATGTGTTTAGTTTGTCCCATAGAGAAAAAACAAACAAGTGGAAGGAAGACTATATATTCTAATCTGTAAGCATGCATTTGTTCTTTAATATTCTTGAATCAACCAATCTTTATACATAAGATTCCTGTTCATTGGATTGTGTAAACAATAAAACGTTGGAAACCATGATGATGCCACTGCTTTACCATTACGCGACCGCTGGACAGCAATTCGCCATAAAAAGGACGGAGAAAACTATGGGCTTGTCTCAAAGCTATTCATCAACCCACAAATGGGCCACACGGATAATTATTTTTTAATTCATGGGTTTGCTGATTTGGGAGTCAACAATAAACTCGGTGACACAAGATCAGTTTTTGAGCTTTTTCCAAGACGAAATTCTACCTGACTTGGATTTGGATGAAAAGAACTGTTTCGAAGCAAATGTTTTCGAAGTTGTATAACTTTTTAATCTTTAATTTTTAGTTCCATAATTGTCCCAGTAAAATAAGACTTATGCGAATTTTTTATTAATAATAATTCATGCCCAAAAAAACTTTTCCATATTATAATGACAAAGTACACGTATTGAATTGAATATGTAGAATATATCAACATGTCATACCAGCCATAGGAATATGTTATTTTGAGATCGGAATAAGATTGTGAAGTCTATGTATTACACAGAACCTCCTATGAAAAGCCACTCATAATGTATTGATAAAAAAATAAAAATATAGATGCATGACAACTTTATTATTAGTAATTGTTTCGCCCGTTGAGAAGTTTATATAATTCTAAAAAATTAACCACAGCTTTGATGATTTCTTTTTTTCAAAAAGTCTATCTCAGTTTAACAACGTAAAGCTGTATATTTAAAAAGGGATCCATTAACAACGACAGGGGCAAAAGGAACACAACAGGCTTTTTACTTTGTTAGCAACCATACAAAACGGTGGATTAAAGGTTTCCTACTTCTCTCAAAAACTGTATACCTCCGATGATTAAAGCTTCTTTTTGCCCAACAGATGGATTAAAGTTTTCTTAATTTTCTTTACTAAAAAAAAAAGGGTTTAATCGTCTATCTATTCTCGGAACCGGATCATAACTTGTAATTCGTTTAGGGAACAAGACACGAGAGATTCTCAATTCAAACATACATCTGGAAACTGAAGCGCGTCTAAACAAGATTGGTTAAAAATAAAAGATTTAGGGTGTGTTTGGATGAAACCAAACCATGGTTTGGATAATAGTTTTTGGAGAATAGATTATGTAAAAAATAAATTTTGTAAAAAAGTGATTCTAAGAAGTGAGAGTGTTTGGATAGTTGTTATCAGAAATACTTTTTATATATACAAATTACTAAAAAAAAAAGTTAATATGATAACTATATAAATGATATATTTTAATTTGGAGGAATAAAATTGTTAATAATATATTTTTTACCAACATAATTAATAATACATAATATAATGTAATTAATAAATAATTAATATGTGTATATATGTTTATAAGATATAAGGTTAAATATGTTTATAAAAAAATAATTGAGAAATGTTAAAGTCATATTATTGTTGAGATCTACTCTAACAGGCACAATCATCTCTCCAATTTGAGCCAGAAGCAGAATGAATTCACTTCTCCTGAAACCATAGTTTTGGATTCCAAAACCATGGTTTTGACCCAAACCATGGTTTTGGATTTTTGGATTATTGGCTCAAAATTGATGTTGTTTGGGTGACATCTCACCAAAATCATTGTTTTGTCTCCTAAACCATGGTTTTGAGGATTACCTAAACAGGCCCTTAGATGCTCATTCGTTATAGCCAAAAGCAAACAAAGGCGGTCAGCACATCCCACTCCCAGTGCCCATTATACTTGACACAGTTTTAGGCTTACCCACTTAAATCCCGTATTGTGGGTGTTTAAATTGATTGTACTAAAAAGACAAAGAAAGAATTAAGAGATGGACATGGAGGCACAATGAATAGAAGCTGAAATTGCAGCAGTAAAAGCTGGTTCACAGATATGAATGGGAAGTTGAACTGCATAATGCCAAAGGGATGCCCACCATGTCCATATGGCACCCTGTGACGAAATCCTTACCCAGGACTGGAGGTAGGTACTTCACTTTTCTTTTTTCTTTTTTCCCCCCCTTAAAGACAAGGACCAAACTTTAGGATTCAAGATTTATGGGGTGTGCGTGTGTAGTTGAATTATTTATTATCGTCCACGAATGCATAATTAGCTTATGATAGTATTTTATTTCATATATATATATCGTATAATATGTTTAGCAGCCAGCGAGTCGCATGGACGGAGTGCAGCCTATCATAGAAATCGCAGCCTATCATAATAGTCCGGTTACAATTAAATCTCCGGAATTCTCGCTCACTTGCTTTTCCGCAAAACAGAGAAATTTATAGAAGTCTACTCCTTCGTTTTTTCTCCCTCTTATTCACTGTTTCTGCTTTTTGTTCTTCACCAATGTTCGGAGCAGTCCCTCAAGCTTAAGCCTTTATGTTCTGCGCTGCTTGTTCCGCTTGCTACTCTCGTTGTTGTTGGCTCAAGTTGGAGTGTAAGGGCCAGATCCTTTCAAGGGAAAAGGGAGAGGTAGAGAGAAAGCGGCATCTATCACTTTCTTCTCTCTTGGGTCTGTACGGGAAGGGTTCCAGATCCGGGGTTGTAGTTTGTTTCTGTGCTCCTCCTTGTGCTGGTTTTTCTCTGAAATTTTCTTGACAATGGTCTTTTGATTTATGCAGGTATAGACTGCTTCTCTTAGTCCTATTTATTTCAGGGTTTTGACTGGTGAGTCTTGCTAAAGTTCCTCTTGCAATTCAGATTTCTACAGCGGTGGTGGAGAATTCTATAGAAGGAAGCACCTTAACCTTGTCGTTTCACTTTTAATTTTGTAAGGTTTGATCGGTTTTGGTGATTGATTGTTCCTCTGGGGTTTGGGCTCTCTATCTCCATGGCTATAGAGGAGTCTGATTCTAAGCATGTCCTCTCAGAGCTAGAAAATGAAGAGGATTTAATTGCTGCAGCGAAGGACATTGTGAGGGCTTTAGGGTCAAACAGGAACCTCACAAGTGATGCCAAGAAAATTCTGGCTGATCTTGGAACCCGTTTGGCCTCCATGACCGAACCCTCTGAGAAGCAGGAGGGAGATGAAGGGGACGGAAAGCAAGAAGAGGAAGAAGAAGGAGTTAGGGCAATTGAACATCGGCTCAATATCATCGAAGAGAAAATTACGAGGTGGGAAGCAGATCGGTCTTGGATTTGGGATTCAGGACCCGATGAAACATCTGAGTATCTGGCTGCAGCTGATGAAGCACGCCTATTGATTGAAAAGTTGGAGAGTTCAGATTTGAAAAGAGAGGATCACGAGTACAAGTATCTGCTGAGGGCTCACAGTGTTCTTCAAACTGCTATGGCCCGGCTCGAGGAAGAGTTCATGAACTTACTCATCCAGTACAAGCAACCTTTTGAACCTGAATACGTGTCTTTTCGATCTACCGAAGATGATTCGGTTGATGAGGGCTTTATAGTCCCTTCAGTTGATGACTCGACTGAAGAGTCACTGCCAAGAGAGAGTGTGGTGAGCAGAGTCTCAGAGGAACATATAATTGACTTAGTTCATCCGCATGTGATCCCTGAACTCAGGAGTATTGCACAGCAAATGTTTGATTCAAAGTATGACCGGGAATGCTCCCATGCCTATACCGTTGCCCGAAGGGATTCCTTGGAGGAATGTCTTGCGATTCTTGAAATGGAAAGGCTGAGCATTGAGGATGTGTTGAAAATGCAGTGGGGTGCTTTGAATTCCAAGATCAAAAGATGGGTTTGGGCTGTGAAAGTGTTTTTCAGGGTGTATCTTGCAAGTGAGAAGTGGCTAGGTGACCAGATTTTTGGGGAGGGCGAACCAGTTAGTGTCTCTTGCTTTGTTGATGCATCAAAAGCTTCAATATTTCAGCTTCTGAACTTTGGTGAAGCGATGTCCATTGGCCCCCACCAGCCTGAGAAACTGTTTCGTATTCTTGACATGTATGAGGCCCTGGCTGAACTCATTCCAGAGATAGATGCTTTGTATCCACACGAAGTTGGTTCTTCTGTTAGAATTGAATACCATGAAGTTTTATCGAGATTAGGTGATTGTGCGAGGTTAACATTCCTTGAATTTGAAAATGCTATTGCAACAAATGCATCTACAAACCCTTTTGTAGGTGGTGGAATCCATCCTTTAACCAGATATGTCATGAATTATTTGAACACTCTAGCTGACTATGGTGAGACCCTTGATTTGCTTCTGAAGAACAAAGAAGAAGATGATGCCATTTTGCTGTCACCTGACATGAGCCCAGATACTGAAGAAAATAGCAAACTTCCGGGGTCTCCCAGCCCAGTTTCCGCGATGGCCCTCCATTTCCGATCAGTTGCTTCGATCCTTCAATGCAAACTTGATGAGAAGTCCAAGTTATACAAGGATGCTGGCTTGCAGCACTTATTCTTGATGAACAATATACACTATATGGCTCAGAAAGTTAAGGGGTCTGAACTTAGGCTCATATATGGAGATGAATGGATTCGAAAGCATAACTGGAAGTTTCAGCAACATGCTATGAACTACGAAAGGGCTAGTTGGAGTTCCATTCTCTCTTTGCTTAAGGACGATGGAGTTCAGGTTCCCGGTTCACATTCTATCTCAAAAAATCCTTTGAAGGAGAACTTACAGAGATTCTATCTTGCCTTCGAGGATGTTTATAAGAGCCAAACAGCTTGGTCTATCCCTGATGTGCAGCTTCGTGAAGACTTGAGGATCTCTATATCCCTAAAAGTGATTCATGCTTATAGGACCTTTGTAGGGAGGCATAGTTATCACATAAGTGACAAACACATTAAGCACAATGCTGATGATTTAGAGAACTACCTTTTGGATTTCTTCGAGGGATCTCCTAAATCGCTGCAAAATCCTCATAGGAGGTAATAGCAGATAAGCAGAATAATCTCTTCTTCGCCCAAGGCTTCTATACTCTCAATCAGGTTAGGGTCCATGCCAAAACCTGCTAGTTTTTTTCTTTCTTTCTTTCTTTCTTTTCTTTTTTTCCCGGGGAGGGTAAAACTAGGTGATTTGCTTGCACTCGATGATTGGAAAAGTTTTCATAGTTGTGCTGCTATTGTACTTTGCTAGGTCAAACACATTATATTGATCGTCTGTTTGTGCCTCTATGAATTGTAATTTATGTACAGCATTGCATATCTGAAAAATGAGAACGTCCTCAGCAAATAATTAGTCTATTAAGTTTTCATTTCTTCCTTCTAGCTTTAAGTTCCAAACCACTTGTAATTGTCACAACTGGGCAGGGCCTGCCCAGGGGACTTGGAGGTGGAAAACCAGGTACTAGTTTTTGCTCTTTTTTTTTTTAATTGGAAAAAATTAACCATTTGACTTTAGGGAAAAGTCTTCAAGAAAATTTACGTGTCAACATAGATATTTTCATATTTGACGGAAGATGCAGTTGATGGAAATTGACTGGAAATGTTTGGAGAAAACTGATTGTTTGTGACGTCAATAGTATCTAGCAGTCAGGAAATTGAACTTCGTACGGTTTTCTTGGGTCATGTTGAATAAACGAGTTTCTTGGATGATGAGGCAGCCGACGGCTCCAATATTATAATTAGGTCTCGTCTTTCCCTGAAATTGAAGAGGACTGGCACTGGATAACAAAAAATATTCCTTTGTTTTTTTTTATAACAGAAATACAAATTTGATCTAATATTCAATGCTGTCCATTACAAAAGTTGGCAACAGAAGTTTGATTCTAGATTATAAGAGTGTTTGGGTAAGATCAAAATCATAGTTTCAGAAGTACTTTTATGATATGTGGAATAAATATATAAAAGAGTTTGTCTCGATTTATAAAAAAGAGTTTTTGAAAAGTAATTATTAGAGTATCTAAACATCCACTGTCTCGACTTGAAGACAAACTAGAATACATCAACAAAGCAATTATGTAAGTTGGATATGCTTGCTTGTATTTTCATAGGTTAGAAAAATAAATTCCGTCAAAAGATGTTGGAGAAATAAATTATACTGTTATTGGATCATGACTTCTGAGTAATGCATATAAATTGCGCTATATATCAATATATTGACCATGAATTTGTCAACTTGGGTAAAGTTTGATAATCAACACCAAGTGTTAGTTTTAGTGGTGGAAGCAGATATAGTTGACCATAAAATTTTGGATTCTAAACTGTGCGAGTGTACAAAATATTTTTTTTAAAAAATTATTATTATTTTTGTTGAATCTAGATTATTCATTATAGGTAACAGTGACTAATCTTTTCATACTTCTGAACAGACTTTGCTGCTGGTCATAAAATCCTTTTCTTATGCACAGGCAAAATAATTATTTTAAATTGAACTTCATGTTCAAATCTAAGTCAGTCATATTAGAGACATATACCAATATAATTTTTTTTTAAAAAAAGAAGGCATGGAAAATCAGCATATACGTAACATATATGTTACGAATAGTGTAGCTTGCTTGGTAAGTTAGCATCTTCGATGCAATTTAATTTTTGGACCTTGATCAATTAGCACTACTTTTGTTTCTTTTATTTTAAGTCAAAACGGAGGCAAGGTAAAAACCAAATAAAAAAAGAGGGAAGTTATCACAGAAATTATTGGACTCCCTTTCATCAGCTAAATCTAGTCTTCTATTTAATTATTTACATGGAAAACTATTCATATTAATATAAATATCTTTAATACATACAATTAATGAAGATATTATAAACAAACAATTCTAATTTTGATAAATAAAATAACGTAAAATATTATATTTAAGATTAAAACGATTCCATCATTAAATTTAGAAACGAAAATAATATACGGGGGTGGCAAGTGGGAACTCCAAACAACAATAAAAAATCAGCATGCAGTGCCTCTCTTCCTCTTTTTTCCTTCATACGAAGCTTAGATTAGACATTAAAAGGATAGGAGGAAGGATACAAATAGATACTATCTCTACTCCTTAGTATTATTTTCGGTTTTTAATGTAAAAACTAGTTGATTAATTTGAGCAGATTAAGAAATTTTGTTAAATTAGTTATCTGTAATAAATAGGTATTGTCTTTTTTAGAATATTTTTGCTAATCATGTGTATTAGCTAGAACTATTATTTGATTGAATTTTTAACATGTGCAATAAATATGAGAGACAAAGTAAATTAAGATCTTATATCTAAAATCAAATTGAAAGTTAAACTAACTTTTATATTAAGGACAGGATGTAGCACTACCTCCGATCCTTAATATAAAATCTCGTTTGAATTTTATTTTAATCCTAAATATAAGACCCCATTCCACTTTGTTTCTCATATTTATATACTTTTTTCATAAAGTGGTCCTTCTGACAATGGTAGTTCTAACCATTACATTTGATTAGCAAGGATATTTTAAGAAAGACAATACTTATTTATTACAAATAATTTACTTAACTTATTTTCTTAATCTCCTCAAATTAGTCAAATAACTCTTATATTTAGGATTAGAGGTAGTATAAGATAGAGTTAACTAATTTGATACGATTAAAGAGGTTACTAAATTACTTAATTATACCACATGCTACATGATATCTGTAAAATATTTATGTATATCATTATATTATATATTAATTTATAAATGAGACAAATTAATTTTAAAAAATAATAAATATAAATACTTTAAAATAACTTATTAACTTTTTTAATCATAGTAATTGAATAGCGTTTTTTCCAACTAATTAGCCCTAGAAATGGGGGAATACTACAACCTCGTAATTACTACAATATCCCAATTACTACCTCCAGTCCTAATTATAAGAGCTAGTTCACTAATTTGAGGAGATTTAGAAAATAATTTAAGTTAGTTATTTGTAATAAATATGTATTGTTTTTTTAAAATATCATTGCGAATTAAGTGTAATGGCTAGAACTACTATTATTAGAAGGACTACTTTAAAAAATATATATATATAGATATAAAAACAAAATAAATTAAAGTTTTATAATTAGAATCAAAATAAAAATCAAACCAGTTTTTATGTTAAGGCACAAGGGATAGGATCATTTAATAAAAGGACGCATTTTGGGGCATCTGGGAGGTAGCTGTACGGCGGATATCCTCTGGAAAGAATCTAACGGTTCCCGTTGCATGTGCCAAAGCCCTTGTACGCAGGTGATTAGGAGCAAGGGTTTGCAGCATTTCAGACTTTCCGAAGCGAAAAACGCAGAACAAACACGAAGGAGAGAGACCGACAGAGAAGAGAACTGCACTCACACCTACAAGGCTACAAGTGGCCTCTCTACTTCCAACGGTAATTTCTTATACATAAAGTTTTCTCTGGTCGCAGTTTTCCTATTTCCGTTATGATTTCAGCGTTTCGCATCTTCATCGTTGAGGGGTTCTTTTAGTGCTTGATTCGGCATTTCCTCGTTAATTGGGGGCTCTCTCTCTCTCTCTCTCTCTCGCGTGGTTCTCATGGATGTGTGATTTAGATAGAGTGATGGATTACCGAGAAAGGGAGAACCTGAAACTTCTGATTTTGAAACTATTTACGGCTTTTTGGGCCGCCAGCTCATTTGCTTTGATGAGTCTTATGTATCTACTTCTCAGATATGCATCTATTCAGAATGGAGAGAGTTTGCTGGTAAATTATTCTGGTGACGAGGCTAGAATCATGGCATGCTGTTCGAATTAACAATGGAAATGAAGTATTTGTTATTGTGGTATTTAAAGCTTCGTTTTATAATTAATAGGAGATAATCACCTTCATCTCTCTCTCTACCCTGCGTCCCTCCCTGTCCCTCCTGGAGATGGGCGGGAGGGGAGGAGGAACTGACAGAAAATTAGCAGTACTTATTTCTTACCGGGCAGTGTTTAACTTTTCACATGCTTGGCGCCTATGGTTTATCACATTCTATTTGTCATGCAATGATATAGTTGACGTACAGTGAGATTTTAATGGCCTGACCAAACCCATCATGATATGGATTGAAATCGTATTAGTATTTTCTTAGATTTTACTTGTCAAAATTGTGACAGGTGCTTTCTCTACTTTAGTTACAATGATTATTTTACCTTATAAAAAGTTCAATGTTTTAGCTTTTTGCGCTTCCGAATTTTCTTAGGGCTGAACAATGGCGTTCATCAACAAGATTGGAAAGCTTCTCAAGCATTCTGGCGTCAAATACATTAGCCCAGAATTTTCTCCATCTATTCCATCAATGTACCAGGCAATCAGGTCCATGTCATCCGCAAAGCTTTTTATTGGAGGTATATTGTTTTATTGTGCTAAACCTTATCCAAATGGAGCATGTTAACAAGTTTTCAAGTCATTTGCAGGTGTTTCATATAGCACAGATGATATGGGTTTGAGAGACGCCTTTGCTCAGTATGGGGAGATAATTGATGGTGCCCACTTTTTCTCTTTGATTCACAGTATCTCTTGGTTTTGCACTATTGCTCTATACAGACTGTCCTTTATTGATGTGATGGGTAGCTACTTTTTTAGAGTAACTTATGAGATTTTTATTAAGAGTAGAGGATACATGTTTATCGTTGTATGCATGTGCCAATGTATGTTTTTTGATGTATCTTTTCTGGGCGTACTTTACTGCCTTTGTGTTCTTTTCTAGGATTAGTTTACAACCCGTCTTGTTCATCATTAAAGATTGGTTTGATTGTTTGAAGTTTAATGAAGAATTGGGAGGTCTACACTGAAAATGTTGATACAAGTACATAGCTGAATGAGCATGGTGTCTATTTCTTCTAGCATGCGTGTTTCATGTTGTGGTCATTAGTTATTATATTTATGTCACTTAAGTTGGTTGTTGTTTTGAAAATTTTTCAGCAAGGATAATTATGGATCGTGAGACTGGAAGGTCCAGAGGATTTGGGTTCGTAACTTATGCATCAAGCGAGGAGGCATCTGCTGCTATTCAAGCAATGGATGGTCAGGTATTATCCATTTTCTTTCCCTTTTTTTTTTTTTTCCGGTTGGTCTGGCTAAATTCATAAAATTGACGCACCTAAAAGTTATTTACATGGATAGCGTGGTTTTGGAGGCTTAATGAGAATGATTTAAAGAATTATCTACTGACACTTCTCAGATTGTCTTTTAGATCTCGTCATAGGTAAACTTGTAAAACACCTTATATATGTGCTGGAGCAAGCAGTTCTGACACAGGGAATGTAGTGTAAATAGTACGTTTTCCTCAATTCTGTTTAACTTGCTTACCATTCTTGTTGCATCTTTAAATACAATGCAATGTAGGATCTTCATGGTCGAAGGATACGGGTAGACTATGCTACAGACAGGTCACGTCCAGGCTTTGGTGCTGGTGGCTTTGGTGGTGGCAGTTATGGCGGGGGCGGCTTTGGTGGCGGGGCGGCGGCGGCGGCGGCTATGGTGGGGGATATGGTAGAAGTAACTATGGAGGTGATAATAACTATAGGAGTCCAAGCTATGGAAGCAGTGGTGATGGTTTTGGGGGCAGCGGAAACTATGGTGTTCCTGATGGTGCTGGTGGCAGTAATTACCAATTCAATCAAAACTCAGGTGGAGATCTTGGCTTTGAACCAAGTGGCAATTCAAGTATGGGAGATGATGCTGGCCAATTCGGTGGCAACCAAAATGAAGGAACTGGCTTAGACGAGGATAATTTGAGAGAGAAAGATGATGAAGACAACTTGAGAGAGAGCCGGTAGTGGGAGTGATTTTGTGGTCAAGAAATATCTTGCATTGTGCGATGAACTTGTGTGGCATTGGAGATTATTTGACACCAGAAATCAACTGTTTGGTTATCTATTTACTTTTCCCGGACGTATGCAGGAACCATGTTGTCTGGCTTGACAGTCGACAACTTTCTCTAGTCAGCAGTTTAATGTAGAATAAGGTGTTTTTTTTTTTTTTGGGGGGGGGGGGGCTAGGGGTGAACTGCAACAGCTGTTAAAATGATTCTTTCCCTTTTCTTTTTAGGTAATCGAGCTTATTTTCTTCCATTCAAGCTAAATATCGTATCCTATAACTGGAACGTGAATAATGAATTGACTTTCAATTCTTATTTTGTCGGATTTGATTTAACAAAACGGATGAAGCTGCGACATGATGCAAACATTCTGTTGACAGTATAAACTATTGGCGGCATCTTTAGTGAATTAGTCTAATTGTTATTTATTAAATCATGTAAGGTTTTAAAAACTAAGGTTCTTTTGGTTCAATTTATATTGGACGTAGTGCTTTCACATCCTCTAGAAAGAATTTAAGCTTATTATTGCAGTTGCAAGCACCAAATTTCTCGGACAGGTATAGTTGAGGCGATGGGATGGAGCATCAGCCTCACGCTGCCGGCCGCCAAACCCGGCGTTCCAACTCAAGGTCTAGGCGCTATAGCCATTAGCCAAGTTCTTGAAAACTAAACCTATTTTTGAAAGTTTTTGGCATGTTTCCATCACGATTACAAGATTTTATGTGTCGTGTGCTTAAACACGTTGCCTTCTCAGTATGGAAGCAGTCGAGTAACCCCATCAGGCTGGTTTAGCCCTCCTTTCAATTTTTTTTTTTCAAATCTATTTGGGCATGTTTATTAAGATTAGTGCTTTTCGTAAGATTTGTGAAGCTCCAGTTGCATTTCTGTCATAACGTCATCTGACACTAGCAATGGTTTCATTTTTAACTGCCATTCGAATGCTAGTCCTGAGCACCATCGAATTGGCTTAATCAAGAATCATACCATGAACTTGAAAATGTAGAATCTATCTGTGACTCGGACTACATACCATGAAAGTGTGTTGGTGACGAAAAGGGACGGCATAGGAAACCAGCGTTCAAGGCCTTAGAATGACGCTGACAATTAAAAGCTACAACTGAAAACAAGACTACCAATGTACATGTATATTCCAATCACGATCAAAAAGATACAAGGCACTGTTCCTCCGAATCAGATGGCAGTATGGCACCAGAAAGTGCAATCATGGCCTCAAGCTTCAGATGATACTCAGTGAGCCGCTATTTCAAAGAAAATCATACTTTCTGACTTCCACATCCACTCTCTCTGGGAGAGCCAACCCATAATCAGTTATCAGCATGCATTCACGTGCAATGGCACAGACATTAATACAAGCAGCTATTTATTTACAACTCGCTGCCACCATTATGGCTCATAAAGCCCAAAAAGGCTTTTGAGCCCCACTTGTAGGAGTGCTGCGGCCAAGTGATTCCTCGGTAGAATCATCTAGGTCGTCATCATCCTCTCCATATTCCATCAGCTTGATCAAAGTATCTGATACAAAATAGATGTTCTACACTAAGATAACACACGAAAACAGACCACATATCCTCCACAAACTCCCTATTCATATCAAAGAAACACTAAGGTCCCGCTTGGTACGAAGTATTAAAAATGAGAAATAGATATTAGGATTAATACTGAGAAAATCTATTAGAAAAAAGTTTAGCATAAGATATTAATTGATACATGGCATTAGCCAAACCTATATATGTGGGATTGGAGAATACCACAGACGAAAGTGATATTTCCCAATCCCGCCTTCATGAGTTTGCCTAATTCCATGTATCAAACAATTATTTATGTTAAATATTTTTTTAGTGATTTTTTTCAATTGCAATCACAATCCCTATCCCTCATTTTCAATATTTTGTAACAAAAAAAGCCTAAAGGTCTTCCAACAAAACAAGAAATTCAATCTGAAGATATAAAAGCAGATAAATCTCACCAGGAACAGCATCAGATTTTGTCTTGTTTGAATTCTTGTTCTTTCTGGGCTCTCTATCTGCAGGGGAAGCAGAAAATTTAGGCGGAGGCGGTGGAGGCGGCATGGCTCTTGGGGGGGATGGTGGCATTCCATTAGACAACGGCCTGGTCAACTTCTTTGGAGGTGGCATTGTTGTTACATTCCTTAGAACCCGATCTTCGGACTGTTCATTAGCCTTCAAAGGTTCCAGTCCCTAACAGTGAATTAAAAGGGGAACGGGAAAACCAAACAAAACTTCTGAATAAGATATAATAAACTGCGAATTTTGAGTCAATCAAGACTCGACTGCACTGTGTAAAAGTAAACACAGAAAACGAGGTTTGAAATTAAATAACAGGTGTGCTACAACATGGTCTAGCATCATATAAATGCCCATGATAACCATTGCAATTTAACTGCGCCCCCATGTGACCGGGGGGAAGCAATATCTGCCTTTGCATCAATAAATCTGGTGGGGTCTGCCATGACTCAATATAATCCACTTAAATTCCAGGTTGATATACCATCAAGTAGACTGCAGTTGAAAATGGTCATAATCTAGCAACCCGGCCAATTTGATAATTGCCTAGGCTTCAAGGGGACCCTGGCATTTATGCTAGTAATGGATTTTGATAACCAAAAGTAGCATAAGATTTCCCAATGAAAGTATTCGAGCACAGACACCAAATGTAGCTTTGAAGTGAAATAGCATAATAAGATCTCCAGATGAAAATGTCCACTCAACATTCCCTTCTTAAGATCATTGTTTCCACCAAGGAGCATGATGATAACTAGAGGAAGTATGGTTGTCAGCATCATAGATCTTAAAAAATTAGATGCATTAAAGTATATATTTTGATAGCCAAGGAAATGAAAGAGCTTTAACTTGTTATGCTCTTGGCTGACGTATAGTAAATTTTTCTTTATTTTTATCAGGATATCTGATCGTCAGCTTTTATATTTTCCTCCCACCTTTTATTGCCTCTAATCCTACAAGGGATTGCATCAATTAGGTGCTTATAGACCTTTCAGGTTTGACAATCTATATTGCAGTATCCTTAGTTAAGGTTAGCCACAGTGAACCAGCGGCACATGCACAAACAAAAAGCCAGACACAAAGTATTTGCAAAAGGATAAAAAGCATGACCCAAAAGCATAACATCCTGGATTAGCAATGACAAAAGCAGCAAATCCATAAGCACCCTCCTAATGCCTCCAAAACGGAAACCCTGTCAAACATACAAACCATAGGCCCAACAGACAGGTCCAGTGTCAGCCTATTAGCTTCATAGAAGGTCAGAGAAAATACCTGGAATATTAAGCATTGAGAGTCAGCGCAGGGTAATATGTACCAATCAGAACAGAGCTAGAGAAAAAGGGGCGTTCAAAGAGAACAAAAATATATCTTTTACGTTTCTCCCCCCCCCCCCCCCAATTTTAAGAAAGAAAAATTATTTACTGTAATTTTCTTTGTAAAATGACAACTCTAAAGTGGATGGATGGACAAAAAATGCAGATTATTTAACTATTCGGGACAATAAAGAACCACTCTACATGCTGCAGTCAGAAGGGAGGGAGGGAGTGAACATTTCAGAACAACAAAGCAAAAGGAGTAAAGATGATTGCCACTACACTGGAAAGAGATTATTTATGATCAAACCTACCCGTTAAGACACCATCAATTTTGAGATTCAGAAGCATTTGAAATCCAATATTTTCTAACCCGTTGGACAATATCATCTTAATAGTTTTGATCCTTTTGTTTTAAAAAATCAGAAAAATAGGATCACTTCAATTAACTCAAAATGATCCATGGATAGCCTGATGGAGTTTTCAATAATACAATCGAGAAGAAACATCACTCCTGTATACATTATCTGAATCATTCAAGGAAAAGCTAGTCTGCTCAGAATTATTGCAGCTGTCAATGTCAACTCAAAATAGACATTTTTCAAAGAGAACATGGAAAATTCCCTGGTAATGTGTCCTGTTGGCAATACAATATTGTGTTCGATTGAAGCAGAACTTGAGATTCTTCAAAACCAATTTCTATCTTCCAATTTAATGGAGAGGAATTTAATTATTTTTCATTTGCCACGATATAGCATTTAGCTTCAATATAGTCCTCCTCATTTGGAGGTCCTAAGGAATTTCTTTCAGAGGCATTAAATGAGTGATGGGAGGGCACTCTCACTGTGATGACTCGGTACATACTCAATTTCTCCGCATGTTTTCTGTTCACTCGGGAAAAATTCTCCAGATCCAATCTAACCATTTTTCATAATCAACACACTGACTTCCCTTATGAACCAAACTAAGTTATTCGTTTAAAAGCATATCAGAAACTACAATGGGGAGACAAAATGACATTTCCCTAGATTCTACATACCATGAAGTAGTTATTCGTTTAAAAGAATATCAGAAACTACAATAGGGGAGACAAAATGATATTTCCCCAGCTTCTACATACCACGAAGTATTTTTAAAATGAGAAATTAGCATTTAAAATGCAGTGACCTGATTAAGTTTTGAAGGGCCCTTTGGATCAACGGGTAATTCTTGAAACTTCCGTCTCTGAGGTGGCCGTTTCTCCTTTTCAGAATCAGAGCTTGTACTTGATTTGGATTCTCCACCAGATGCTGATGTTGTAGGTGCAACTGTTGAAGCAACAGGAGGTGAGTTTCTAAGGGCAAGGGCAACTTGTTGCAGAGGAGTTGCTTGTGGATATATTCCACCATATCCAACATAACTAGTCCCACAAGATACTAAAGGGGGAGCATAACCAACTACATTTGTTTGAGACTGCCCGGTGCTTAAAAGCCCTGCAGGTTGTGGAGCAGTTCCTAAAGCAGTAGAAGCAGTGATGCCAGACACTCCAACTAAGGAAGTTGGAGGTGCTGTTGCTGAGACCGCAGCTGATGATGACATCAAGCTAGCAGCTGCACCTGTACTTGCCTTTACTTCAGACCCTGAACTCTGAACAGGGGTTAACAACTGCTGTGGGGGTGGGACAGCACTATAAACTTGCTGTGCAGATGAAAAGATAGGAGGAATCTGCTGTGGCAATGGTGAGGCGCCATAAACCTGTTGGGGAGGTGGAACAGAACTATATACCTGCTGTGGAGGTGGAACAGCACTATAAACCTTACATGATGAAACCCTATGACAGTTAAACAACTAGGTTATTTACTGACATTAAAATCAGCTTATCGTAAATTCTATGTCATCACGGTACCAACACAAGACAATAACACAAGAACAAAGGAAAAAAGTTAACTTCCGCACAAAGAATTGCAGATACACTGGGAAGGTTAAACTTCTTCACCACTTATATACTGCTACTGCCCTCTCAAGCTTGAAGGTCATCTTGAAATAAATTAGCATGGAACAAACTGGAAAACTACGCAAATCAGGATCTAGCAAAGAAACAGCTGGAAACATTTGCCATTTTGACATCATTCTGGCCTAACTTGAAACGAAATCAAATGACGTATCAAGGTAAGGACCCACGTTTTAAGGATGTGCATGAAATAGACACCATTTAGCTCCCTTTTTCAACTGATACCAAAATAAAACTCCAAAATTCACTCCTGATGTACAAAGGATAGTAATAATACAAAAAATTCTTGCCAAGTTGGAGTTACAAGAACATCATACAACCAAAAACAATTAGATTTCTTGGAAAATGACAGTACCAATGGGAAATTAAAATATGACTTGAACATCATACAGTCTAACATAATAAGAACTTAAATACCTGGAAGCACCACATTCTGCACTGATTGTATCCAAAAGATTTTCAGCCAGACGCTTGGCATCATCAAGACCTTTTGCATTATTGCTTGACAAGAATAGATGCAGGGGTTGCAGCCCATCTGCAGGAAGACAATCAAATTGGAAACCAAATAGTTTATACCAGAACAATGCTATTCTGTAAGCATCCTTTTCAAGAGGTAAGATTGCATCAATCCAAAGTACCTTCTCCGTTTGGTCCTTCAGGGTTCCCTGAACCCCGTCCTCTAAGTACGACAGTTGCTCCTGTTTCATTCATAATGTGATTTATATACTGGTCCTGCAGGTTCAAAACCAAACCACCACCAACACCGAAAAAAGTTTCTCCCAATTGAATGGAGATGTCAGAGACAGCTTGAAACATTAGATTATCTTATATTCATCATGAACATTTTAACTGCAGAACTAGAAAAAACAATGAAAACACATAAAGATGAAAGTAGGCTTAATGATAATGTTATATCAGCCTATTAATCAGAATAAATATTTTTCCACGTGTAAGTATTTAGTCTCTACTTATTTATTCCATAAATGCCTGTTGTTCATATAAATTCTAACAAAAAAGATGTATGTAGCAATTGATTAGTAAAAGTTTTCATTGAAATAAAATACACGCAAAGCTTTCTTCCAATTTGACAAAAGTCTAAATAAAATCAACAGTTCAACCGTTTGCTATCTATCTGAAGATCCAATAGACTATCGCCAGTGCCTAAACAACGTTTCAGCACACACTGCAACAACAATCTTCACTCTGCCTCACCCCTCCTCCCACCAGTCAATAATAATAACAACAAGAAGAAGTTCACATATAGCCATACACAAACCTCAAACCTACGAGCGACTAGACAAATAAATTAGGGAAGCACTCACATTTGGTCCACGAATACGGGCAACAATGTTCAATGATGAATCAGCATCAAAGCCCAAAAACACACAAGTGCTCAACACCTGATTAACCCAAGGCAGTAAAATGCGCCACAAGTCAAAATCTCATGTTACCGTGCCATACAAGAGCTGGCAATGATACATGCATGTACCTTCACTCCATTAGCCAAGGCAGGATTTGCTGTGGTAGAAATTGGCGGTGAACACTGACTCTGTATCAGCATTTCTTCAACCATGGCAGCCGCACGATCAACAGCCAGAATTCGTTCAGCTGTCTCTTTTAACTGTAATTTTAATTTGATGCATAAATAGCAAACTGAATCATGAATTTAATTCCTGTGTACCACTACTGTTCAATTTCAATATCTTTTGCATGAAAATAACCCAATACTTTGATTAGACTTGATTCTTTTTTTTAACAACTCAAAGCTAGGAAATTATTCAGCATGAATCTCTGAATGCACTATGAAATAAAACAATATATGCTAACCTCAAACTTTTAGATCAACATATAAGATACGCATAATTGTAAACCTTGTCAATATAGAGAAAAGATGTAGCATTTACATGAGCTCCAGCAGAGATATGAAGATACAACGGCTTCTCTCCATCAAGTGGTGCATTGGGTGGCCGATACTTGCCCCTGTAAAAGAAATTCAGAAGACAAGTCACATGCATGGACATAGAAAGTGCTAAGATGGACTTTATACTGCCTGGAACGACTCACAAACCTAGTTATCACAACAGCACCAGTGCACTTCTGAATCTGCATGATGAAGGAAACCAATCATTAGGAATAAAAGCAAAATGAGGCTCCTAGTTAGGAGGATGTGGAACTGATTGTATCTTAGTCACCTCCTCTTGTGTCTGGCGTTTTGTCAGCTTGTAACGAATAGAAGACTCCGCATCATTTATGACAATTTCTCGAGCTATTATTAGTTCATCTTGCATCTTTTGCTACATAAATTCATCCCACAATCCAGATAAAGAAGTTAAATTTAAATTAATATATTAAAATATCAAACACAAAACATAAACAAGAGAAAGAAATATGTCAGAAATTAAGCAACATAGAGCAAAATATCTACAATGTTACATTAATAAATATTCATGAATTAGACGTGCAACACTGAAACAACTACACTTACGCAATAATTAGATTGAAAAACAATAACGATTGGCACGAAAGACTAATTTGGAACTCAAACACACAATATGAAGTAAAAATTAAATCTCCAAAATCCTATTGATGACAACATACATACAGAATAAATTCAGTCAATGAATCCACCCCATCCATATACCTTTAAATATTACATTCCAAAGGGCACTAGAAAAGGTATTTTAAAAACACAATTCCACAAGTACTGTAAACATTTTATGAACCCAAATCACCCATTACATGGTAGACCACACAACTAAAGATAGGACACCAAGAGGTGCATTTAAGGACAGCATAAACTAAATTTTAATGAAATTTCAGCATAAATTAAACTTCTATAGAATTTTCTTAGAAAAACAAAGCATAGCACCACCAACCATGTGCAGTATCCAACAAGGCCCATTCCTATCCCTACCTTCAAATCTATGAGAGTGCAACGTTGAACTTTTAGTCATTCAAGTTGTAAACTACAATATAGTCCACAAAAAATTCAATCGTAAAGACCTCAAAAATAAAAGTGCTACGTCACTTGGAAAAGCGCAAAAACATACTAAAAGGAAATGGTAACCTTCATAAGAAAAGGCTTTGTTTTATCCAAAAATAGTAATTCGCAGGATTGCCCATAATGGTAGATTCTATATAATTTCCTAATTACAGCAGTTTCCATATTATGTATTCTTACAAATCCAATAAAAATGAAAAGCAAGCAAGGGAAGCAGATTGCCAAATAATCTGCACTGTAAAAGGGGTATGGTGAGAAAAGTAAGCCAATCCTCAATCTACCACATTAGTTACATAAAAGTTTGTTGTGCGATGTTCCCTAGAACAAGATTTACATAAGCATATGAGTACCATATGGCTCATCATATCTATAACCCATATGTACTTGCCATCAAGTATCTTAGCTGAAGTGCATATTAAGGTGATCGTTGAGCCACCACACTCAGTACATTGGAAGGTTATTGCATCATTCCCTAACAAGCACTCAGAACATCGTGTTTAGAAGAATGTGTGATATTGGGCTCATGATATTGATATCCGTTACATATTTAAAATCAAAGATATGCTCTGAAGTGCATATATTTGCATGAAGTTCAATGCTTTAGTTTAACCAAAGAGCTCTGTGTTTACAACTATTGCAAAAAAAAATTTTAAAAGAAATACACACACACTGTATCGGTTCTTGGAAGTTTGACTTCAACCATGATGGGGAAGCTACAAAACTAACTCATGTCCAATGGTGCCCAGGAATGAATCAAGGGAGCTTGTGCGGTAAACGCCATCTTCCCTTTGCCACAGAATAAAATGATGATGCAGGAAGTTTGATAGAGAAAGGTCATTTGCAAACATCATAAATGCTACCAGAATAAGTTCTCACTTGATTTATTTTTTGGACCGCTGCCGCAGCTTGTAGCTGAACTGAAGGTCCCTGTAATACTTGAGGCACGGCTGCACAGCTAGCTGCCAGCGAATTTATCAAAGGAGCGCTGGCAACTGAAGTTGCACCTGGAAATGCCACTCCAGTCAGAGGTAACCCATTGCCCAACGGGAGCACTCCAGGGGCCGCTATACCACCCGTTACCGATGTTTCTGCAGGTTGATCCCACTTTCTCTTCTTCCTGCACACCAGTTGGAGATTAAAGATATTCAAAGGGGCCAAAATAAACCATCAAACATCCACAAAATGCAATGAATAAATCTGAAGCAGATGCCGATACCACAACAAATCTCAAGAGGAAGAACATTCATGTATTTTCATTAACGATCCCCACCCCCGGCCCAAAAAACAAAGAAGAAGAAGACTAAAACTCGGAACTGGGGAAAAAACTCTTTTATAAAGAAGGCTGAATCTGGAATCGATGGGGTACCTCTGCCTTGATTGAGAGGCTTCGTTCGGAGAAGAAGCCCTAACTGTGTTGTCCTCAGTCATTATTCCAACAGAGTCCTTTTTTTTGTGAGGAGAGACTGGAGTACACAAATCGAATGAAAAATTAATTGGAAAGGAATATCTGCTGTTCTCGATAGAATTCCCAGTTCGCTTGTTACTTCGTTGCCAAAATCTCTCCAGCCCCTGTGAATCTCAATTCTTAAACCTGCTAATTGTTGTCGTCACAGCCAGTCGTTTATCTAGGCTTCTTTTATTCGTTTCAGTTCGCGGGATACCATCATACCGGGGGGGAAAAAACAGAGAGAGACAGCAACAAGATCAACTGATCAGCAAAGATGAGGCGCGGAAAATTTTATTTATATGACCACCTAGGCGAGGCACTGATTTGACTGAACCCAGTTGCCGAGTAGTTAACGCTACAATATTTGGTTTTTTTTGGGGGGAGGGGGGCGGGGGAGAAAATGTTCCAATATTAAAGGCCAATTTTTTTCTGCCTTTTGTATGCTCTACGGAATACACTGTATAGAGAACAAGGACGAAATATTAATATTAATATTGATAATTAATTTCGTATTGTTAATTTTTTATGTCTATTTTCTCTATTAAATGTCACTAATCTCAATTTCATGTATTTGCATGATGACTTTAACCTTTTTAAAATTGTACTCTCTCCTTTTCTAAATATAAACTTCATTTTATAATATAGTTTATACTGCAAGTCTTATATTAATGAGAAGAGTAAACAAACAACAATTTTTGCTAGACCTGATGGGCTGACCCATTTCAATTGGAAGCCTATTGATTCATGGGCAGGCCCATAACTCTCCAGGCCTCCACCCAAAGAGAAAACTGAAAAATCATGTCTAAATATATTATTGCGTTTAACTAATAAGGGCTGGGTTTAGCAGAAAGAGCTAGTCCCTTACAACGTGGTGAACCATGGTTTGAATCTCTGCTGGGAGAGGTACTCACATTTAGTGCCCTACAGTGTTTCGAATATGATTGCCTTCAATAAGAGGATACCTATATTTTAGCCAAAAAATATATATTATTGCGTTTATGCACAAGCCCATATAAATAGTTAGCAAGAATATAAATCATGTATATCAAGATTATCATGAACAGATGAACCATCAACAGCGATTGATTTAGCAAAAAACAAATCCCTCACAACTTGAGAAATTAAAATTCGAATTCCTATTAGAAGAAGTACCTACTGAAAAAAAGAAAAAAAAAAGATTATCCTGAACCGCCTTAATTTTTTAATGTATAAATATATCACTCATTTTCTGTGCACAGTGCCTGATGATATAAATATATCACTCATTTTCGAAGCTAATTGTGATTCTTCTCGTCTGACCCTCACAGGGGCCATAAAACCCAGGATCTATATGCCGCGTTAATTGTTCTAAAGCCAGGATGTATATGCGGCATCAATTGTTCCTAATTTATTAAACAGAGAATATAACACCACAATTCTATATAATATGGACCCAGACAGTACATTGCCAGTGCTATGGTAAATTCACATACGAAAGCAGCAAACAAACTACAGATTGATGGCCATTAAGGAATGTTTATAAGGAGGAACAGTTGCGGAATGGAATACTTCCAAGAGAGTCCAGTAACCTGTGCCAAAGCGAGAATGAAATGGTTGCTACTATTAGCCAGACATAGTTTAATTAAGCATGTGATAATCAGATTATATCCAAGGGGTTACGTTATGGTACAGAACTTGAAGCAGCAGAGAAAAAGGGCAGACAGGCAAAGAAAACAAAAAAAAGGCAATGAAGTCAGATGAATTCAGGAGACAGCAGAGAGGAAGAGGGAGACACAGACAAAGAGTAAGATATATATATATATATATATATATATATTGGAAGGTATGCTGAAGGTTAAGATTTAAGAACACTAGTGGCAGTGGCGCAGGGCATGATCAGATCGTCATCTCCTTCACCCAGCCTCTCTGGTCGTCAAAGCTTTGGACCACCGACAGTCCTGTCTCTGCAACGGGACGTCTTCTGTCTTGCTGTAATTTTTTTTTTTTGGGGGCCTTGCTGCTTCCTTCATCTCTCTGCTTTGTCCCTGAACGGAATCTGAGCTCCATGCTGGTTTAAACATCGTGCAGCCACGTCACTCCAAGGTTGTCTTATTTTGTGTCGTCTTATCAAAGAGAGGTCAAGTAACTGAGTCTAACGCTAGGAATTTGAATTAGCTTTTGAGAAATAATTTTATGAGTATTAACATCTGTTTGATACGAAGCATTAAGAATGGAGATAAAAAATGAGATTGTAGTAGAGAAAATCTATTAAAAAAATATTTAACACAAATAATTAATTATTACATGAGATTAGGAAATCCACCAATCCCACTTTCCTGTGGGTTTGTCCAATTTCATGCAACAATTAATTACTATACTAAATATTTTTAATAATTTTTTTCAATCACAATCTTCATTCCTACCCCTCATTTTTAATACTCTGTACCAATCAGTACCTATATATTACCTCTAGTTCTTAATATAAGACTCCGTCTGACTTTTATATTGGTCATAAATATAAGATCCCAATCTTCTCTATCTCTCATATTTATTCATTTTTTCTAAGATAGTATTTTAATTCTAGCCAATAAACTTGATTAGTAAGGATATTTTAGGAAAGACAACACTTATTTATTATAAATAACTAACTTAACTTATTTCCTTAATCTACTCAAATTAGTCAATAAGATCTTATATTTAGAACAGGAGGTAATATATGAGAGGCGTGAAAACATTTTTTCAAGTGTTTTTCCAATATTGCAAACTCTTATGCTTCTGTGTGCATGGGCGCTTTACGTTATATAAACCCAAAAAAAAAAGGGTTGGGGGGGTTTAAAATTGCCTCGATAAACAGTAGAAAACCGGGAAACAAAAACATGAATCGTCAATATCAGTGTCAGTAGCGCAACTTTTTCTAAATTCTGTATGCTGATTTGTTTTTGGATGTCTTTCAAAATTTGAGTCATTGTCTATACCACGTGCATTAGGAAAAAAAATACTCCTCCGGTCCTAATTATAAGACCCAATTGACTTATTTGAAGAGATTAAGGAAGTAAGTTAAGTTGGTTATTTATAATAAATAAGTGTTGTCATTCCTAAAATATCCTTGCTAATTAATATAAAAAAATGGATTGGGGTCTTATAATTAGGATCAAATAAAAAGTCAAATGAAGTCTTATAATAAAGACCGGAGGAGTATTTAACTTCAAACCATGGTAATATAAAAGGGAGTACATATCCATCTTGAAATAAATTATAGGCGGTTTGCCAACATAATTTATTCCAGTTAATAAAAATTTGACCCACAATTTATAAGACTGTGAGTCCCAGCATGTCCTGATTTTAATAAGTCTTAATACCCAGCTAAACTAATATTTTATTTTAAAGAAATTATGGGTGGGTTAGGTATTAGGACCAGGAGCATGTGAAAGTGGAATTATGCAGTGATACATTTTCACATACTAATCTCAGTCCCGTCAGTGTAATTTTTTAAAACAAAGATAGACGATTTATTTATTCTCACTGTCTTACAACAGAATAACAAGCTGAGATATGCATATTTTAAAAATCTCAGGCCACAATGGAGATAGATACATTTTTCAGAGAATAAAATGCATTTTTTTGCTAATATTTCTATTTTTGCCTGAAAAGGCCTTTTTAAAAAAAAAAATTGGATTGAAATTTTTATTCAAAGATGCATCCTAATCCCTGTCCCCAAGTCGCTGGGAATCTTAGGATGAAGGATTGGACTGTACATATACCGTAGCAGTGTCCAGGGGGGGAAAGGGAGATGGATCATATAGTGACATGAATAAATAAATGCCTATATATAAATATATATGTAGGTAGAATAATTCAGAAAAGCAAGACCTAGTAATCTTAGTACCTGGTAGATCCAATGTAGGTGCAAAGAGAGACTATCATTATTACCATACTGCAACATCTCATGGTACCACAAAACGGTGGCCCAAATGCCCAGTGGCTTGTAACGTGTGCGAACCCTGAACCCAGAGAGTGGCCTTGCTGTATTTTCCGCCACTTGCGCCCGCTTGGCCTACATAATTGTCCTATTCCTCTTTTTTATTTTTTGATATAAAAATTTTTGAAAAGAGGTTGGGCTCCCCCATAATCCAAGGACAAGGCGAAATCTTTCTTCTTCTTAAGTCATACCAATATTAAGCAGGATGAGTCGTCAATTACCCTCAGGCGTTTACTTAGGCACCCAGGAGCTAGGATGCCTCCTCAAGCGCCGCAACTGGAACCACAACAAAGTAGTACTCCCCAGAGATCGAACACATGCCAACTTGGTTATATGTCTCACCCCTTCACCAGCTGAACCCACGGACGATGAGTTGTCCTATTCCTCTTTAGTTTCTCTTATATCACCACAGAAAGGTAATAGAATAGTATATTAGCGGAACTCATATCGCGTGCAAGGTGTTAAGAGAAAATGATAGTTGAATATTCTCAGTTTACGTATCAAAATAAGCTATCATCAATGCCTAATTGCCTACTAAAGTTGTTTTACTTTAGCTTACAGAATGAAGCATGATAGAGAGAGAAAAGAGCAGCAATGGTAGAAGAAGGGCCTAGGCGTAGAGTAGAGTGAAAACAAGAAGGCTGGATAAAACTGGGATCAAAGGGCAGAGGAAATGAGAAGACAAGTGGATAAGCAAAGGAGGGAAAGAGCCCTTAAAAATTGGCTTTGGCACATGGGGGTTCTCAATGAACATGGCCAAGGATGATGACAAGCACAGCAATATGTCCTCCATTGGCCAGGAATGAGGGTGCCTCTGTCCTTATCACTCAGATATTATCTGAATTTTGCAGCCCGCCAACATGAGCGCATGCTCCCCCATTCTTTGCATCCTCATGATTCGCCCTTCTCTCTCTTCCTCCTCCTCTTTCACCTGCTTCTTTTTTTACCGACATTATTCTCTTTACTGCGTCACTCATCTACCCTCCTCCTAAATTGACCTTTCACCCCATTACATTCCCTCCCTTGCAAATTTCGGGGTGCCAAAAAGCTACTAGCTTTACCAGACAAGTCACTTCTTCTCGCCTTCTGTAATCATTTTCTTTTGAAATTTTGCACGGAATGGGAGAAAAAAAACTGTATAACACATTTAGCACAGCGTCTTGCATTAAGAGGCTTGAGATTTTGAATTTAGGCGCAGGCTTTGTCTGCTTGACACTAGGAGTTCCAAACTCTGTCATGGACCAATTGGAATTGTCCACCATTCTTTTGGAATACGAATAATTAATAAAAGATCATTTAAACTTCAACGTCGATAATGCTGAATGGACGAAAATTTTTTTCACATGCATCGAGTTTATTTACAAGCTTTCACCACTGGTTTACTCATTACCTTATGTTCTGCCAAAAAGAAAATCTGACGAAATGCCGTAACAAGCATTAAAGAGGCAACCTACCAAGATAAAGATCTCAGATTTCTCTTTTCCGATAATCAAAACTCAAAATAAGAGGTAGAAAGTAAGCAAGAGTGAGAGGAGGGGGGGAAAAGAAAAAGATAAAAGAACCAGGAGATACAGGATTGGAACTATGATGCAGCATTTTCATTCTCAGAAACCTTGCCGTAAAACTCGATGAGTTTCTGCAGAATCACGACCCGGGTTCTCAGTAGAACGATGTAATCGGCAGTTTCCTGGAACAACTGATCAGATTTTATCGTCTCGCCACTCTGACCTGGGATTAGCTTCTTCAACACCTGAAGCTTGTCGGAGAGCTTGGACTTGGCCTCCATGTGCTTCAAGCTTCTTCTCGCTCTGCAAGCACGTGAGCGAGTCCAGAGAGATGACGGGTAGGCTCTTCGGTGTCGTCTTCTTGTTCTCGCTTTTTTCACAGAGAACTTGTAATTGTTCTTCGTGTTTGAGCTCATGGCAAAGGAAAACAGAGAAAAGCAAAGAGATGCTTGTGTGTTTTTTTTATCAGGGGAGGGATCGTGGAAGAGAAACTTACAGAGAGAGTGGGGTTCTGGGTTTAAGTAATGCAGTGTTAAGAGTTTGCCCCGTAATGTCCCATCTTATTACGAACATGCCATTTAACAAAACAAATTTATGAGCACACGTAGCCAATTACTAATTTATTATTGTTGGGAAATATCTTGATAGAAAAATTTAAGGGTTAATATAATCTTTAATTCTTTAAATTTGTTTTTGTTTTTATTTTTGTTTTAGTCTTTAAAATTTTAAATTATAATTTTTGGTTACCAAAATAATCTAATTTTTTATTAGATTATAAATATCAGCATCTTAAATAAAAAGAAACTTCAATGACCAAAATTTATATTTTAAAATTTGAGAAACCAAAATCAAAATGAGAGTAAATTTAAAATATCGCAATATTGATTGAAAAATTTTTCATGGGACACATATCGATCCACTCCAAAATATCCACGTACCCTTCCGGTTCTTAATAAGACCCTTATACCTAGTGTAAAGATCTTATATTTAAAACTAAGTAGTATTATTGTATATCAACTCGAGGGCCAAAAAAAGAAAATCGTACATAAAGTTGAATATGTATGTGTGTCATGTTCACGTTCATGCATCTTCTGATAAATTAAAATAGGCATAGCAGGAAATAAATAATGCGTTTATTGGTTTTGTTTTGATTAAATAGGGATTTTTAAAATTTAGGTATAATTACTACATGAATTTATTTTTTAAATTAACATCAAACGTCAAAATGCCAAGTGATTTGCTTGAGCATAAACCTCAAATATATTGATCACGTGAACCACGTGCATGCGCGCGTACGTGCATCTGATGTGAGTGATTTTTCACAATTAATATCATATATTTATTTTATTGTTTGCATCATTAATTTGTGACAATGGTTAGAAGTGACTTGCCAGAGCCCAGAGGCTTTATAGGCATGGATGCTCCATTCAAGTGAGAGCTCATAAGTTCAACTTTAGTTATAATTTTAGCCTGTTAGTATCTATTAATATTTTTTATTCTTAATATAAGAACCAACTAAGTAATATGAATATATTAAAAAAATTAGTTAAATTAATTTTTAACAAATAGTTAAATTAATTATTTATACTAAATATGTGTTGATTTTTTAAATCATTCTCTTTAATTATATGCATAAAAAATATCTGATGTTGCAAACCATTGCCATCAATAAAAAAAATGGTGAAAAAACTTATGAACTTAAAAAATTATAAACTTGAGAGTTCAAATAAACTAATGTCTTATATTTAAAATCAAATTTTATCTCTTAACCAACTTTTATATTAAGAATAGCAGATAATATTATTTTTTAGGAACAAAAAACTCATGTAAAGACAAAAATTCAAAGAATGTGAGCAAATTGAGGGAAAGCAAACTACAAATAACCAAAAGTATGCAGAAGCATTGAAGAGGAGAATGTAAGAATTAAGTGAAGGAATAGAACAGAGTGAAAGGCCTAATGAGAAAAAAGGCAGGATGGTCCAAAAGCTAGCTAGATGAAAGGAGGAGATATTTGGATGAAAGAAGGGCATGGATATAAATAAGGGAAGCAGAGGGGCACCAATTTCCTATCTGATTTTTGTGCCAAATTGAAAAAGGGAAAGCGGGAAGAAGAGGCACCACTCGGCCAGCCAGAAAAGCCTGCCCCTCTGTAACGGCACATGTGAAGGTCCCCGAGAATGTCAATTCCTCATTTACTCATCTGCCCCCCCTGCGTATTATACATCCAAAATTCATAAATACTAAAACTTGCTCTAAATTTTGTCTTTTAATTGATCGACATTGACGATGACGATGATAATGACACTGACCTATTAATTTTAATAGTAATTTCAAAATTATTCTTAGTTTAGTCATTTTATATTCTGGTGTCACCTTTTACCTGTATACTACCTTTAGTCTTTTTAATATAAGATTTTGTTTAGTTTTTTATTTTAATCTTAAATATAAGACTCTAATTTATTTTATCTTTTTTTTTTAAGACAGTCCTTTTAATAATAATAATCCTAACTAATAAACTTGATTAGTAAAGATATTTTAAAAAAAACCATACCTATTTATAAATAACTAATTTAATTTATTTTTAATCTACTTAAATTAATCAACTAACTATTATATTTAAGACCGGAGATAGGATATTATTACCAATAACACCGTACTACAGGTTACAAAATCTTCATTTACTTGCTACTTATGTTGTCAATTACTTGATATATTTTTAATCGTGGTAATGGCTTTTGTGCTTTATTTTTCCATTATTTTGAGGAGAAAAGAGCATTCTGGAAGTGGAATTAATAAAGTGACCCCTCATTCCTCATTTTCTCGGCCATTGGCCCCCTGTAATTCCTTCCCCACTTAAAAGACATGTGACATGACAGATACTATAAATCTTGCATCTCAATCGCCAATTCTTTTCCCCTTTAATTATCCAAAATCAGGAACTTATCTGTCCTTTACCCACATTAAAACACACGTCAACTTTTTCAATAAATTATTTTTTATACGTATTACTTAAAATCACAATTCACAGTAATAAAAAATGAAGTAATTTCAGCAGGCACAATCACATCCACAGAAAAGAAAAGGAGTTAACACACAAACGGAGCTGTTGTGCAGAACAAAAGAGATGTTCGTTCAAGTTAAGCGGACAAAAATCTACAAAAGCAAACCACATAGAGTACTTAGAATAATCAATGAAAATCCCCCGTGTAAATAATTTACAGATTTTAAAAATAACTTAAAAGTTAGTTATATGTAAAAAAATGCATGTTAGTTTTTTTGAATTACCTTTTTTTTTTTTTTGGATTTCTCCTCCGGTATCCTAAGGAAATAGGCGTCTTTCAGCCGTGACAACGTCCCTAGACTAATCCGGATCGAGGGCTTGCAAGGAACCTTTCGGTCGGCGCCCTCTGACCCCTCAGGGTGCTGCATTCCCACAGCTCGAACTCGAAACCTATGGTTAAGTTAGGACAGCCCCAACCAGCTGACCTAACCCTTCGGGTTGTTTTTTTGAATTACCTTAACGAAGCAAAAGAACAAACGGGAATGAGAAGGGCAAGAGGGTAAAAGGGGGAGGCTTCCTCCAGAGGGTGCATGTGAAGGTGATATATGGCCCAGCAAAGCTCCGTTACAGAACAAGGGAGAGCACATGGGGGTGGGAGGGCACATGTGGTGGGAGGAGGGAAAGATTTGGACTACATGTGATAAAGCAGCTCTCACATATATTCACACCATGTTCTGCGCATTCCCTACATGCAACTCTCTCTTCCCCCCTGCCGCCCCTATGTCACTCAGCTCTTTACTTCCTGGTTACCCATGCCCCTGTCTATTGAGATATTAACCTCAATTCCCTCATGCTTTTAAAATTAATTATTTTAGTTTTAAATATAAGATCCTAATTTACTTTGTTTTTTATATTTATCTACTCTTCTGATCCTTAATATAGGATCCAATTTTTGAGTTGATTTTGGTCCTAAATATAATACCCATTTCTCATATTTATCAATTTTCTCTAAATTACCCCTATAAATACTCCCTCAACAATAATCAAGTAGAAGAGGGAGATGGGGTATTAAAAAAGATGATTATGGTGTTTTAGGACAAATGTGTTACTTTTCTTATAATTAACTAACTCACCTAACTTCCTCAATCTAATCAAATTAGTTAAATGGGTCTTACATTAAGGACCGGAGGAGTATTTTTTTTTCAAAGTAGTCATTTTAATAATGATAATTCTAATCAATACACTTGATTAGTAAGGATATTTTACGAAAGACAACACATATTTATTATAAATAAGTAACTTAACTTATTTTTTTAATCTCCCCAAATTAGTCAACTAACTTTTGTAATTAGAATTGGAGGCAGTAATACGCAATTAAACAATTATTATTATTATATACTCCCTCCCTCCCTATAAATATGTATAATGTTCTCTAGAGCTGCTCTTTGATCCGCAACAGAACGAATTTTGTGATCTTATTTTAACAGCCAGAGCGTTTTATGTACTCCTTAGCCTTGAGAATTGTAGAACGAAAATAATCATGGTTTGGAAAAGAGTATTCAAATTATGCTTTGATAACTGGGGGCGAAATTAGATAGAACAACGTTGATTCTTTTTTTTTTTTTTTTTACTATTTTGATTTGGCAATTAACTTTTACTTCTGTGGGTAACATAGTTGAAAACATCTTTTATATACGCATAGGGATGGAACCGTTTTCTTTCAAAGCCTGCTGTCCAGTATACAACATCACTGAACACCCTGGATCTAGCCTATATGTTAGGGACCAAATTGGAGAAACAGCTTTCTCAATGTGGTTTCCCTCCACGCTCCCCAAATTAAAGACGTTGTTTAAGATAACGACCTGTTCTTATATATAACTGGGAGAACAGTCGTCTCACGCGTATTTAGATTTCATGCACATTCCACGTAATGTAATGTGTTGAGAATTTTACCCACCCACAGCCCCCCCCCCCAAAAAAAAAGAACCTAGCCTGATGATATCGGCACTCTCTTTAAGTAGAAGGTCGCAGAAAATACGTTGATTTTCAAACCCCCCCTACACACACACATCGTTAAAAATGTTGAGCTTAGTTTCCATTGTATGAGCACAGGATACTCATAGTTGATCAACAGAAAATACGTTGAACTGTGTACTTTTTTATTTTATTAATTTCCACACAATCCGATGCTATTTGGCATGCATTTTGAGGTATATACATATTTATGCTGAACAGCATTGAAATCATTATATATATATATATATTAAGATATTAAATAATTTTCTCTTGATTTTTAGATATATACATACATATACATTAAATCCAGGACGCTGCCTGGCAGCATAAAAAAAATCTTGTTTATACTTTGATTTTCACGTAACATTTTTATTTAGCTGTTGATATCGGTGATTCTATTTTTATTGTTGCATGCAAATCCACTCT